AGATATTCTGAATTTCATTCAAATGAGTGATTAATAATTCCCTCTGTCATTGGGCTAGTTCTAACATTTCTGATGCTCATCTGCATATATATTATTGCACATTAACATTTTTTATCCAGGCAGACTTGATTAAACTGATTAAATTAAAAAATAAATTAAATTAAAAAGATTTAACTGCACATTAGAATGGATTAGCAAGGACTGTAGAACTAATAAATCTATAATCTCCTAAAAATATTTCTCCCTCCCTTGTGTTTCTGATCCTCAGGTCGATGGGCAGGCTGCTTCTCTACCACTGGATTACAATAATGAGCTGGTTGTGTTTCTCAGCGGCCGGACAGCCGTGGTGGAGACAGTTGCTGGTATCACCGTGACCTTTGACTGGCATAGCACAGCGACCGTTACGCTGCCCAGCAACTACCAGGGTGCAGTCTGCGGCCTGTGCGGCAACTACAATGGAAAAGCTCAGGATGATCTGACCATGCGGAACGGCCACCCTGCAACAAATGGAGCCGAGCTGGGGGAAAGCTGGCGGGAGTCCCTCGTCCCGGGCTGCTCATCCGTCTGCCAGGGGGCGTGGTGCCAGGCCTGTTCAGACGCCCAGAGGAAAGAGTACCAAGCGGAGAAGTTCTGTGGTATCATCGCTGACAAGTCAGGGCCTTTCAGAGTTTGTCACAGTCATGTGGATCCGGCTCCCTACCTGGAGGACTGTGTGTATGATGCCTGTCACTATCACGGTCACCGTGGATCAGTCTGTGATGCCGTGGGAGTCTACGTCTCTGCTTGTCAGAGCCAGGGAATCACCATCACCTCCTGGAGAACAGACACCTTCTGTCGTGAGTTTGACATTGTGTTTTTAACTTTTGTTTTTCATTGTTCTTGATTTCGAATCTCTCTTTTCAAAAATCTCTTTTGCATCATTTACTCTGGTCTCATCCTATTCCACAGCAATGGCGTGCCCAGCTAACAGTCATTACATATTGTGTGCCGCGGGCTGCCCGGCCACCTGCGCCAGCCTCACCACCATGGGCACTTGCCGCCGGCCCTGCACCGAGGCCTGCGAGTGTGACGAAGGCTACCTGCTGAGTGGGGATGCCTGTGTGCCTGTGCGAGATTGTGGCTGCTCCTACAACGGCCTCTACTTCAGGAAAGGAGACGTCTTCTATCCGGAAAAGGAGTGTGTGGAGCAATGCGTCTGTGGAGAAAACGGTGCGGTGTCTTGCCAAAAGTACAAGTGCCTTGCAGGGGAAACCTGTAAGCTTGTAAACGGAGTGAAAGGTTGCCACCCCGAGGGGCAAAGCAAGTGTGTGGCTTCTGGTGACCCTCATTACATTTCCTTTGATGGAAAGAGGTTCGATTTCCAGGGTACATGTGTCTATGAATTGGCCACGGTTTGCAATGATAATAATGGCCAGCTGACAACATTCAACGTGACTCAGGGGAATGAGAAGTATGGAAATGGAAAAGTGGCGGTTACCAAGTCAATCGCAGTGGCTGTCTATGGTTATGTTATTTACATCCAGCAAAAAGTTTCGTGGAAAGTCATCGTGAGTTGAACAAGTCCATCCAAAACACTTTTGCTTACAATTTTAGATCTTTATATATTTTCTCATTCTGTCCCTCCTCTTCCTCCTCCTCTGTCAAGGTGAACGATGAACTTCTAAACCTTCCCCTCTCTCTCGACAACGGGCTCCTCAGAGTCACCCAGGAAGGGAAGAACATTGTCGTCCGCACCGACTTTGGACTGACGGTCCTGTACGACACTGTCTATTATGTTGAGGTGATCGTTCCTTCCACATACCAGGGAAAAATGTGCGGCCTTTGCGGCAACTACAACAAGAAGGACAGCGATGACTTTATGCTTCCCGGTGGCAGAACAACTGAAAACGTCGATGAGTTCGGGAAAGCATGGGCGGTGGACCTGCCTGGTAATGTGTGTGGAGGCTGTGGAGGCCAGTGTCCCGTATGTGAGCCGGCCAAGGCCAACTTGTACAGAACAGCAGACTCCTGTGGCATCATTATTGCACCCAATGGGCCTTTCAAAGTCTGCCACAGTAAAATTGACCCAGCGGCATACTTGTCTAATTGCGTGTTTGATGTTTGTGCCCTGGATGGCGACAAAGACACTCTGTGTAACAGTGTCCAGTCCTACGCTTTGGCCTGCCAGAGCGAAGGAGTCAAAATCCAGCCATGGAGGAGCAGCTCTTTCTGCCGTAAGATACGCGGAGCAGTATTTTTGCTCGTATTTTTTACATTTACAATTTTCAGTTTCACATACAAAGTCTAACAAATGCATTTTTGTCTTGTAGCTGCTTCCTGCCCGGCCCACAGTCACTATGAGGTGTGTGCCGACACCTGTGGAGGGAACTGTGCCAGCTTTATTTCCCCATTCACTTGTCCTGAAAGCTGCTTTGAAGGGTGCGAATGTGACGACGGCTTTGTTTTCAATGGCATCCAATGTGTTCCGCTGGATAACTGTGGATGTGTGCACAATGGCCACTATCTCATGGTAAAATATTTCATTTTACTTTTTCAGTCGACCATCTTAATATTTGAATCAACACTTTAATCGCCCATCTGGAAGTTGAACGACTGCTACGTGTTTCCAGGTGGGCCAAGCAGTCGTGGACCACGGCTGTGAGTCAAAGTGTATGTGCCAGGCCTCTGGGGTAGTGAAGTGCGAGAAGCTGTCATGTGCCAGCGGGGAGGTTTGTGGTGTAAGAGACGGCGTCCGAGGTTGCCACATCAAGCCAGGCCACTGCGGCGTCGGCCGAGACGGCCACCTCACCTCGTTTGACGGCGTATCTGGGGCCGTAGGAGCTCAGGGGGCGTTTGAGGTTGCGACTCTGTGTGACGAGACCGCGGAGCTGTGGTTCCGCGTGGTTGTGGATGTCAGGGTCTGTAGCAAAGGGGCGTCACCCACCGTCGCCACCGTGTACGTGTTCTTCAAGGAAACGGCCATCACAGTGAACAGCGAGCACGTGACTTGGGTGAGAAGAGCCGGATGAGATAACAGTGACAACTTTAATATCGAAACTTTTACTTCAATTCATTTGTTCTTATTTGTTTATATTCTTAATATCATCCAGGTAAATGGCAGGAAAATGTCCCTTCCGAGCAAAGTGACCAAGGAGATATCTGTCCAACTCTCAGAGAAGACTGTGATCATCGAGAGGGGATCTGCTTTGCGGGTCACCTACTCGCTTTCGAAGGAGGTGACTGTCGTTGTTGACAGCAGCCTGTTCGGCAAAATGTGCGGCGCCTGTGGCAACTACAACAACATCTGCAAAGATGACATGAAGACGGCAGATGGGAAAATTGCCACTAATGTCACGGTGGTTATTGGCTCTTGGGCCGCTGGGGATTTTTCTAGATGGTGAGTATTTGAAACTATTTGCCCGGTGTAAAGTTTAAAGATGCACTGCTACAGTCATTGCCTTGATAATGATCTTCTTCACTTCACGGTCTCATCACAGTGTTCCCCAACTCCCCATGTAAACTAACTGTTCTAATGGAATAACGGCTTGGCCTCCTCATCAAGGCTTTTAACCTTCAATTCTAGTTAGATTGGAAGTTTTAGTATTGAACTGTGTCTCTCCCTTTATTATGCAAACAGAAAACTTAATTTGACCACTAAAACAATCAAGTACAGATCAGCGAGAGACGGCACGCTGCTATGACCATTCAATGCTTCTGCTCTTAACAGCAAGAGCTAAACAAGGACTCCGCAGAGCCCTTTTAAAGGAATGAGAGTGTGGTTTTTAATTGCATTTGGTCCAATTTAATTAAGAAATGCCAAAGAAAACCCTAAGGTAATTACTGATTAAAAAGCAGGTGAGGCTGACAGGCACGGCCATCAAAATCTACCATGCTTGCAATCCAATCACTGCTTGTCATCCAAGGACACTTAAGACTCATCTGGGTGCAATATCAATCTGAGCTCTCGTCTTCAGTTCTGTGCTTTAGCCTAAAGTCAGTCCCCAAGAGAGTTGAGTTTGGTGCTTCCGCCAACATAGTTGTCTTTTCGCAGCGATATGTCACCGCCAGACCCTGAACAACGCAAGAAAATGCCCTCTGGTCAGAGCGGCTGCTGAGTGTTTTCATATGCTTTTGGAAATGCCATTTTCAGTGTTGCTTGTAAGCTCTGTTGTGCCTCAGTGATCATGTCTTTACTTTGCTCCAGTGACCTTTGACTGCAATTTTTTTTTCTTTCATTTCAGCGGCCTGTAGAGATGTTGGCTCTGCGTTGATTGAAACCATCAGGTGTGAATAGAACCATGAGCTGATGTTCCCCCGTGATTGAAACAGCCGTACAAAGTGGCTCACATCTCTGCTTTCTACACTCATTAAACAAGACCAGGAATGTGGCTAAAGTGTTTCTCATACTCCAATATTTCAATGAAATGGTTTGGGTTGTTTACTGACTATCTTGTCCTCCATTGTTCGCTTTGGAATGGTGGAAAAACTCATTTCTAAAGCCATATCGCCATCTAGCGGAGGAGGAAATAGTAGCATCTGAAATGTACTTTACAAAATGTGTTTTTCTCGCCGTTCCAACCAATAAATACTTTTCACTGCACTTAATGGCTATTTATTTACTTCTATAAGACCAGCACTGTCTGTATAACAGCCGAAATAAAAATTAAAATTATGGGTTATGTGTGTCTTATGAGGGATAACTCCTGTTGCAAAAGAAAGCTTTTCGCACTAAAGGATCTTAATTAAAATAATAAAATATAGCATAACAACCAAACCACATAATGGACGGCACCCTGGATTTAGCAATGTGAATTCCCCAGATTGAGACGGGACTTGGGTGACGGGTGAGTGTGTGGTTGGGGGGGGCCTGGAGGGGTCTGCAGGGGGTTCTGGCAGTTTAAATGTGGGAGAGACCTTGGTCGGGCGGTTTTCTTGTAGCTGATAGAGAACTTTATCTCACTGGCAGCGCGCGCTGGCCCTGAGCGCGCGCTGCTGTTTACGCGCTCACGTGTAAATTACACCACCGCGAAAGAAGCGCATCTGCACGTGTCTCTTATATTTGGCTGTTTGGGGGAAAGAATGAGCATGGTTTACAGTTAATTATGAAATCATGTTTTATTATTGATGCGGGAACCACATCTCATGGGAGTAATAGCTCAGTTTAGCCTCCCTCTCTCTCTCTCCCTCTCTCTCTCTCTCTCTCTCTCTCTCCTTCTCTCCTTCTCTCCCTCATATATTCCTGGAGGAAAAGACCAAGGAGGAAGGAAGTTGAACTCGGGGTAAGCGAGTAGTGCTGGTAAATCACTTTGCAGTCACTGCCTTTTATTGTATTTGCACGTCAATATTGAATCAATTGGCTGAAGTAAAAAAGGGAAATTTTGTTTACAAAGTTCGACTCCGCGGACGCAGAGAAACTCACGAGCTTTGAAGCCGATACACGGTAAGTTGATTTAAATGTACAAACGTATACTCTGAAATGATACGTTTACATTAATGCAATTACGCCTTTAATTACGAGCTTAATCACCTTAAAGTCGGTGGCTTAAACTTCCAAAACGCATTCGTGCACACGAGGTTTTGTCTCTCAGAGCGTTTCTCCCTTTTTGTTTGTGTCCAACTTTGTGTCCAACCAAATTCCTCCGTGTCCTTCTATTTTACACGTGGCCACGTAGCCAATCGCTTTTGTTGTTGTTTGTCATTTACTGCTGTGGCATCTAGTGTGAAAAGTCTCTCGCCAAAGGGTTGGAAATTAGTTGTTGGAGAGCTGGAGTTTAGTTTAACACTTTTGACGCTGTTCATCACGAAAATTGTGTCAAACAACAACGCTCATTAATCTTTATCGCGTGAATTGGCGAGAATATAAAACGTGAAGTTTAAATTCTCTGAATAGCTCATGTGAGTATTTAGTGTGAATGGACTCGCCTGTGACTGTAAATGTAAGCAACCTTTTATAATTTTATTTCCGACTTTCCACGTTAATCCCACTTAATTAGAAAGCATGGTAACTTTTAACGTGCTGCTTCACAGGCATCTTTCTTCTCTCCCCATTCTATCACCTCTACATCACTAACAAACAAGATTACTCGATTGTTTTTTGTTGGAAGAACCCTCCGTGTATTTGTTTGATTAAACCTGATTGGCAGCTCTTTGTTGTTAATCCTGCTCGCAGGGTTGTGTTCATTTCTCCCCACTCCAGCTCGTGTTCACACCCCCTCTCTTAGTGGTGCATGATTCCCCCAGCAGTGCCACGGGCCAAGGGGGGGAACCTTGGCTCCGCCAACGTAGGCTTTGATCTTTGCAAAACATTTTATTTTCCGGGGCTTACATTTTTTTTTCTTCTTGTACGCGTGGAGCTAAAGCTGTGCATACCTCCACTGCATTCTGTTGTCGTGCCTCGGGACTCCATTGGTACAATGTGGCTGTGAAACGAACAGCTGCACCGGGGTGCTCTTGGTGCCGTGCAGCCAGTGGAGACTCGTGCTACTAATAGTGGATATGTGGAACCGCAACCTTTTAAACGTAAGGGTGTAAGAGAATCTCAGAGTTCCACGGATAGTTTATAGACAGAAAAACAGCCCGAGGAGCTTCATGTTCTATTTGTAAAGTGACCCGGCAAAACGGGTCCTGACCCACTAGCCAAATATATATATATAATGCAACACGACACCAGCCCTGCCGCACACCTCTCAACTCTGCTGGAGGACTGAGGTGCTGAGCCTGAAATAGACCCTCTTTTCTTACCCCACGAGTCAGGAGGCCATGTTATGAAGAAACGTACCGGCGCGTCTGGCTGAGAGGGGGCTTTGTGTCCCCACCAGGCTATTAAATGATCGCTTTATTCAGATGCATTATGGGACACGTCACAGCTGGTGTTTTCGGAGCTTGACCTACACAAGGGACTTGAAATCAAGGCCATAACAACAACTCTCATTCCCTTAGACGCAAACAAACAAATAGCTGAATAAAGGTTGGACCCGCTCGCTCTTCTGGACAGAAGCTATTCTCCACTAACCTTAACTGGCTGTTTGGTGGGTTTCTGAGAGGTATTAGCAGGTAATTGCGAAATATTTTTGCAACAGCCATCTCTCTGTTCTCAGCAAGGCTCTTTTAAGTAGCCAAGTTATTTCGCTCCATAGGGAGTCAGTGAGCTACAAAGTTTGTCTGTAAGTCGCGTAAAAAAAAAACAGCAAATGCCCACAAAAGTCAGCAGCTTTTTATGACTTCTACATGTTGTTATTTACTTTTATTCTCAGCAGGTTCAATGGATCCCGTGGTCTTGGTGGCGCTCTGCGCCTGGCTGGTCCCGGCACTCGGTGAGCATCCGCTTCACTAAACACTCGGCCGCTTAGCGCTGTTCCCTGTGTGACACGGAGCTGTGTGAGCGTTCCTCAGTTGCTTCCCCTTTCTGTACCGTGGGCTCTGTGTTTAAGATCCTCCCACTTAAAGCACTTGACGTGTCGGTATAACAAGGTCAGTGTTTTTGGCAGAAAGGTCTTTTTGAGTATTTCCACTCATCACTTGTTTGAACTTCCTGTGTTCTCTTTTTGGTCAAATGTGTATAGAACTTTTGATATTTTCCATTTTAAATCGTTTTATTTCAGGGTTTTGCGGCAAGAAGAAGCCATGTCAGAATAGTGTGACTGTTTCCATAAACTGGAGTTTGAAGGATCATTTATTTACACAGCTGCCATTTTTCCCATTGTTGATGTAGTTTTCTAGTGTAGATTTGTTTCTCTGTGTGAGTTGAACTCTGTTAAGCAGATTTTAGCAGAATTAATGTTTTTTTTTTTCCTCCACTTGGACTTTTAGGCCCGTTATAGTGTGACCTTGTTCTTGAAAGGGGAAATTAGTCAATAAGGGAACTTACACTTCAAGTCTACTGACATTTGGTGAACAGATCAGAAACTTACTGCGTTGAGCATCAGTTGTCAAAGTTTATACACAAGCACAGCTACGAGGACTGGCTGATATTTAAATGCTCTTGTAAGTCAGTTGAACATTTGAATGAAAAGCTACGAAAATAACTCCGGTTAAAATGTTCTTTAGCACAGATGGAATTATTTTAATATGATGTTCAATGTGCTTTTGCTGGTCACTTTATACAATTGTTTGCATTGGTTCTCCATCGCTACACAGAGTGTCTCTATTTATTCCGGTTGTTTTCTCGGTGAACAGAAGACCGTGTTGATAAAAATGAAAGTTCGGTTATGTCTTGACTGAACAACATAACAATGCAACTGTTCAAATATATTCTTCTAACTACAGCATGTTTTAGAAAATAGATAACGCGTTTCCTCTGACTGAGACGCTGCCCACACAGTCTCACCACCGGTTTCGATAGAAGAACGGGTTCAAACTAGGTTCAGACCTTCTCGTTTCCCTCATCTGAAGCTTGTTCGCGCAGTAAATGAACAGGTACTCGGACACGCAGCTCTTTGAAGCTACCCGACGCATAACTGCGCTGTATGTGATTCCACCGCGCTCCTTTTTGCAAGAACAAGGATCCCGATTTATTGATTTCACACTTTGAGTTGATTAGAAGTTTCCTAACAGACATTGACACTCGTTCTCTGGCTGGTTTTGAAGGACGAGCGTAACATTAATGGGGCCAACACGTGGTTCCAAATGCACACCCAAGAAGATGTGAAAGGGCCCCGGTGTCTTATGTTTCCCACATCCTTAAAATGACACAGATCAAGACAATCAAATAAAAAAAGTGTAGGTAATTAAATCAAGATTATAATCATACAGTGATAATATATTTATCATTAATCCTTTTACATAAATATGAGTTTAGGCTGGTTACTCACCCTTTTCGGCCCCTGTGCAGAGTGGATTTGCCGCACTACCATCAATGTTCTATGCTTTTGCTGACGTGCATAATACACCACCATGTCTTATAAAGATTAATGATTTTCATTCTTTTCTTTCACAGCCTCAGCAGCAGATGTGGAAAACGGTGGGTATTATTTAAACAGGCTTAGAAAAGTCAAATTAAGATAAGCTGCACACTCATTTTAGCTGGCATATAAATTGGCACAGCACACGGCTAATGACTAGATGGATGACTGAGGCCCTCAAAGTGCTGAATAGCTGTCGTATCATGAGTGCTCTGTAAAGTGTGTCAGTGGGTAAATCTGCTCCTCATTTGTCCCTTTTCTTTGCTCTCTTCCACCAGGCAGTGACAGCGATTTTCATTACGGTGAGTGTTTTGCAGATGGACGGGGACTTTTAACGGCCGACCCTCTACACAGGAAACATCTGTGGGGTTGAGACGAGAGAGAGAGTTTGCATTCTCCGATTGTTGTTTCAGAAGTGACGGAAAACTGTCACCCCAAGGCCAAATGTTTGGAGTAGTCCCACTGCGAGTACTTGTCCCAAATGTCCCAGGCCTGATTTTTAAGTCCATTTAAGGCACCAACTTGCAGAGAATGCTGGAGGACCTGCTTTCAGGGTAATGGTTGTTTTCCTGTTTCATTGAACACCCCCCCCCCCCCCCTTTTTTTTTCTTGGAGCTTGGGATTATTTCTGAAAATAAGCTCTGTGGCAAACGAAAATGTATAATATTTACACATTTTGCTTCTTGAGAGAGTCTGAACACCACGTGATCTTTATGTTGTTTTGTATTTGATGTCGTAGAAAATGTAAAGCTTAAATCTTTTGCTAGTGTTGCAAGCTGACAAAAACACCTACAAAAATAAAAACATGGACTCCTAGAAGAGGCATCAAAAAGGTTTAGGAACCACTGGCAGCTAAAAAGTCAACAGTAAGCAATTCTGACTCCTTTTGTTCGATGAGAAATTTTGATTTTGTTGATTGTAGTCTATATTTATTTGCTAATGTCAGTTCCCATCTTAAACAAACAGAAAAACCTGATGCATGTTCACCAAGCTGTGATCCTCACAAGCAGTACGTTCTCCTCTGGGTTATAAACAAGCACGCCCTGAGTTTGTTTCAATTGATGTAAACACAGATGTGTCACATTGCTGCTACACAGAGTCAGAGTTGACTGGTGTTTACAGTTTGGGGGACTGCGGCTCAGGAATTTGTGGTCTCCCGTGACCATCGGGGGGGGGGGGGGGTCTGCAGAAAAAGGCTGCAATGCTGCGCTTGTCTTAAAATGTGGTTAAAAGCTTTTGCATCGGTGGGATTTTGTGTCTCAAAGTGTTCACACGCCCTTCTGAAAACATGGGAACGTATTTTTTGTGTGTGTGTGTGTAACAGATTATGAATCTCTGAGAATCGGTGGCCTGGTGTTTGCAGTGGTGCTGTTCCTTATGGGGATCGGCCTCATCGTCAGTAAGTATTTGACCTCCCTTAAGCACACCGTGGATGTGTCCGTGTCTGTATGTGTGAGTGTAACAAGCAGGCTTCCGTTTCTCTCGGCGGTCTGAAAGGAATGCACGCTTATGCCCACAATCTCAGGATTTAAGGGTCATGATTGGAGCATCAGAACATCTTTCCCCGCTATCACAGTGTCCTTCGTAGGTTCCTCCTCCTCCAGTGCCGGCCCTGAAACCAAAACAAATACATTCTTACCAAAGCATCATGCTTCTCTTAGTCGGAATACCTGCGGCTCCCAAACATTGTCATTCACGATTTCATTACACTAAAATGATTTAGAGAAACAAATGCGTCCACTGACACTAGTTGAAAGAGTGGAGCTAACTGCTAACTAAATTAATTGGTAGGCCATTAAACGGTTACAGTAGACACCAGCTTATATATAGCTTTTCTGACTGTTGTGTGTTTGTTGTCAATAATCTGTTTAATCATATTTAGTTACTACTCACATGGCAAACATGAGTAAGAAGCCTGTCAGCCGGCCAAATCAGCTGCTTCACTTTAAGTTTTATCTCCAGTAAACTGCGTCTTCAGAATGTCTGTAAAGACAAAAACTCTTGATCCCTTTTTTTATTTTGTTTTCAAAGAGAACAATAAAGAGCAGAATAGAGTATTGCAGCATGTATTTTGTGAATGCTCTACAATATTTATAGGAAAACTGTGGTGCGTCTAAATTACATAACCGGATATGTTGACTGTTGGAACACGCTGCCGATTTTTAAATGTTATAAATGCTGCACGTTGAATGTTGGCTCCTGTATTTTGAGAAAAGTTAACCAAGCAAACTTATTGGGCCCCTAAAGAGGCCCCTAAAGAGTTTTATCTGATTTATAATTCTTTCTCTTGTGTGCTCCCCCCGCCCGCCCCAAAAAACAGCCCGAAAATGTAGATGTTCATCGGGTGACGGTAACAAGTCGTATCAAGTCACGGTAAGTGAAGTTAGGATGAACAAGACAGATCCTAGATCACTAGTATGTATTTTTAGTTTTGTGCAAAATAGATTAAAAAATCCCTCCAGCCAGGTTTTTATCTAACTCTTAATATTCCTCAGGTCCAGCCGTCATGATGCATAATCAGTTGTTCCTAGGGGTAAATATTTTCTTCGTTCTATGACAACTTGCCGTATTAAATAAAAGTCTAGGTGAACAAATCTACTTCATAGGCTGAAGTATAGTTTTATCTATAAAAGGGGGTTAATAAATAATCTAAATCTCTTTCCACAGCTCCGTAGACACTAAGAGCACCGGAGATCTGGTAAGTGTCTTGTAAACATCTGTAAATTTTTTTTTTTTGCAGCAGGAGCTTAAAGGAAACTTGAATCAAACTTGAATCCTCGACCTGTTTTCTCACCGCTAGGTGGCAGAAAATGGCTTGATCACGGCAGACGACCCCTTTCCACAAACACAAGAAGCGTCCTCAATTTCTCAATGCTACTATGCTCTTTTTTTCTTAATGTTTTTATTATCAATTTAAAACCAGAACATGTCATAAATGGTAGTATTATGGTGTGGTAAATGTGTGCATTCCCCGTTCTATTTTTATGACTTTACAAATGATGCAAAATAATAAAACGCATGTTTGTAAAGGTTTCTTCAGCTTTTTATGCATCGTTATTTTTTTTCCCCCTGCCGTTTGTGTGCCAGCAGCGGACAGCCCTCTATTTTGCGGCACTCCTGCTTCTGCTGATTCTGCAGACACTTCAGTTACACACGCAGTACTAACTACCAGTGATAGTGTGAATGATTTATGTGCTGCACTTGGAGAGGGCTGTCTATGAAAACCAAATAAATATTTGACACATCTCTCTTTTCAATGCTATTGGAAAATGTTCAACTCTAGTGATAGTGGCACACCCTGCGTAACGAAAAGCTGCATATGCAGACTCTCCCTGGTGTTGCAGGAACGGGCTGACTGCACTGCAGAAAAGAGGACATGGAATAGAAAATGGTGCATATTTAGAATGCAAGCAACGTTTCAATAAAGCATTGTGTACTAAAAACTGACTGGAGTCTTTTACAAAATCCATGATACGATTATAGCATCAAAGATTTTATCATAAATTCTTAAATATCAAAAATACCCTTTTTTTTCTCCACACATGCAGTTAATACCCCCATACACTTCCATGCCCCTCAGTATGATAGCTTGAATATACCTTTATAGTAGCATTACATTAGCTTTTACTCTTTTATTTAATCTAATTTTGGGCTACCGAGCTGACCCACTAGCCCCAGTGGGAGTATCCCACCACTGAATGCAGTGTTTCGCTGCGGCCACCAGAGGGTCTCTGCTGATTTATCTGAGTGCTCCTCAACAGTTCTGCATGCGGTCCTGTCAGGCTACCTTCTTTCATACCCAACCTGAACCTGCAACCTGCAAAGTCTCTGAGACGAAGGTCCTCTACATCTCCACACTGCAGCCATGGCCACCACAGGTTTGATTGTTTTCTTCTCTAATGGGATCTTCATTAATTTTTGTGAAACGTGCATGAAAACAAAATTAATCATGGGTTTGGTCCTTAATTGTGTAATCTATTTGTAACGTGTCATTTAATATGCATGAATTGATGTAATGCGTTTACTCTGGTACACATATTTGATTAGCCTGCTGCATGGCTGCTGCAGTGCCAAGGAGCCAATTTACTGCTGATGTATGGATTGGTGATAGAACAAAGGGAGTTCACAGTAAACCCCTCACTGGGATGAATAAATGAACATTACTTGAAATGTTTCTCTCAAACCGTAGAGCCTTTGTAGTACAAACCGCTGCCTCGGTCACTTGGTTGTGACCGTTCAGCAACATGCAAGCCACATTCACACAGGCTTACATTTGCAAAATCCCTCTGTTTAAGAGTAGATAATTCTTAAATACTGTTGATTTGGGTCAAACAATAACAGAAGATGATTTCAAGTGCCTTTTTAAACGTGTGTTATCCCTTATTAATCGTGCTTTGTTTCTGTGCTGCTGTACCTTGCTGCTGGCTTGTAACCCACTTTACGAATGGTGCATGTTTTTTCTGCTGAGCGAAGATGCTGCATTGACATCTTCTCAGTAGAGAAAAAAAAACAATACTCCAGAGGGGTTGTGGAGCCAAGCCTGCAGATCTGAAGAGCTGCAAACCTTGCTTTCCGTGGTGCTGATGTGCTGTCGTCGGAGCAGCACTTTGTGCGACAATTTCAATCTGTTCTCTGTAACTGACCGTACTTTGTTTTTGCAGAAACTATGTTTCCAGACCAGAGTGACTTTAATTATGGTAAGATTTACGCCATATACTATTTTCATGAATCCAAAGCATCACGTTGAACATATTTATACAGGTATTTTTTGAGTTCATCGTAAATTCAGCCCTGTAAAGTCCCATACGGTTGTGTCCCTCATAGATTATGAGACTTTGCGGACTACGGGGGTTGTCCTGGCAGCAATCATGTTTGTTTCTGGCATTTTAATAGCCCTCAGTAAGTTTAGACTTTCTCACATAACACTTGAATTGCAGAGGTGTAAATCATATATACAGGATCACCTTTGCCCTTGTAACTAATCTTTAATTTTTCAAACAGGTAAAAAATTCACAAATTGTGTAAAATCCTCATCCAAGTAAGAATTGTACAAAGTTTAGTGGATGATCCGCCTGCGCATGCTGTATGAAGTTGACTTGAAGGGAATACAAAACCAGTGTGGAGAAAAAAAATGTCTTGTTGTTTGACTAAAACTGAGTTTCCCACAGCTTTTCCTACCCCTGCCCTGGATGCCTGTTCTCCAAATACCCCCATTCCCTGTTCTGCATTCTCAACCTAAAACTCACTTGCAACACATTGCAGAATGTTTTACACAGAACCTTGTGTGGCAAATCACATTTGGGTAATGCATTAATCTTCTCTTCATGTCAGTGCTTGCTGCTATAATGCATCAAACTCCTTTTATGTTGGTTGTGAGTGGGCAGTGTAGTGTATTGATCTGATCTGATCGCATGCTGCTTTTATGACGAGATGACAAGAAAGACGAGGCCTGATACTTCTCAATTACCTCAGAACTCTGTGGCTCCAACCGTTGTTGGATCATGTAGCCGTGATAATGTACGCTCCTAGTCCAAGTTGTCGCCACAGTTTTCAATCTTATTTCCTATCCAGTCATTTTAAACAACTAAACACACTTTAGACACTTACTAATTTCCTTATTTCTGTTCGCAGGTCCAGCTCATCTGTTACTGAAATCCCAAAGACAGAGGGTAAGTTCCCTTCATGATGAGGATTATTATGTGCTAGAACTGATGATTTTACCTTTCTCTCTGCAATTCTGCCTGATTTCTTTCCTTTTCTTTTGCAGTGCCTTCTCAAACTGTATAGAAAATAAAGTATCTAATTGAGGGGGAGAACTGCGGCAGAGAATGCACAGCATGGTCACTGGTTATTTATTGCCATCTCTGTTTGGCTAGTACACTTCTGCCAGCAAGACGATGAACAGGGTTTTTTTCAACGCATCCTCACCTGGTTTTGTTGAGTTTGAAATACCTTGAAGTTTCTGTCAAAACTCTTTGACAGAAACTTTGACAGAAAGTTAAGTTCCAGTTCATAACATTGCAATGATCAAGTGTAACAAATGTCCTTTGCCATTATGTTTCTTCCCTTCTGTCAATATCTACTTTTTCTAGCATGATTAAGACATAGATGGAATAGAATAGATAGAATATGACCAGTATAACATAAAATGAAATATTGCGTAATGTCTTGATGGAAATTAAAAGACAAAGTTGAGTTGAATAATTATTTAATCAATGTGATACAGTGATTGCGTTTGTTCTGCTTTAATGTAAAGGCAAAGGCATTACAAATCAAATGAATACCTGTGAAAAAATGGGACCCTTTCAAATAAAGGTCTTCTACTCCAGATGATTTTATCAGTGTTTTCTTTGACAATCATCTTATGTGTAATAGTATTATTAGGCTGTTATTTTGAGATTAATCTTCACGGTGTGCTTTACAAGAATTACAACTTCTTAAGCAGACGACTCATATGTCAGAGGCAGATTGAAACCAAATAAATCACACACAAAAAAACAGTTTCCCCTCCCACTATGGTTAATTACAATGGAAGAAACCTCAGTTGACACTTGGCTTGAAAAATAAAATCCTCCGGACACTTTCCTAGTAGTCCTCTAGTGGGATGGTGTAAATTTGAACATCAAAGCATTTAGACGGAGCTTTAGTCACAAGTCTTTCTGTGCTTTTAGTCATGACTCATGACTAAAATGTACAGCTAGTCAGACAATTTCTCAGCACACTTACCCACGTAAGGTCTCTGTGATACATTCTTTGCCACAACCAGTTTCAATACATACTTGTTTTACATAGTCAAGTTCATTTTCCCAGAAAAGTTGTACTTGATGTTACTCATGTAAGTATGATGCATACAGACTGACAGTTAAATTATGTCATTCTTATTTAAAGGCATTATTAACATTGTCTTGTTTTACCAACGATTTCATGGAAATCAACATTAAACTGTAACCTGTCAGGAAAAGGAATACTATTCTGCACTGGTGTCTTCATCCTCTGATTTTTGCCTCTTCATTTTTGTTTGTTTAAAGGTTTTCATTTAAAAAAAGTTAAATGCCCTTTTTGACAAAAATATATACTTGGATTAAAATGTTTTATGGAATGAAATGCTTTGCCTACACATGAACAATTCGCCCAATGCTAAGATAAATAAATTACAGACACTAAATGCCAGGTAAAGTATACACAGATTATTTGTCTAATCTAGTGGAAATAGTTGTGAACACTATAGAAGACAGAGATTACCGAAGCAACACAACAAAAAACTGTAAATCCTTAAAAACGCATTCCATCCGAATGGGAATTACAAGTGGGGATTTTCGTGTCATCCTTGGTCCTGCAAGGACACGATACGCCGACGAGAGGAAGCACTTCGTTTCTTCAGCATGAGCTTGAGCTGGAAATTAAGCCATACATTAATGACCGCTCATAACGCCCTGATGAAAGCAGTGCAGGTGTGGCTGGCTTTTAAGACGTTGTGCTGCTCACCTTGTCTCCCTGGGGGCCGCTCTGCAGCAGGTGAGCTGGCTGGTCGTTCTCCAGGTTGCGGATGCTGGGGTCGGCTCCTCTGCGTAGGAGCAGCTGCAGTATCTCCTCCTGGTGGGGGTTACCATGGAGACCAGCTGCCATGTGCAAAGCTGTGTGACCATGCGCCTATGCGAAAGAGGGATTTGCCGCATGACTCAGACTTTATAGTCAGGTATGTGTATAGTATATACTTGTAAATGTATAAAACACTTTTGAGTTTTGTGCCAGAGTGGGACTCACTTTCAAGTTGACAAAGTCTTTCATGTTCTGCATAGGAATCGTCAGTAGATAATTCACCAGGTCGATGTTCCCCTCCTTTACTGCCAAGTGCAGCACGGTCTTGTTACTTTTGATTTCCTGGAAGTAGATAAATGAAAATTGCTATTTATTTTAAAAAAATAATAATTTTTGACATTTAGGTGTCAACCAAGGCAGAATAAACCCAAACAGGGAGTAGTGGGAGAATAATGGTTTGTCATTAGAATTGGACAATAGCTGCCACTATAAATGTATTATTCTGACTGAACGGAAAGGATTTAACATTTTTAACTCCATTTGATTCCATATGACCCACCATCTACTAACACGTCTCTATTGTGCCACATAGATGCGTACTTGCTCGTGTGATGTTCAGAATAGGAGGAGCTATATTGCACCTGGCTGAGGAGCGACGCCCCGGCGCTGAGAAGCATCTGCACGCAGGACAGCTTCTCCGCAGCCTTGGTGCGAAGACCAACATCTGCTTGCCCACAGTTGGACAACGCCTTCACGGTGACACTGTGAGAGATGGCTGCACAGTGCAGAGGAGTCATACCTGAAGCAAAGAAGAACACACGTTCAAATTAAGGCTCAATTAATATAAAGACTTCGGAATTGGTGCTGAAAACCTAGTCCAAATTATACTGACTAGGTCAACACTACTCCTCCTTGCATTGTATATTAATATTAATTAATATTAAGTTACCCTCAAAATTGCGAGCCTCCAGGTTGACAGACGGCCTGCTGGACAGAATTACCTGCAAAAAAGGAATCATTAAGGTCTGCTAGGTACAGCCTATTTTCCTGAGTGCTGTGGCAGTCATGCCAAATCAATCAATCACCAGTGCCGCCTTACCTGAAGAACCCCAGGTAGACCATAGTGGACAGCCAGATGAAGGGCAGTTTGCCCTTTAACGTCACAGACATTGATGTCCGTGCCAAAAGAGAGAAGATCTTGCACAATCCCCGGTTGGTTTGCTGTCACCGCCACCAGTAAAGCAGTCTGCACGAGCACATCAATTAAAATACTTTATTGTGAGAAATGATAACTAACGTTTATGGATTCAAAAAAATGTATGTGTGCCCAAAAGAGCAATTTGCACACTTGGAAAGATTTTTTCATACCTTTCCCTTGTGCTCTTTAGCATCAAGCCCACCGACATCCCTCAACCTCTCTGCAGCGGCAAAGGCACACTCCCTGAGCCCTTTGGCAGTGTAGATGTGCAGGATGCTGAAAGAACAAGATCACACAATATGTTTATTTTACATTTGGCAGGAGTGTCGGGGTAATCCCTGCAACCAATTGCACATGTTTCCCTTTCACAGTTGAATTTGTCTCCCCACTTCATGTAAACATTGAGCATGAGAGGCTGACTAATTCACATCTTTTGGTTTTGTTCATCTTTGTAGGATTACCAGACTGCAAATATAGATCTTGTGACGGAAAACGAAACTCCTCTACTAATACTGTAGCTAAATCGTGTGCTCCGATTTGCACTTTCATGACACAATGTCAGCAGTGTGTGTGTGTGTGTGTGTGTGTGTGTGTGTGTGTGTGTGTGTGTGTGTGTGTGTGTGTGTATCTGTCCGTCTGCCTGTTTGCTATCAGTGTGATCTACGACCTCAAAGAAAATTCTCTTACACACATGGGATCCACACGGCGCATTCTCACACACATGCATTCTCCCAGAAGCACTCACGTGTCTCCATCTTCATCCTGCCCAGTAGCTCTGCTGTTGTCCATCCCGCTCAGCAGCATCCGGGCCTCTTCCAGCTTAGCGGCGTCCATCGGCGAACCAAAACTCAGCTGTGTGGTCGGATTGGGACCCAAATGGGACCAAGCCGAAGCCATGCCGGGATCTGCGGCCGCACTCATCGGGCACTCCTGCTCAGGAGAAAGCAGGTAAAAGGTCAAACCACCACACAGTTGGATACAGATACGTAAACAGTCCGTTATTACAGGATTTCTCTTACGTATGTCAGAGACATTGTGTCTTCATATCCCAGGACGTGCTGCTGTGCGCCGTACTCAGATGTCATTGGGATGCTGAAGGCGGCATCGTAGCTGGTTTCTGGATGGACGTGGTAGTAACCGACTGCCGGTTCTGCTGCCGGAGTCCACTGCTTATAGCTCACTGCCATGTCTGAGTAGCTGCTCGAAGCCCCTAAAACGGACGGTCAGACAATATGTAAAACAAATAATTGTGGTAATGCTTCATTGATATTGAATTGGTTGTTTTGTAGGCTTGGGGAAAAAAGGACTGTGTCATTTCTTTGTCAAATTGGTGGATCTTTGGAGGGTAGTGTGTTGTCTCGAAATAAATAAACTAAACAACTATAGTGAAGCTCGGAAAAGGAATATCACCAGACTGCTCTCTCACCTGTGCAGGTAAACTGTTCTGCTGAAGGTGACTGCTGGGAGAAGAGAAGATAGAAAAACAGTCAGATCTTTGTCACACGTCGTGAGATGGTGATCCCCTCTGTGCGCCACCTTACTGTGACAGTGGTCGGAGGAGCAGGACTTGTGACGGCCGTAGAGCAGCAGGGTTGACCAGACGACGTCTCGCGTCTTCTCTTACGCTCCAAGAGTTTCTTCACTGTGGGCAGACTGCAACACTGCTTCTCTTTTGGCGCTGAAAAAGGTAATATGTGCCAGAAGGAAGTTGGTCACATGTGAGTGAAAATATATTGATAAACTTGACTATATCAACATTTTACTCATCAACAGGGCCTTTGCTTTATTGAAGCTGAGATTTTAACTAATGCAGCGCCAAATAAAGTTTCGATTATAACTGCTGTTACTTAAATTCCGTGCTGCTCACTTTCTCCATTGGGGCATGTTTTTGCACCTCTTTACATAAAAGTACATGAAATAGAAAATATCGAATCCATTATGATAGGTGATAAAAAAAAGGATTATTTCCATTAAACAGGTGAGAAATTAGGAAAACACTTTACAAAGAGAGTTCTGATGTTTCCAGCAGATGTGATGTCACCACACAAGTTGTTTCCTCAAAAGCTTCGTTCCACAGAAAGATAAAGTGATATTTCCACCTTGTCTGTGGAAGATAAAGCTCTGAGAAACCTCCTCCATTAGGAACACAGATCTTGTGGCCGTGCAAAAACCAGACCGATTCATCAGAAAACCTTTTGCATGGGATTGCCACAGCGTATTTTCTATGACATCTCACTGTCTCGCTCCATTACGCTAACAGAGAGGCAAACCACATCTTCCTGTCTTCGGTGTGTCACAGGCGCGTCACCTCGACACGTGTGGCTGCTTTCTAATTCACCTACATGTCCCACAGGCACTTCTTCGGTTACTTCTTTTGTGAATATCAACTGCCGTGATGGGCCAAAGCAGACCCGAGACAGCTCTGTTGCAAAACACAAAGGCAAATCCCACCAGTGAGAGAGAGAAATGTATGTTAGTGGAGTTTAGCTAAGTTAGTTCCGCCTTTCAAAAGAAACTCTTTCACTTCCAGCTAAAAACCGGTCCTAAACAATGTGCTGCTGTGTGCAACCTGCCCACACATCATAGTAAAGGTCACTTCATTCGAACAAATTACATCAGTCGTGCATTTTAGTGACACCAGGTTTCATTTTCAAGTTCAGAAGGTGTTACTATGGGTTACTCAACCCTGAGTCATTTGATATTTACAACAAGTTTACTGATGATGTAACTACACAGCCTCTATGAAACAGTCGATTGCCAGACGGTGGAAGTTGCTCAATACTTTCACTCACACATCAGCGGAAATAGCTTTTAATAGTTAGCGGACATCTTGGCCAACACACATCTATAGCCGTTGGATTTGCTCTCACTGCCAACGCGGCGCTCCGGGCTACTCTGTGCCGTATTCAAATAGCAGCTGTGGAAACCCCTGGACATTGAGTCATGTGCGTGGGAGGTTGGGGATTCCGACGACCTTTCTCTTTTGGCTTGCTCTGAACCGAAAGAAAGAAGCGGTGCGGAGCCAACTTCCTCATTATGTGGTATAACTCAGCCCGGCAAGCCAGACTAATTTGTAATCACTCAAGCATGTGCCGAACTGGGCACGAACGAAGAAAGTTACGTTGTCGGGTCACAAAGTTTGCTGGTCTGGCAAGAATCAAAAGGGGAACTGAAAAACAATAAGCAGGGGTGGAGGTGTATCAGGGTTTCCCCAAAAAATGTCCTGACTCTTTGCAGATTTGCAGATATTATGCTGTCATTCAACAAAAAAGTGGAACTACGGCTGATGAGGTCACTCATCTGTATTCAATCAGAAGTAAAAATTGTGGCCTATTAACTGAAAACACTGACAGTCCCAAATCAAGTAAAAACTTAAACGTGGTTGGTTATGATGGAGGGATGCATGTTGAATTTTGAAGGCTTAAAAATGCAAATCAATTAGTTAATTAGCTGCCAATAAAACAATCACACATTACTGAATGTCTAAAGGAGGTTCAGTAATGTATTCATTTAAAAAAACAATCATTTGTCATCATCAATGTCAAGCCATTCAACTTTATAAATGATACCAGCCGTACCACTTAGTAGCCTGCACGTAGTTAACAGATCAGAAGCACACATACTCACGTTTATCAAAGTGCATGTCAGAAGCGGTTTTGCTTTGAAATCCTCAGTAGGTCGTCCCTCTCCGTCACCAGGCTGCTCAAAACGTCGATGAAGTGATTCGCAGCGCCGGCGTGCTCTGTGATGCTCTGTGATGAAGTGTGAGTGGCTTGTTGTCTTATCCGCTGGCTGCTTGTACACACAGAGCACGTTGTTCCCCGTCACCGCCCCCAGCTGTGCTCAACCCCCTCTAGCGAAGGGGAAGCCACACACACACACACACACACACACACACACACACACACACACAGGACGGTTGAGTATTACAACAAATATACATCAACAAAGTATGCCAATTGAACACAAATGTACACAATGGTGTACGAAGTATTTGGAACGTTGAATTAGAAATTGAAATAGCATTAGGTGGAAATGCATTTTTCTGAGTAAACATTATGTTGTTTACAAAGTGAAAGCACAGAGGTACTAGCAGAAAAGTAATATGCATTATGCCGGATGGCTCACATCACTACATTAGTACTGTGATATTGGTTGTCAACTGTAACTGTCTAACTAATATTTTAAGGTTGTAGAAGTGATGTCTGGTGCCGGAGGGATCTGTGATGTAGTGTGAGTGGCTTGTTGTCTTATCAGCCACCTGCTTGTACACGCAGACCACGTTGTTCCTCGTCACCTCACACTTCTGTGTTAAATGTTGACCTGCAAGTTAAAACATTTACAAACTAACTTTAATTTTCAAGTACATTAAGTACAAAGTACACTAGTTCTCTCAAAGTAAGTAGCACTACTATAGATGTGACCAAGACTTGGTCCAGTAATAATTATACTTTTACTTTATGGACTTACTTAATCCTCAAAAAAAGAGAGTTGTGTGCAATTTTACAATGCTGAATGACAAACAAAAAACACATTAACATATCTGAATAAAGGAGACATGAACAACACATTTTAAGAAAATATCACAAGCACTATACTACTTTATTTATGAATTAATTAATCGATGGTCTTTTTTACATAGATATTGTTGATGAAAATTGACTTAATTTATGTAAATTGACATTTTGTGCTTATTAACTGATTTACTCCTTTGTTTAAAGACTCAGTGTCCGATCCCTGTATTTGTCCATTCTGGGCTACTGTCAGGGTGGGTGGAAGGCAGGACTCAAATGCAGACTTTTCTCAAAAACAAAAGACTTTAATAGTCAGAAACTCCAACACAAAATGGCCAAGGGGCAAAAACGTATACAGGAACAGGGGCAAAAACGGCAGGCAGAAAATAGCGACATCCAGGACAATAAACAATGACGTGACAAGTGACAAGAGACACACACTGCTTAAATACACTAGGGAGGTGCAGGTGATTGGAAACATTGGAAACAATCAGACAATCACAGGGGATGACAGGAAAAGGCAGGAAGTGAAGTTACCCAGGGAGACAAGAAGCAGAAAACTACACAATAAGACAGGAAATAAAACCACACCGTGACAGCTACTGTAGAAGCATGCAGGGCTGTAGTGTAGGGTACAGGGCGTTTACTGTAGGGTAAACGCACGTAAACGCCGTTTACGCACCTCTGGAATTTTCGTTTACCCACCTCTAAGTGGTGTTTACGCACCTCAAAGTTCCCTGCGCCTTGTATTCTTCCGTTTGAATACTCCGAAATAAACTTGGTGTAATTTTAAAACAGCTAAGACTACGTTTTCTATTGTTGAACATATAAACGGCGTAGTCTGAATCATTTTCATCTGCGCTGTATGTGTGTGTCTTGTAAATGTGTCTTGCGGCTGCAGCAGCGACACCAATCAGGATCCAGGAGGTGTGTAAACACATACACGTTGTGGATCAGCCCAGTGGTCCCCAACCTTTTTTACCTCACGGACCAGTTTCATGTCAGACAATATTTCGCGGACCGGTCGAGAAGGTCCGACGGGGGGGGTGTAGTCGTTGTTGCGGGCGGAACGACCGACGGGGGGGGGGTAGTACTCGCACGCTCTGTGTTCGCTGGTTGTGAACGGTAAAAGGAAAAGATAAACGCCTGGTGACGCGTAGATTAGAAAACAAGTCCGTTCTCAATGTGAAAAAAAACATGCTGTAGGGTTAAGCTATTTATGATGACATAGGTAATACATGAGTGTTCCTTTAACTTATGCTGACAGTGTAATTGACAGGCTGCTTAATTCAACATATTTTTTCCGGCAGTGATAGGACAGGTAATGATGCAGAGAGCACAGGGAGAGAAGAAACACCAGGTCGAATAGAGAGAGGAGAAGCACGTGGAGGACAAGGAGGCCCTCTGGGAACTACTATGAAAAGGAGACTCGGTATGTAGATAGTATTAATCTGCAATTGTCGTGTTGTGTTGACATACTTTTCTTTACTGTTTTCTTAAATTGAATAAACTACAAACTACTAACACATTTATTCATTGTCATTGATTGTATATGACTTTTACTGATAACATAATGCAATATAGCCAGGACAGCCTTACAGAGTCGCGACGCTTTGTGTTGCTTCGCATCGCATCAAGGTCTGTATGATCACAAAATTCAGAGTTTACCCACCTCTAATTTTACCACTACAGCACTGGAAGCATGGGAGCGAACCCCACATATGTAGATAGGGACGGCTATTTCTAAGGTAATGAAAACGCAACTGTTAAGTGACTACTTACTTTCCTTTCAGTTGATTTAACACTAAAGAAACACCATTAGTAATGATATTTTCCATTTCAACCAACAAATTCCCCTAATCCTACACATGTTTACATAAGTGTTTTCAGCTCTAAGAAAAATATAAACAAAGTATCTAAAACTGGCTTAACTAATGAATTGAAAGAATAAATTGAAAAAGGTTTGATATAGGAAGTTATTTCTTTTATGTCTTGAAATGTTGACCAATTTGAAAGTGAAAATAAATGTAAAGCTGCTTTCTGGTTGGTCTTACACATCCCAGAGAATAGAAACTGGCCAGAGAACCACAAAAATCTAAGGGAAATTTAAGTTAAAAACATGTCTCACTTCAATGGTGAGAGACCTTAGCTTAGTATAATTGATACTATATTATTAAAATATGCTGTTAACAGAAAAAGTCCAGTTCTGGTACTTTAGCAAAAGTACAAAAGTACCAAAAATAAATGTATTCATTTTAAAGAACATATTTATGAATTATATTAATTCAGCATATATTATATTACTGCATCATTTATACATTGGTGTCTTTGTCGCTCTAATGTTGTAGTTAAAGTTTATGGTGGTTGTCAATATTTTGTATCCATACCATTACGTAACTTATTTGTAAGTAATCATAATTCATACATTGATATATTTTGTATTATAATGATGCTGTGAGAACATTATTAAAGGGATCCAGAGGGAGCTTCCTGTCAGACAGGAAGTCTGTGATCCACTTGCAGGTGGAGTCGGGCACGTGCAGCTGGGAGAGTTTGTCCTGCAGCAGAGACGGGATGATGGTGTTGAAGGCAGAGCTGAAGTCCACAAACAGGATCCTGGCGTAGGTTCCTGGGGAGTCCAGATGCTGAGGATGTAGTGGAGGGCCATGTTGACAGCATCGTCCACAGACCTGTTGGCTCTGTAGGCGAACTGCAGGGGGTCCAGGAGGGGGTCGGTGAGGGACTTCAGGTGGGTCAGGACTAGCCGTTCAAAAGACTTCATGACTACAGAGATCAGGGCGACAGGCCTGTAGTCATTGAGTCCTGTGATCCTGGGCTTCTTGGGGACAGGGATGATGGTGGATGCCTTGAAGCAGGCTGGTACGTGGCATGTCTCCAGGGAGGTGTTGAAGATGTCAGTGAACACCGGAGACAGCTGGTCAGCACAATGCTTCAGGGAGTGAGGGGAGACGGAGTCCGGACTGGCTGCCTTACGGGGATTTTGTCTTTTAAAGAGCCGTTTAACGTCTCTCTCCAGAATAGAGAGGGTCGTTGCTGGTGGGGGAGGGGAAGGTGATATAGATGAAGAGGCGTGAGCACCTGATGAGCTGGGGGAGGGAGGGGTGGGGGACTGCAGCAGGTTGGTGGAGCTGTAGGGGATGGAATCAGGACATTGTCTTTCGAATCTGCAGTAGAACTCATTCAGCTCGTCTGCCAGGTGGATTCATGGAGTGGGGGGTTTTGGCTTGTAGTTAGTGAGGTGTTTGAGGCCTCTCCAAACTGAAGCAGAGTCACTTGCTGAGAACTGTTGTTGGAGTTTCTCAGAGTACAGTCGTTTAGCATCTCTCACCGCCTTGCTAAACTTGTATTTTGCCTCTGTGTACAAGTCTTTGGGTTTTAACAAATATAATTCTAGTCCACGCTACCAGTCCCAGCTGTAGAGACATTGGTTCCGCCATCTTTCTCTTAATCGGCTGATGTTTTCATACAAAAGAAGCTTTACAGACTTTCGGAATATTTGATGATTGTGTTGTACATTTTATGTAGTCTACCCTCCAGCCAGAATAAACAACAATTTTGCAATCTTCTGGACCCCCCCCCCCCCCATAATCATTTACCATAAAGCCTCACAGCTCCATCTGCTGTCGCAAAGTGTGATATTTAATTTCCTGCAAAGACTACTGAGCTCAAATGAAACAAAGCAAGTAGGATTGTCTCAAAGTGGAGTGGGCAGCTTCCATTATCAGAACAACTCAAGTTGACTGCCCCCCCGAGGCTGTTCACGAGGACACACGCTCCACTGGGTGGCCGAAGAAGTGGAGGCAAATGTTTTCAAAGGTTGGCACATTCAACAGGCCGAGATGATCCAGCTCACGTGTCGTCTGCTCTGGCAGCAGATGTAAAGTACACATGTGTCTAAACTTAAAGCAGCAAAGGATGCAGCTCACCTGAGGTTCGTGTAATAGTGTTTGTACTGACAATCTATTTTAATTTTTTTCTTGTCTTTTTTTACATGTTTTATTGTTGTGCAGTAATGTTAACTACATGCAATTTTCAACTGCACTAAAATCTTGATATATTAAGTTGACTGAGATTTTGAATGCGGTACTTTTATGTTTTTCTACAGTAGTCTTGGTACTTCTACTCGAGGGAAAGATCTCACTACTTCCACCACCGTTAAATAGTGCCTTCTATTTTGCTGGCCCAAAGTCCATTACAAACTTCTTGGGGCATTAAATTGATTTTCATTCTAATGAAATGTATACCTACGCAGTATGTATACAGGCACGTAAAATCTTCCAAGCCGCGTTGTGTTTTCTCAAAAAGAACAGGCAGCGCATCGGCCCAGAAGAGGAAGGACGACAATTTGACGTCATCATTCAAAAGTGAAAACAAATGGTAAACTTGAGTCACACTATCTTTCGGATTCCAGATAGCGGAGCGGCTGGAGCTCAGCAGGTTTTTGAATCTTAACTCACACCGACTTTCTCTTCCTCATTAAAACTTTCAACAGCTCAAGCTCGTCAAAATCTGTTTTGTTTGTAGTTTTAGATCGAATTTAAACAGGAATATGTGGTAAAAGTTGCGTTTTATCCTAGTGTGAAAACAGAATTTAACATACGGACTGCGTTTAACAGTTACATTTATGACGTTTTGAGGATTTCAGAGAGCCCATTTCTGATTTTGTGAATCATTTTCAATTCTCTTGTTCTCAACAATTTTCGTTAAACGCCTACTCAGAAGCACGTGACTCGTCGTGATGAAAGAGTTGCTCATTCAGTAATGTCAAAGGTGAAACCCACTGTTTTAAACGGTTTGGGGGATTTAGCGGGGATATAATAACTCTTTCTAACTAATTAGAAAGAACGGTATTTATAATACCACGTGTGGTTGTTCTGTGGAATGTGTATCTACATTGAGCGGCATTTAGCGAAGGCACATTTTGATCTCTTTTTGTCTTTCAGAAAGCTGACGACTGAGTTGCCAAATTTGAGAATGGGATACAACAAATTCTTTATTGTCCTAATGTTTTTGTGCAGTAAGTACATTTCCATATGTGTCCTGCCCTTGCGCACAAGCAAATACCTCCATGGTCCTGCACAGGAAACCACAAACGTTTTTTACAACGGAAACTTATCTGACAGAGGTGTTGCTGAGTGCCGAAATCAGCAAGAATATCTCACAGTTTTTGCTTCTTTTGTTTTCCTTAGACGCGGCTGTGGCCCTCCCAGGTGCGTGCAAACAAAACGCACATAACTTTGAAACGCAAATGTTGTCAATGTTATTACTCGTTGATAATAGTGTAAATTGGAAAAACAAGCAACGCAAATGTAGAACCAGCCGATGACAACTGATGATTAATTTCTTCCCTGCGTATCCCACTCATTTCTGTCTGTCTGTGTTGCACAGAGAGCACCGTGTCCTGCTACAGGATCGAGCCGGGAACGATAGCTGGCATCATCTGTGCAGATGTGCTGCTGACCCTTGTCATTGTCGTTGTCACCTACAGATGTGCTGGATATCGGCGTCAGAAGATAGAAAAAGGTGAGGCGACGGCGCGTAAAAGTTCAGCTGAGAAGGTTTGCGAGGGATCGGCCTCACAGATCTGCTCATATCTTTTCATAATCATGTTTACAAGATTCTTTGTTTTGATATATAAACATTTTTGGGCCGCTTTGGTACTTTAAGCCTCTCTTAATAAGGTCTTGGTATTCGATAGTTTGCTGTTTTCAAATACTAATTTATCTCTCTGTCTCTCTCCTCCCATCTCTTCACAGCCGATGAAGTGTACATGAATGTCAGAGCCAATTGCAAGAGCTAATCTAAAGGTTGTGCAGTTTTGGATGAACAGGATTAAAAAACATAAACATGATCTTATAAGATCATGTTTATGTTTTTTAATCCTGTTTTTTCAACCAAAAATGATTGGAAATGTTAAAATGGATTCATTCCCCATTCAACTCCGTGGCTGTTAACACAAACAGAATGTCTTGCACATGTCACTATTCATCGACCATGCGTATAAAATGTATTTGTTTCCAGTTTCACAAACCGTTGTCCATTTAACAGCAGGACACAGCACCATCTGCTGCTGACTTTTGTTCCCATCAGCTGTATCAGTATGTATAAATGGCGTCTGATTGGTGTGTTATCTAAATGAATGCTGCAGACACCCCCTTGAATAAATAAACCAAAGGGATTCATCAAGAGGCTGGACATGATATTGGGTTGGAATGGCTGTAGCTAAACTGTCACAAAATTTGGTTGATTACACAGGAGGAATGTATTTTGAGTTTAGAATTGTTCAGAACGACTTTACCATTAAATTATTGCATTTTAAGCCTACATCTGCATACAATAATACATCTGTTGGTTTATACAGCGTGATTTCCCACTTGGAAAATCCATCAGTTATTCGTATGCCTGGTTTATAAATCATCTTGTATTAATAACTAATTACTTACCATTAATAGAGCACATGGAACACATATTTTGTGTGCTTCAATAAAAACGCAGTCATAGGGTCTTATGTGTATAGTTGCTGCAAGAAATGGAAAACAGTCGGCTTTTGACATCATACGAAAAAAAAACTTTTATTTGTATAGCACATTTCAACAACAAGGCAAATGCTGCTTCTGCTGTTTAGTTTTAACTGGGAACAGAAAGTAGACCATGCTGTAAAGACCTGAGAACTGGAGTGATGTCATCCATAGATTTCAATAACTGGAGCTTCTTGAGCAACATGTTTGATAAATCTCAGGCTCGCTAAATATCTCCCTTCCTGTATGTGCTTTTTAACCTTAATTCAAATGATGACTTTTATTCAGGATAATTTTCTGATCAATGTCTTTATATGTGATTATCTTTAATGATCAATGATGTAACCATTTGTTTTGTTTTTTCTGTCTCAGTCCAGTAATATCTATAATAATATCTCGCTATTTTAAGGATGTTCAGGGCTAGTTTTTTCACTTTCACCCAATTGGACACTCTCTCCAGGTCTTGAATCAACGTGATTGCAAGTTCTTAGCTGCATAGCGTTGTGTCGTCTGCATACATTACCTTTTTGGCATTCTTATTTGACAAAGGGACAATAGAACACAATAGAAAAGAGTAAAGGGCCTAAGCAACTTCCTTGTGGAACCCCACAGCTAACATATCTACAGTCAGATAAACTGCCATAATAAAGAAAGATAACTGACCATCCAAGCCAGGGCCATAATACTAAATCCATAACGTTTAAGTCTAATAGTCATCAGTTAGCTGAGCAAGGGCAGCTTCTGTCGAGTGATTCTGTCTGTATGCAAGTTTCAAAGTTTCCTCGAAAAAACAATCAATGCTTTCATTTCTTTGACCGGACATCGTCATTAGATACACCCCCGAACAACAGCAGCAGTGGCTCCCGCCTGCTCTAAACCACAGGTCATGAGGAAATGCTCTATTTGGAGATATAGTTTCATGCATCTTCGCCAAAACTGCAGGTATCACACAGCTCATTAGCTTGGCACCACTTAAATGTGTTACTTTAAAGAATCACACATATGTTATAAAGTCAAAAAGAAGACCCGTGATCATATGATAACATGTGACAGTGTGGAAGAATTCATGATCACATGTATGGGATCTGTAACCATCACATGAGTTTGACATTACAGAAAGGAAACAACACCAGCTTCCTCTTCTGTGTGATGGACTCCTCCTCAAGGAGTCACGTTGACAATCCTCACAGAACTGCCAGTATCGCTGGTGTTGACAATTGTGAATCCATCTACCGCTTTTGTTTAGAGGTGTAACTGCCTCGGCCTTTAACAGAGAACAACAGCCGCAACCACATTCTCTCATTTCCTCCTTCGCCAGAAACCAACATGAAGATGTCTGATGCTCTTTGTATTTCTGGTTCGTTCTTTGGTGAGTGGTGCTCTGTCTGTTTGAGTGCATATACTCTCTCTACTTTTATTAAAAGTTACGTTTTTTATTAACTCTCTTTCAGGGTCTACAGAGGGACAGCAAGGTACCACTCAAACCTTTACTTCTTGGGTGTTCTTGACCACCATGTTGTGAGATTTGGTGTTAAAACGCTGTGTTTTCCCCCTTTTTACAGACTGTGGTTCATGTTACCTGATAAATATGGGGTCTGTGTTGGGCATTTTTGCCTCTGATATCATCTTGACCGTCCTCATCGGCATTTCTGTGTTCTGTTTTGCGACTCACAACAAGAAAAGGAGGGAGTGTGATTCTCGTGATGGTGAGCATTAAATCCTTTAATAACCCACAGTGATGCTTTAAGAAATGTGGGGTCCAGTCTGTTTTATATTACCTATCATTCAACTTTGAGGAAGTGTAATGGTAACGTTAAACTTTTTAATAGGTAAAAGAAATATTCCATCATCGTCATCAAAGAAAATGTCAGCAGAAGTCACAGAATCTCCCTACCAGGTAAAGCAGAACTATATAATTTTTTTAATATTAAAGATACTAAATATGATTTTTGCCAGGTTATATCTATATATTATTTGTATTTTGATGATGAACTGTTGGCCTTTTTGTAGGAGTTACACGGAGTCCAATCAGATGTGTACACTGAGCTTCGGCCCTTTAGGAAAATAAACAACAGAAATATGAAGATCTGAACATTGCTCTCTCTGCAAGCAATAATACCCCACACATCTGTGTGTGTGTGTGTGTGTGTGTGTGTGTGTGTGTGTGTGTGTGTGTGTGTGTGTGTGTGTGTGTGTGTGTGTGTGTGAGAGCCACTTATACGCCCGCAGCACTAACATATGTGTATTGTGCATGTTGTATTAAGTATTGTGTTGTATTGAATGTGATGTTCACTGCAAAACATTCTTGTTTTTTTCTCAAGCTGTATTCAAATGTGTTTTTATATTTAAATAATTATAAATTAAACTACCTTTTAAAATCAAGTGAATTAAAAAATATGCATTAATTAGATTTTCTTTTTTTCTGTATTTATATTCTGTGAGATTACCTATGCATTTTCAAACTACAGTAAACATACAAAGACTTTAAATATTGACATAAGAGTAAAAGTTTCAAAGATTCTGTTTTCAGTGATCTAAATAGTTGTATGTTTCTGCATTTTATTTAACATTAACATTTTTCATCTACAATCTGTAGCAGCTTTAACCATTTTCAATGCGCAAGCACAGCACAAACTTGTCATAACCTCTTTATTTGTTCACATGATCAAATAACAAAAGGGATGTAAAAATCTAAATTGGGATGAAAAAGTCCCAGAAGAAACTATTTGGAAGAAAGCAGGCTGCCAGCGTGACTCAACAGTTGTCGGGCCCTGACTCATTATGAGGAAGAAATGGAATCTGGGAAAAAAACAAAGAACAATTGCCATTGAACATTGTTATTATTATGTGTTGCAGTTGCATCCGGCAGACTGGGTGGATAGAGATAAAAAGCACAAATAATTTTTTTGTATTCAAATTTATTGGAAACACACCTTTGTAGGATCATCAGGAGGCTCGGACCTTTGCTGGAGCCGGGAAGCTACTGGCCATGTGCTCCTGAGGAGCAAGAGTGTACATGAGAATTGATCTTTCAGGATAGCGGCCACTGTGCGCATTAATTATCAAAGAATTCGGTTACAATATTCTTCATGGGCATAAAACATGTATTACCTACTGGATGCGTTTCAGCACTGATTAACTCCCTGGTTTCTGTGGAATGTTAAAACCAATCATTCATTCTTTGATGCTCAGAACATCATTGTTGAAATAAATGTTTTATGTAACTAAGAATCCGATCTTACCATCATAGTCTGTATCTCCTCTGTTGCCCACTGGAGCAGGTCTGCCATTGTCCTCCAAACTATCCCGATCCATCAGTTCTCTGCTCCTACCTGGGGCAAACATACCATTCGACCCAAATCCATGTTTTCCGGGTAAATGGTCCCGCTCTTGAGCCTCCAGCGTCTCCTCACTGCTACGATCAGTCCGCTCTCTGCTTGCTGGCTGTGGTCCATGCGGCCCACTACGCTCCCCACTACCCTCCTGGTCCCCGACCTGCGTCCCCCCATTGGTTCTCCTTGTCGATGGTGCTTTATCTTTCTCCAAAACTTGGGAAATCATCATCGCATCACTGTCAAGGCTTCGGGAAGAATCTGAGAAGACAAAAGGTTAGCATACAATGTGCATCAGTTGCACTTTGACATATATCGGGATGTTAAATGTTAATTTGAATAAGGGGACAGGAGCTTTATCGGACACTTCAAACTTGAATTTCATGGGAAAATTCATTCAAGTTAAATTGGTAAATTACACCCTGCACACCTGTAAATCTATTGATGCCTAAATTCTCTGTCAATCCCGCCTTTGACGTATCTATGAGTGAATATATTTGAGTCATACCAAATCAAAAGACATTAAGAAATTAAAGTTTCTTAAGAGGTAGTTACTAGTGCCATAGTTTCAGTATGAATCAAAATGGAGAAAAAACAAAAATGTACCTTCAGAATCATCGTCTTTCACTGATTCATTTGGAGGGTTTGCTGAAAACGTGAGAAAATATGTTAATAATCACTGAGGTGGTTAAATATAACAATCACATGACATCAAAAGGTTTTGCTATACTAAACCTTAACAATAAAGTTATTCAATGAACACACACAAATAGCAAGTATGTCTCTTCTGTTTTTCTGTGTTTCATTTTAAGTTCACATTTACGTTCTTGGGAAACAAAAAGTACTTTGAGTGATGCTTTCCTGTTTTAAAGCTAAATCTATCTCAGAGTATCTGAAAGCTACTATTTTGAATCACAGACCTGTAACATTTCCAGGTATCTTTTCTGTAGATGGGCGAAGTGAATCTATAACAAGAGTGAAGAACACGTTATGTCATCAAAGTTCCCACTGTTTTTAAATAATAAATTATCTAATTGAAGCAGTAGTATTCTGCACGAGTAAAAGATATAGATTAGATTGATAAAATAAATAAATAATTACCATGCAGAAAGCTTAGCACATTTTCTCTTTGAGCTAGGAAAAAAAAGAAAGACCAAGAAGATTTAATCGCTCCTGATAAATCATCAAACATACGTTGCAAAAGTTGTGTAAGCTCAAACAAACATTTTATTATTTTTTCTCTCTTGGAGTTGGTTTACCTCTGATTGGGGCAGTTGCCACCATCGCCACCGGTAGAAGTAGACAAAACGTGAAGCTGAAACAAATAAAACAATTAAATCAAGTTTGAAATGCATGTTTATATATATATAAAGCATGTCATTTGCAGTTGGGAAATACAATGTCTCTCAATGACATATCTAATTAGGAAAGAAATAAAACATTAAAAAAACGTACAGCTTCATCGTTGATGTTGGTCCTCAGCCAGGGATTGTTAGCCAGCATCTAGTTAATGTACTGTCGCTCTGTCCTGAATTTCCCCCTTTAATAGCTCTTCCCGTTGTTAATTATATCCTGACGAGATGTATCAGATTGAGTAGCAAGTCAAAGACTGTGTATGTGTGTTTAACAGTGCGTGACTTGAAGCCAGGGGACCAACAATTAGGAAACAGAAGGAGTCAACAAGGGTCTATTCATTACATCAACTCGAGATGGAAACAGATGTTCTCAATATTCAAACTCACAGAGAGCCTTTGTCTTTCTTTCTATTGTGTGTTAGTTACAGGTTGGTTAGTTCAGAAAAATGCCACTGACTGGAGTAGCCTTTCTAATGATGCCACAGAGCATAGACATTGTTTCTGTCACCAACCATTGTCCATTTGACCAGGGAGCCACATGTTTGTCTTACCAATGACCTTTTTCAAACATATCTGTCCTTTAGAAATCCCTGAAATTGACCTGACCAACCGCAGTTGTGCAGGTGATAAAAAAAAAAAAAAATATATATATATATATATATATATATATATATATATATATATATATATATATATATATATATATATAATTAGAAACTTGGTGTGTGTTTCCGCTGCGCTCCAACTAATTCATAAAAATGTGAATTATGAAGAACAACAGAATGCTATTTGCCCTCCGGAGTGGTGGTTAAACATGCGCGATGTTTGTTTGTGACATTTCGGATAGATGTGCATCTAAGAGATGAACTGACAAACCCCACTGACCGACTGTCTGACTCGCAGAGGAATGCAGATAAAAGTTTCTGTTAGACCTGTTGGTGGCTGAAGTCCCCCCCCAATGAAAAAGAAAGCAGAGCGCCCTCTGCGGGAAAGGCTGTTCGCGCACTAAGCTCTTGATCCCGAGCATCGCCATATTGACGTCCCAACAACGCTGAGAGGTAATCGGGTTATTTAACCACAACTCGTCGTAGGTTTGAAACCGCCGACGGGTGTTTTAAACGTAAGGAAAAGCCGACAACAACCAACGTAGCCGTGGTGCCTTTTTCTCTTTCGGTCACAGTGTTTGCAAGACGTTTTTTCAAGGCGTTGTCAGGCAGTTGCCTAAGCTAGCAGGCTATTCACTCCCCTAGCCTGCTAGCTTAGCACTTTACAGCTTTAACGTTCGTAAATATATCTTTCGAAGCTTGTTGTTTAGCTATACGTTAACAATAACCACGATCATTATGATTTGGCCGTTTGGATTTGGGGTGTTTTCGTTATTTCCGTTAAAGTCCCACGGTGTGGCCAAAAGCTAACGTTAGTAGTGACTTTCCAACCGGCGTTTCCCTCGGCTGTTGACGAGCTAATGCTAACTAGCTATCTAACCTGACCAGCTGCCCGGTTTGTCTGAGCGCTATACGTTAGCTAACGTTAGCCGCTAGCTCCACTGCACTAGTGCAGGCCTCGGGCCACGCAGGGTTTTGTGCGTATGCTCACCTTTTCATTTAAGTATTAGTTGCGGGCTCACCGGCTACACGTGAAAGAGGGTATTTTACAGCAGATACCATTTGTGGATTGGATTATTCATTTCGTAAACTGATTCATTTAATGTAGCCTAGCTAACCTAACTTGGCTACATTGGCCGACATACGTTACCTCACACAGTGAGTTCATGTTTGTCTAATTGGCAGCATTGATTTGAATCAACCCACTTTCCCCTCCACAGATACTGCCGGCTGTAGTCCCCAGTGATGACTGTATTGAGCCCTGTACCTCCTGATTAGACTGGTTGGATGCCCCCATTTAACATTCAGGTCTCTACATTTCACACACCATGTTTTAACACTAAACGCAACGCAAACGCTGCCTTCTACTTGGTACCTCTGCAGATTTTTTTATTTTTATTCATTCAGCGTGAGTGACTTGGTTTTGAACGTATGTGAAATGTTTGACTGTTGTATTCTAACGCTTTGTTTTTTCGTCTGTATGCCCATTTTAGATTTCTTACCATAAAGGCATCTCAACTGCTCCTGTTTCAATTCATCTATCACCACCATCCTGGAGGGAACCCCCCAGGTCTTTTTTCCTTCTAATTGGATCACCTTATTTCTTACATTCGTTTATATGGGGTCCTCGATTGCTAACCATTGTATATTACTACACGATTGCTTTTGCATGTACTTGTGTTTTCTGTGATTTTTAAGTGACTCACCTTTTTAAAAATCTCTTTATCTCAGGAGCTTTGGAGAAGATCCCGTGTAGAATATGTCAGGCCCTGTCCCAAGCCGCTCCAGAGTTTACCCTGATGTAAACACACAGAGGCCGAGGGAATATTGGGACTATGAGTCCCATGTTGTTGAATGGGGGTAAGGCAAAGGGAAACTGTTTGTGCTTTAGTTGTATTTGTTTCTTATTGCTTTGCATCATAAACATAGCTCAGCATTGTTAACCATGGCTTTTTGTTTATTTTAGGAACCAAGACGACTACCAACTAGTCAGAAAACTAGGTAGAGGCAAATATAGTGAAGTGTTTGAAGCCATAAACATCACGAACAATGAAAAAGTGGTCGTCAAAATACTGAAGGTATGGAATAATTAACTGATTGTCCTTACGATTTTTATAAGCAATGCAAATGTTCTTCACTTAAACCCATTCGTATTTTTTCACCTCAGAGGAGATTTAATGTACCTAACTGACTGTCTTTGTTCAAAGCCGGTCAAGAAAAAGAAAATCAAGAGGGAAATAAAGATCCTTGAGAATCTGAGGGGTGGCCCAAATATCATCTCACTGTTAGATATCGTTAAGGATCCTGTGGTAATTGTTTCTCCCTTTCTTTGCTTTCACAAATGTAGAATGGATCTAAATACAAGGTTCACACGTTTACATAGTTTTTATCTTTTTCCTCTCAGTCCCGAACCCCTGCTCTGGTCTTTGAACATGTGAACAACACAGATTTCAAGGTAAATACCAGTTCTCTGTTGACATTATTTTGTCCGTCTATTCAATTATTTTTTCTCCCTTTTTCAAAAAAAAATGTCTCATACATTTTTTTAAATATTTTTTTTACAGCAATTGTATCAAACTCTATCTGACTTTGACATACGGTTCTACATGTATGAAATCTTAAAGGTAAGAAATGGCTTCTGGTCTGCTCAGTTTGTTCGCATTAGCTGTTGTCACCGAATGAAGCCCTTCTTGCATCGGTGCAATAGTCTCTCTAACAGATATACATTTTTGATTATTTATATGTACATGATATATCTTTTTCCCAATAGGCTCTGGATTACTGCCACAGTATGGGGATTATGCACAGAGATGTCAAGCCACACAATGTAATGATTGATCATGAACACAGAAAGGTATTGTCTTAAATGCTGACCAGGCTCCTATTTCTTTTTTCTACTGTGACACCAGCTAATCATATATTTTTTTTTTTTTTTTTTTTTCAAATACATCAAATTCAATCTCTGTAAACTTCTAGCTCCGCTTAATCGACTGGGGGTTGGCGGAATTCTACCACCCAAACCAGGAATACAACGTGAGAGTGGCATCCAGGTACTTCAAAGGGCCTGAACTGCTGGTAGACTACCAGGTGAGCCTCGTGTTCCTTTCCTACGTCTAGTCATGCAGATTTCATGCAATATGGTAAGCGTGGCGCTACAGTATTAATGGAAACTCATCTGTTTATTCTTTTAATTTCACTTCACTCACGGAGCAAGTTTAGACTTTTTGATTATTTATTTTTTTTAAACCTGTGTGTTATTTGCAGATGTATGACTACAGCTTGGACATGTGGAGTTTGGGTTGCATGCTTGCCAGTATGATCTTCAGAAAGGAGCCTTTCTTTCACGGTCATGACAACTATGACCAGGTATGTAAAATCAGAACTTTCATTTAGTCGTCTTGTCTATGTAGTCAAAAACCTGTGCTGTGTCTGCCGCTGTCATTTATTTCAAACGTTGGATGCAATGTTGTAGATTTCCTTTTTTTCTTATCATTGACTGAGTCACTGGTGTTTTATGTCTTAATCTGTCATTGAGCAGGGCGGTTATTCATTAACCCGCACAGAATTTAGAGCTGACAAATGTAGCATTGTACAAAATGTGGACCCAGATAACATCTCATTTTGGTTCCGTGGGTGTGGGTTATTGGTCGTGTGAGCGTATACACTGAATACCATCGTTCCAGTAAATTCCATGGTTCTTTTGGGCTTTTGGCGTTTCGTTCTACTAGTACACAATGGCAGCTGTTGATTTAATATTTGTATTTTTTAAGTAATTATATTGTACAACTTTTACACTGGGCTCAATGTATGTTTCTCTGATTTGTGTAAAATTCTGTATACTTTTTTTTTAAATAGCTGTATTATACTTGCACCTACGGGGGGGGCTTTTGCTGTTTGGAAATTCAATCTATGTAGACATCAAGTGAAAAATCCCTAATATTCATTTCAAAATATGTATATTCCTATACAATACACCATAACTACTGCTTTATAATGTATTCTCTTAATACAGTCCTGCTAACTAATTGATAAACACTTGGGTACCATCACCCTCAATACACGTCATATGATTTTACAAATCTCAAACATCATTTAATTGTTGAATTATTCTGTCTGTCTCGCAGCTGGTGCGAATTGCAAAAGTGCTCGGCACCGAGGACCTCTACGACTACATTGACAAGTACAACATTGAATTGGATCCACGGTTCAATGACATCCTCGGAAGGTAAAACACTGGCTGTTTGACCTCAGTGAACTATCATTGAAGATTTCCTCTAAAATGTTGTCTTTTTGTTGTAATTAATAACTCCAGTTAAAACGTGGCCCGTGGTTTGTTCTTTTAGACACTCCCGCAAAAGGTGGGAGCGGTTTGTGCACAGCGAGAACCAGCACCTGGTGAGCACAGAGGCTCTAGACTTCCTGGACAAACTGCTGCGCTATGACCATCAAGCCCGCCTCACGGCCAGAGAGGCCATGGAACACCCCTACTTCTGTAAGTTCCTTGTGCCCCTTTTTGTCCTTTTTTTTTTTTTTTTTTTTTAATTTATTTTTTACACCCTGTCTGCAACTCTCATTTGCTAGAGTAAATTACCTTTTACCACCATTTGAGTGAAGCGCATGAAGCCCAGTTGGGTCCACACTTTTTGTATTTTGTTCATGCGCCGCTAAAATCCACTTTGGTTTGCAGATCCCATCGTTAAAGATCAGGGCAGAGGGGCCACTCCTGGGGGAATGGCTACCAGCTCCACACCAGTCAGCTCCTCGAGTATGATGGCTGGTAAGTAACCCTTAAAGGTTAAATATCAATTAAGCGAGGATACAAAGTACGCATCTATAATCTGACTATTTTGGGGTGGGGGCTTTAAAATGAATGTGCACCGTGTCTCTTTTAGGCATCACCTCAATGTCCTCCTCCCAGCCACTGGCTAACATCGCTGGATCACCCGTCATCTCTGCCCCCAACACCTTGGCCACACAAGTTCCCGCAGCCACCGGGGCTCAACCCTGAAGCCACTTCCTGGCCTGCGTTTCTGTGCGCTCATGGCCGTGTCCCGCCTAGCTCTCATCGTGGCCCAGGCCCGTGGCTCCCCTTTTTATGTTGAAAATAACAAAGAAGATTTAAATTGCTTTTCACATTCAGTTAAATTTTGACACACCTGGACTTGACAGAAATGTATTGTTGCAGCTGTCAGGATTATTAGAATTAATTTGAGTGTGTTATTTGACAATGCCATTGTCTAGAAAACTCTAATAAGATGTAGACATGAAGAGAATGGATAATAAAATTTATTTTGTATGTTCCAAATATACAGTCTTGCTTGAAACTGTTTGATGGTGATCCTGCTGTATTACACTGTGAACCTCGATAAGATTTCACAAAATAGAGTTGGGAATCTGGTGTGCCGCACTTAGCAGTGCTTGCTGGTCGCACACGATGTAATGTGCAGGAGTTGTTGGTGTTTTGAAGTTGTTAGATGCTATAATTCATTAATTGGACTTTTGTAGATATTCTACAGTTACTGTCAGGTTGCATGCACCCAATGCTGAGTATCACAGGGTCAATAGTTTGCCAATTTTATGTTACTTTCACTTCTATATGTGTATGTATGTGTTCATGTTTGTTTTTTATGAAGTCTCTTACACATGATTTTGATTACATAGACAATTTTGTAACTTTTTGTTTTATGTCGGGAGGAGTCATCACCTACAAAAACAACTTCAAAAATAAACAATTTAAACAGGGCTTTGCAGGAGCTACATGTTATTGCGTTATTGGCAATATGTGGGGGATTTAAAGCAGAACAGCGTAGTCGGCGTGTCTAATAATGGAATATGTTCATAGTGAATTCCACAGCTTCACCTGCTGTTCAGTTTGAACAAAGGGAGGTAATTGCATTTATATTAATAATTTGTCTTTCAAATATTTTGAGTTATGGAGGCATTGAGTGTATTGATGTACACACACGGTTTTTAAAAGATTGCAAGGTAAATGTGTGAGCAGGAGCAGGCCAGCACATTCAGAGCACATCTGACCAAAATGGCGGGATGAGGCTGCAACTATTTACGCCACAGTGGGAGATGAGTGAATGACTCTCACGCGCGGTTCCTGACAGGAAGTTAAAGGCCTGCACAAACCCGGCCCGTAACATAGAAAACATCCTGGTTTTTCCCAGGTGGTAAAAGGCAAAAAGTTAAAATGACACACGAAGAAGACTCCTGCGATAAGTCACGCCAGTTGCGTTAAAGCTCCGCAGTTACAAGTCCACTGACATTCGGAGCATATGGTGGACTCAAACTAACACCCGCTGTCCCCCGGGGACTCCTGCTGGACTCGCATCCCGTCTCTATCTGCCATCAGAGCCGCAGATACACGCAATGTGGCTTCGTGCGTGGTATTTCTGTTTTGTCGTGGTAGCAGTAGCACGAGCTATTCGGGTTGATGCTGCATTCAGGGGGTTGTCAAATATTGGAAAGTACATGCACCAAAATTATTTGTCGTTTAATCGCTTTTTTTGGTTGGACTAATTTTGACGAAAAACGTAAATGTCTTGTATTTGATCTTTGAGTCAATAAATCACATTTACCCTATGCTCTACCGAAGGTGTAAATGAAAATGATAACGTGCAAATTGCTAAAGTCACATTTCCTACAGTTTCTAAGGCAGCATCAGTCTGCTGTGGCACGCCTCGGCTTAGGACTCAAACTTTGCAGGGACGGACAGAGTTGTGCACTAGTCACTTGTTTTTATGCACGTTTCCTAAATGGGGAAAGTAGCTTTAATCTCGCTTGTAGTAGCTGCTTTAGCGGCGCTGCTGGGGGAGAGGATCTTAAGTTTCAGGTAAAATAGGATGCAAATCCCTAAATCCCGAGACGACGCGGAAATGTTTTGGGGTTTGCTGCTAACTTTTTTTCAAACCAAGTTGTTGTATTCTAGGGCAGCTATCCCGATTTAACGTTTGTTTGTTGAAAACATTACAGAAAAAGGACATTGGCTTCAAGGGAGTTGGTGAAAAATCACCTCCCCAACTGTGTTGCACTCAAAAATCTGGGTAAGTATGTAAGAAAATGGAGAAAATGAATGAAATGAGTTGATATTTACGTCTTGATGCTCATTTCAGATTCTGGCTCCAATGATATAACGATCCTTGGAAACGGACTTGCCTTCATCAGCACCGTAAGTAGTTGATTTAAAAAGCAGATACCTGAAATATGCTTATTGGGTCAATAGAAATCCCTGGCACTCATTTGAGTGGGTGATCAATATAGCTTTAGGTAACGTTTCCTTAATCCTACACCGCCAAGGAATAATATCTATTAAATTAATACCATAAAGGTCAGTTGTACTGACTGCATTTGGCTTTATAAACTGCAGAAAATGGTGTTACTTAGGTACCACACTGTGCTGTGCAATGTTTCATACATTCAATATAATTAAGTCTTTGTTTTTTCTTAATCTCCAGGGTTTGAAGTTTGTTGGACTGCCTTCTGCAAATACGATAGGAAAGATCTACACACTTGATATGAATGATCCTCGGATGAAACCAGGGGAGCTGCGCATGCCACGAAACTTTGACCTGGAGTCGTTCAACCCTCACGGCATCAGTGTATACGTCGATCCAAGTGGTAAAAGTACTCAATTCCTATGTGTGGTTGCACACAAGTCTTTAAAAGATGACACCTTCAGGGAAAATACCCCAGTATTGGGCTTATCTACTGCGTTTTGTAAAAATCTGATCCAGATTAAACAGCATTTATATTCATCCAGATGTACATTAAAGGAAAATTTCGACCACATAAAGGGTACTTGTATACCAATTACTTACTCATTACTCATGTGTGGCCTTGTTTTTCTCGCTGGCTTCCATCAAAAGAATCAAAAAATGTTGAAAAGTCTCTGGTGATTGTAAGTAAATGGGGGAGCGTTTCTGCACGCACCAAACAAGGGCATCTTTGCACAAAAAGATTTCCGTTTAAAACACTCAGGACTTGTATGGACGAGTATACAGGAGACTAATGCACAAGTGTTTTAAATAGTAGGTTTTAGCAAAGATGCAGGCGTTTAAAATTGGGCCTTAGACCACTATAAATGAGACTTTGATTGTACTGCACGTGGTTTGTTGGAGTCCAAAAAGGAACCATGATATATTTATTTATTTATTTTTCTGTCATTAAAGGTGGGCCCCGCATTTACTTCAGTTAGTAAAGACATTTTCTTGTTTCTTAATTCTCTTCATTTTTGAGGCATAATGGGTTGAATAATTGCTATACAGATTATTTTGAGGGTAAAGTGTGTATAGCCCAAATTAAATTATGTTTTGTGATGGGAAAAATAATTGTATTCTCGACTACGGCTACTTTGACATCAGTAGATACGTCAAATTCTATTGAGTTTGTCGAATTTGCCTGCTGTGGTATTCACAAAGGGTATCCTGTTGGCATAATGGGAGTCACCAAGACGCTTGCACTTTCCTAGGTGTAATAAATAAATTGCAAATTAAATTGATACACATGGGTTGTGCTTTTTTATTATGGGCTTATTTTTTAATACTGTATCTGTAACGTTGTTGTCTTTTCTTCTTCATAATGCTCTCTGTGTTTCTCAGATGACGCAATATACCTGTTTGTGGTAAATCACCCTCAGCAGAAAAGCCAAATAGAACTGTTTAAATTCATTGAGGACGACCACTCGCTGGAGCACCTGAAAACCATAAAACATGAACTTCTCTACAGGTACAGTATATGTTGACTGATTCAAATTGCACCTAACATAAAATACACTTGGAATTTACTGAATAGGGAGATGTTGTCAATATCAATCGAAGACCATCCCATGATAGACCGAAGTTAACCCAAAAGCATATTGTGATTTAAAAAGTAATTATTTTCTAAAATAATTCAGATTTTGTCTTTGCAGTGTAAACGATATTGTGGCAGTGGGACTGGAGAGCTTCTATGCCACCAACGATCACTACTTTAACCACGAAATGCTCAAAGTTTGGGTGGAGTTTCTTCTGGGTCAGCCTTGGACTAACGTTGTGTACTACAGTCCAGAGGAAGTAAAAGTGGTCTCTGAAGGATATTACTTTGCAAATGGCATTAATATCTCACCGAACAAAAAGTAAGAACAGTATGCAGAGCAACGCATGTGGTGATTCATACCTCAAAAGTCAGAATTTCTTCATTTCTGAAAACATTCTCATTTATAGGCATTTATATGTGGCAGATCTATTTGACCACAACGTGCACGTATTGGAGGTGGAAGATGACAATGCATTGGTCTCGGTGAAGGTAAATTATTTTATGTTTCAGCATTGAAAGTGTTTTTGATACGTGTCAAGAATCAGTCGTACTACTGATAAATGACTATGCTCTGTCAACTTTAATAATTAAACAATTTTATGCTTTTGTCAACATACCAATATTAGGATATACAATACTGGTGTGCTACTGTAGTGGACAGTATGGGTATCATGACTCAACAGTATGGCTAATATTTGCTGAATGAGAAAAAGTTATTTGCGCATTTCATGTATTGCATAACTAGTTTTAATTTAAATTGAATTTAATGGAAAAATGTGTCATTTGAAATGCATATAATGTTGGTGCTCTTCATCTAATGTGGTTAAGGAATTCCCAAACCAATACAACATAAAGTCATGATAGAATTAAAGTAGTCGAGGCACCAAAATGCATGTAAAATCATATATAGTCATAATAATCTGTGCGTGTGTGTGTGTGTGTGTGACACTTTTCAGGCTGTGTCTGTGGATTCACTCTGTGATAATGTGGAAGTGGACCCTGAAACTGGGGACCTGTGGTTAGGTTGTCACCCTAATGGATGGAAGTTTTTGATGGCAGACCCCAAAGACCCAGCTGGATCGGAGGTTTGTCCTTCCAATTTACCAGTTAGTAAATTTGTTCGACTCCTGTCAGCATTGCAATACCAGCCACAACATGAAGTATACTTGGGCAAGCAGCAGATATAGCCACATGTAGTCATCTTGTTCATAATTCTTCCTTTATGTTTTGTTTTTATCAGGTCATCCGAATCCAGAACATTCATTCCGATAAGCCGGTGTTGACCCAGGTGTACTCTGACGACGGCCATGTGATCATTGGCTCCTCCGTAGCAGCTACCTATGGGGGGAAGTTGCTCATTGGCACTGTGTTCCATAAAGCCCTGTGCTGTGATTTGAAGTAGGCCATTACTGCTCAAAATATTACTGACCCCCCCCTGCCTTTGCAAAGCTCTCAATTAGAAAACGTTATGCTAATTTGAATGACAACATATACATGAATATTACAGCACTGGTTTAAAGGGGGTACAGTGCCTGGAAATCCAAAAGGAGGATGCGATGGATCTATTATATTTAATTCCAATAGGTCCTGGATACAACCTTCTTGTACACATTGTATGGGTACTACGGCCTATTTGAAGGTGGTTTCAGCCACAGAAGTCACTGAACTATGATTGAACTGCTGGGAAATAAGTACTTGCAAAACAGAATATTTTAACCAATATTTGCTTTACTGTGTACCATAAAAATAAGTATAAAGTATTTTTCACTGGTCACCTGAAAATGTGAGATCTACTGATGGATTTTATAGAACTTTTAGTTTTTTCCTCTCAATAAATCACCAAAGAGAGTATTGTATCTATGGCTTGTCTTTTGGTTCAATACATCTGCACTAAAAAGCTGTGTTCATGAATACAAATGTATGCAAAAAGAATAACGAAAAATCCCAATTTCCCAATTTTTTAGACTCCAACTTTGGGAACTGGTTAATGGTTGAGTGTAAAAGACTGTACAACATGAACATTGACAGAACTAACCCTACTGCAACATGTCTCAGTATCATGACAATGTTGAAAAAGACATTATGCACTACGTACTATCCTCAAAAGAAGAAGGGGTCATTATTAACTCGATGACCAAATGATTCCGTGTGTTTTCATGTTCCAACCTTAAAGCCTAGTTTATGCTTCTGCGTTTTCAGAGCGACGCAAACGCAAGACCCCCTTGCGTGTCCCTTGCGTGCCTTTTCACACGTCCTTGCGTGTGTCGACCCATTTTTACGAGAGAACGGATCAGATTGAAGAACTTTTGTCGGGAGAAATGCGTAAATATGACCGCGGGTTGTATAAGCGGTCATTTACGCATTCCTCCCGACAAAGTTGTGGAGGAAAATACGGGGCAAATGTGTCCGCGATGAAAAGCAACAGTGGCGATGCACGGGGCAATACGGTCTATGATAAATAAATAAACAAACAAACGACTTCCACACACAAACACGTGACTCTCTAGGTCGTCTCCAACAGAAACACGTCACTCCGCCGGTTGTCCTGACGGTGAATTGCTCTGCAACACACGCAAGACTTTTTAGAACCGTGAATTGAAACGAGTGCGTCGACGCAGACGCAGAAGCACGCACCAGCCCTTACTGTTCCTAAGTGAGTAGTTCCCGTGTTCGAGAAAGGGTTAAAGAGATCATCACTGTGAGAGAAAGCGCCACGCGTGCGTCTCAAAGTTCGCGTGTGAGCGTCTTTCGTTTTCGGGGCGGGTGTTTAAATACGTACTAGAGGCTTCTTGTGTTCCTTTCGACCTCACCTCATGGCTGCCATGAAGAAAATACTAGCTGCGGCAGTTGTTGCTGCAGTTGCAGTTTACATTGGACACCGATTTCTGAAAATAAAGTAAGTGCGTTTTTGGAATCCACATGCGGCAGAATTCAGAGGTTCGCCTGCAACGCTTCTCAATGTCCACATTAACACATCTGTTAACTACAAGTGGTCAAATATGGAATGCAAGAAACAAACAATTGCAAAATCAATCAAAAACAATGACACCGTTATTTGGTATACAAAGTTTTTCACACACAAGTGTTTGTTCTGTGTGTTGCGTCATGTTGAATTTGTTCTGCAGGGAAATGTGCCTTGCCTCCAGAGAACTTCCTGTGAAACACCTCAACTGTCATTATTTAAAGAATATCGGTAGGCATTCTCAACTCTTGTGTTCCTGTCATTGTCTTAATTCAGGTATTTTCAAAAAGTTGTTTGGTGTTGTGATCACACACTCAGAGTTTAAAGTCCACTTTACTGACTACAGGTGAAGTGTCAGCAGTGTTGTCATGTTAGGGTGGTGAAACTGAAGACCTGCGAAGTGTAACACATGCTATTTTGTTTTGTACAGAATATGGAGCGGAGGATATTACAGTACTTCGGGATGGCCTGGCCTTTCTGAGCACAGTATGTTATTAGCATTTATCACGGTTGCAGGAATCTTAACCCCTGCATCATTGTCTGTAAAACAATCCTCTACACTATGTGAAATTACAGGTTATTTGTGATGACCTCCTCAACCAACATGTTGTTTTCCACTTCAGGGGTTAAAAATTTTCAACATGCCTTCGTTCTCCGACGAACCGGGCAAAATGTATGTCATGGATATGCTGCATCCAAGGCCGACTCCGGTCCAGCTGCAAATCAAAGGAGAGCTGGACCTCAGCTCCTTCAACCCACACGGCATCAGTGCGTACGTCGATGAAGCAGGTAAAGTACAAGTCAGTACATCTCAACTAAAGCACAAAGAAAACTGAAACGAAATTGATAAAGAAGATTGAAATTGTGTCAACATCTTTCTTTCATTTCTTTTGAACTCATAAGAATTCAATCAAGTGATCTTTTTCTATCTTTCTCATACTTTCCTCATTTTAAATTGTACTGCTGGACAACAAAACAAATATTTTTTTGAACTATGGAACAAAGCTCTGTGGATAGTTTTTCCTAGTTGTCGTACAGCGGATTGATGAGCCACCCTCATGTGAATACTAGTTTGAAAAGTTTGAATTAACTGGTGATTACGTTTGCCCTGAAAGAAAAGTAAAATGGTTGGAAAATTGAGTTTTAATGAGGTCTTCGGACCATAGATCACTGGAAAAACTATTATTGCAAGGCTGCTAACCTCTTCTTGAGAATTGTTTGACTTAGGGAAAGTGAAATACGGAAGCAGATAACTACCATTTATAAATTGGTGAAATGGCATTACAAGATATAAGAATCAACAAAATGAAAAACTTTTTTGTTTTTGTTTGAATCCTTCATATTTTCTTGAAATCAAACCACATTTTTGCTGTTCTTTATGGTCAACATTTCATATCAACACTTTAATATTTATATTCAGCAATTACCTCTTCATATAGTAGTTTTTATTGTTAATGGCTGCATTTGTCATTAAGATATTTTTCACATACCCCGGGGATTTGACTCATCGGAATGCAGTACGCAAGCCAACGTTACTGTTTCTACTTTGATCTCACTCTTCGCTCTCTCACAGCCATATCACAGACGTCTTAAGCTACTGCTAATGCTAACCACCATTTTCCGCTAATGTGTAGGTGGTATCAGGACTTGTTTTAAATTAAGGAAATACTGTGAGTCATTACAAGACGTCGACAGGACAAACACGGGGGAGGGTGGGTCGAGCTTTTGTGAAGAACATGCTACAGGGTTGGTAGACAAAAGTGGATGCTTTTTATATTCCAAAGGTGAAAACATTGCTGTTTGTTTGCAGATGACTCCGTGTACCTGTTTGTTGTCAATCACCCTCAGCAAAAAAGCCAAGTGGAGATCTTTCATTTTGTTCCAGAGAACACACTTGTACACTTAAAAACTATTACCCACCCCCTGCTCCACAGGTATGTACGCCGGTATACTGAACCCTTGACCGCATCGCGGATGTTACATTTAACAATCTCTGACAAAGATTTTGAACTCGTCCGTCGTGTCGTCCAGTGTGAATGACGTTGTTGCAGTCGGAGTAGAGAGCTTCTACGCTACCAATCATCAAGCCTTTGCCAATGATGTGCTCAGTGCAGCGACTACCCTGCTGGGTTTCTCCTGGTGTGATGTAATATACTACAGTCCAAACGAAGTGAGGGCGGCAGCCGACGGCATCCTGTCCCCCAATGGCATCAACATATCACCTGACAAACGGTTATTCTCAATTCATTTCAGCAGTTATTGTGGCACTGAATGGGTTTCCTCAGAGATATGTTTTCTTTGCGGTGCAAAAATAATAAAACGGGAATGTTTTTTAATTTTTTTTATTACAGGTATATTTACGTTTCCAATATCATGGGTCATGCAATCAACGTTTATGAGAGAAAAGAAGAAGAGCAATTACAGTACCTTAAGGTAATAAACTTTTTATCCAACTACCAACAACTGTATTTATTTCAACAATGTTATTACTTTGCTTCTTAGCAAATGAATACAAAAAACATATTTGTTCATGGTTTCTACACGTTGTTTGCCTTTATACAGGAAAGAATACAATCAGTTTACTGTATTTGATGTTTCCCAACAGGCCGTAGCTGTTGGGTCACTTTGTGATAACATTGAGGTGGACCACAGGACAGGTGACCTATGGTTGGGTTGTCACCCGAATGGCAAGAAGTTGGTAATGTTTGATCCTGAAGATCCACCCGGCTCCGAGGTTAGTGTTTTATAATTGTTTCAACATTTCTATTTGAATTTAGGATAGAATACAATATGTATTTATTGGCCATTAGGGTGGAGATTTGTCTTTGGTTCACCAGGAACAAGACACAACAACTAGTAAAGTAATAAAACACAAAGACAAGGTCTTATTTATAGCACCTAGAGGTCCTCTGTAGCGCCTCCCGGAGCTCAAGAGCTCAACCTTGCTGAGGAGAGAATGGGATTTATCTGTCTGGATAGAAACACACTAGAACAGTTTTTTATGGTGACTCGACTATAACCAAATTGTGTAGCCTGCTAATTTTACCAGGCACTAGTAATATACTCTAGCTACACTAAAAAAAAAACTTCCTTTCCTACCCTGAGAAACGAGAGTGTGGTGATAAGTTGAGTTGCTAAACTCTACTCTGGCTCGCTGTGTTTGGTAACGGTAAACCTCCACTGCTTGTTCTAGTAATTTCCCGCTAAACGGTTGCAATATCCATGTTACACATAAACAAATGCCGCCACTCTGACTGTCCTGCCATTTTGAATGTACGTTCTTCTATTGTATTAAAAAGGCTTTTCAACTATTTTGCTTGCCAATGGCACAAGCCTATAAAATGTGTTAGTCGATCTACACTTCAGGTGGTCTGACTCAACGGAGGAAGACTGTACAGGTATAAGTCTGCCATTGGTGGAGGATCTCACCTCTCTACTCCCCTTCCACTACATGCACCATGCATTGTCCTTGGGCAACAATGATGCATTCTTTGCTTAGCCTGGCCCAAGGCGTTTGGTTAAACAAAATAGCGAGGGCGTTTCTTTAGGAATGACACATTGGAGATAGGTGTGGTCTATGCGTGGCTGTAGTGAAGGTGAACGAAACAGGTAGGACGGTGGCCTGATCCTTTTGTTCCTGTTCCCTCCAGGTCATCCGGATCAAGAACATTCACTCGGATCAGCCCGTTGTGAGCCAGGAGTACGCTGATAACGGCCATGTGCTGATGGCCTCCACTGTAGCAGCTCCCTACGAGGGCAAATTGCTAATTGGGACTGTTTTCCACAAAGCCTTGTGTTGTAATTTGAAATAATGTGTGTGTTCTCTATTTCACAACTCTAAGAATAGAAATGTAAATACAATTTACATTGATATGGGTGGTAAATAATAAAATCTTGATTCCACAATTGTAGATTAATGGTTCGAACTCATTGCGTGTGTGTGTTTTAAAACAGGGAACCGTCTTAACCTTTATTTAGTATCATTTTCACAAAATGTTTGTTTTCTACATACAGTATCCATAATACTTTCATATAAAAATTTCACAAAGATGACCATTTCCACAATTTGGTAAAGGTGTTGAAAGTTTTAGAAAATGTTATCCTTTTTCATCTTTATCCATTAACAAATAGTCCTCGTCTACCTTGGATATCACGAACCTGAGCCCTCCACCACCAGCCCCCTGTGCACTTTCCTCTTGCGTGTCATCTTTGGCCGATACAGTGAAAATGATACCATCACTTTCTGAATCAAGTGGACAACTGTCCTTGTTCTCATCATTATCCATCCTTTGCCATTCTGCCGATTCGGGGTCTTGGCAGCTTTCTTGTATTATAGGACGCAAATCCTGTTCGTCTTTGCCCGCGTCAGGCTCCGCATTTACGAACACTTCACTGATGCTGATCATGCGTTTGTGCCGAGGCGAGTGATCCAGGGTTTCGATGTTGGTGGCCAGGATGTCACTGCAGCTCTTGGAGCGGTTAATGTGTGCAGGCTTTCTTGTAATTGCTCCAATTTCCTTGATGACTGTGCTGTAGTTTTCCTCCTTCTGTGACAGGAAGTTAAAGATGTCGATAACAGACGGTCTGGGTTTTCCTGCTAGGTTTGGCTTCTCCTCATCGAACTGAGGTTCATCGTTGAAAAGGTGCCTGTGCCGGTGTCTTCTTTTTTTTAGCACTTTGTGGGCTTCCACAACCATGTGGACGTTCCAGCTGAAGAAGAGAGACAGCCAGGCGAGGCCCATATAGATCCACAACTCTGCAAACACCCTGTACAGTCGGGGGTAATCCATGTTTGGGTTTACACCTGAAACAAGAGTTGTTGCATATGTGTGATTTCCATAACCAATCATTTACATTTAAAAATAAAAAGACATTAACTCTCGGAAATACCTTTTTAAAATTCAACCTACCTGCTACAAAATCTCCAAAACCTACAGTTGTGAGTGTGATGAAAGAGAAGTAAAGGCCCTCCACGTAGCTCCATCCTTCCATAGACATGAAAACAAATGGAGGGATCAGCAGGTGCACCAACAGCCCATATAACAGGAACAGGGCTGTGCAGGTGAACTGGACTTTTTTCTGACAGTACGGGGAAAAAAAGAAAGAAACACAAACAATCTTTGTTATGATAACTTGATGGAGCCGTCTTACAGTACTGTATTCAGACGGACGTCAACTACCAGCTCTCAGTAACATTCTTACCACGGAAACGCCTTTACGGATGAGAACCTGGGACAGACGTTTGGCCCGGTCTCCAAAAAAAGAGCCCAGCTCGCTTATCCACACCAGACACAGGGGGATCCCGCACAGACCATACAGGATGCAGAACATGCGCCCGCCTTGAGTCTTAGGAGAAACATTCCCATAACCTATAAAAGCGGTTTACACAAGTTAATTATCGACTTTATTTATTGTTGCAAAGTTGCAAAAAATGGTTATGCTGTATCAATTTAAATGTATAACGCATCCACAAAGGATTCATCTTATAAAAGAAGGCTACTATTTCTCTTTTTTCTGCAACAAAAGGCGCCCCAGTGGCGCCCCCACACGAACCTATGGTGGTGACAATGGTGGCGGCAAAGATGACGGAATTCGCCCAGTCCCACGAGTTTCGGTGTTGCCCGGCGAAGGTCACTCCTTGGCCGGCAGCATCCGACGCCATCTGTGAGAGCAAACAAACCAAACAACACATTCATTGACGCCGACATGTTTTTTTCTCCCTTCTCCTCTTAGTGGACACACCTTTCGCATACACGCAACTATTTGCGGTGGAAGGAGACGTTCCGCTTCACGCGCGCCGCCAAGTCACGAAACGCTTTTAACGTCGCTTTGATGCGTCTCGTTATTGGACAATTCGGTTCGGACAAAATCGCGAGTTTTATCCCGGGGGGGGGGGAAGAGAAATACACGCGGTCGTGCGTTACCCTGACGGTAACTTTCACTCTCCCGGCGAATTTATGAGAGTTGTTAGGAACTTTTTTTGTTGAGTAATCCGCGCTCAAAAAAGCTGGTGTGCAACGACAGACGGACAGCACGTGTCCAGCCGTCGTGTTGTTGTTTTTTTGTCTTGTCTTGATCAAAAACAGGTCCGTACCTCCAAAATCTCAGCCAGGCTTTCTTCGGTCAAGCAGGCGTGTTTCTTCAAAATCTCTCCTTTCTTCAGGTTGAATTCTTCTCTGGCTGATTTCCAGTTTGGCTCTTCGAGGATCTGGAATATCGCGGCCCCGATCGATAGGTAGAAAATGATACATGACGTTAAAAAAGGACCTTTTTCCGCCATACTAGGGTCATAACTTCAGTCTTTCCGTCGCCGAGCCGTTTCTCTGCAGAGGTCTGGAGTTGTCCTCCCTTCTTCCTGGTAGAACATAATGGGGTTGGTTGACACACCGCTCTCTGATGATGGTACTGAGGGGACTCGTACAAACTGCGCTCCATTGTTTAGAAAGAACATTTCTATAGGGGCTGTTGTTGTGAATAATAATGGTGGTAATAATAATATTAATATTGTGTGAGATGAAACTAGTGGAGACATGCAGAAGCATTTAAAGTCCCAGAAGAAGAAAAAAAACCCGTCTATATGGTTTCAAAACGTCCTTGCAGATCACATTATATTGTCTTTGTGGAATCAAAATTGACGCATGAGCAGACCTGTGTAAGTTAATGACCGAGTAAATGACACTCTGTCCTTTCTTTCACTATCGCAGAATACCTGAACGAAACAATGACAGAAACATGAGCCATGGGGGCAAACTGTTTTCAGTAGCCACACTCGTGTTTACGTGTACTTTCACTTGCACAAACCGGTGTGCGTTTGGCTGCTGACAGTTGCTCTTATCTTCATCCAGAGCGTCGGAGTAACTCGTATGAAGTCAAGCAAACTGGGTGGATCCTGGCTGCTCAGCACGATAATGGATGAGATGTGTCCTCGGAGTGAGGATGATAGAGCATGTGAAAGTGGGATGGAAGTATATTGATACTGCTATTTGTCCATCTACCTATTGAATAAAGAACAAACAAGGAAATACACTGAGCGTTGCGTTTCTGACGGGACGTGTAAGGGAGGAAGGCCTATGCCGGAACCACCAATGCCCTTGATCATGTATCTGCGTTCTCCGGCAAACTACTAATATGTTGGAATACAGCTTTAAGTAAAGATATATCTGGATAACTGGCTTTTAGGTAACCCTGATGTTTACAGATGTTCTGTTTAGTAACTGCTTTGTAATTCATTCTGCTTGTACGTCAACATGTACTCAAGCTAAAAAGAAGAAGAAGCCATGAATGCCTTCGCACTTATGACGTGGTGTCTTGCCTCCCCAGAGATTACCAGTACATCATCACTCACGGCTATGAGCACTTCCACGGTGGTAAACTAAGTAGGCTTCACATGGGCGAACTTTTTGAGCTGCTTTACCTGATTTGACCATTTCTGCCACTAGATGCGCGCTACACCCCTTTCAGCTGGCAAATACATCCATGTCGTTCTGAGGTTGTTGTCAACTAAATAGTATAAACTAATCAACGGTGGCTTGTTACCATATTAGAATAAGCCACCCAGCAGTATATTGCTCAAATACACTACAAGCTGTATCATCATGAACGTGCATCAATCATTTTAATGCGACGTACACATGTTTACGAACTTGCATCCCTTACTCATACATATGAGTATATTACTCAGTATGAGCATATTACTACTAATACTGAGTAACATACTGATATATGTTGTGGTGTTTGATCCTGAGCGAAGGCTCCCTGTCACACGCCTCCGATCTCCACCCATCGCCACTTAGTGCTTTGTCATCGCAGCTGCGACACCGCCTCTCCGCGGAGCCCCGGTGGGAACTATGACACCCAACTAAAGGTGGAGGAAACGAGACCCCCGTCCCCCCCCTTCAGGTATGTGACTCGCCTGCTCAAGCGCGACGCTGTTTGCCGTTTTCGCGCACGTCTTCCTGCAAAGAGGCTTTTTAAAAAAAAAGAGTTATATGTGTTATTCGCCACAGTGGCTGAGCGGCAGTTCGGTGAGAGTTCGTTGCTCCGTATTTAGAGGGATTAATGTCAGCCATGTGTGCGCTGTTTGGCCTGACTGGCGAACAGAGGAACCACCGACAGTAGATATCAGACGTGTTCCGTCGGAGCTCTGCTGTGCAGACAGACCTTCGGGCCAAATGCTTTAGTAATGGAGCAAAGACACCTCGCGAAATTCTCCCAAACGAGGCCACACGGTGGAAGCTAAAAGCAGGTTGGTGATCCGAGAGGAAGTGACGCCAAGTGCGATCATCTGTTTGTTTTGACGGAAACTATTTCTAATAGTTGAAGGGCTGACTTGGGTCCACGATAACTCTGCCGTCTGCACTGTTTATGAATGTTAGCATAATGCTATCATGAGCTATACTAAATCAATATTAATTTTCTGATTAGATATGTGGTCCTAGATGTTATGCGCAACGTTCAGTAAGTAAGTTCTACATGGCTGCTGTACATTTGTTTTCATCGACTGCACTGCGACCTTTTTGAGCAGTTTGTGTAAACTTCCTACATATGCTGTCACCTACTTAAAATAAGTATTTTTTACTGAATTGACACACTCTTTCCTCCCCCCCTCCCCCCCCCCCCCCCCCTTCTGTCCCGGGTCTGTGATCACCTACAACGAACTTCAACGTCCATGTGAGTACATTCATCTACTAAGTTATGATACAAATGTATCACAGGACTGTGAGCTGCTGTGTTGCTCCTTTTTATTATTACCGTAACATATAAAACATATAAACAAATCCCCCTGAATTAACCAGTGCAACAGTTCAAATAAGTCATCATTGGTGATAGAGAGAATTAAAGAATAAATCTTTACTTTTGCATTTTATTTTATAAAAGATAAAACGTACAACATTGCGGTCAACGTTCAGCATCAAACTAATCTGAAAAATAGAGTGTAAGGGGATCCTAATGAGACCTCTGGTCACTGAAATGACAGTCCCCGCTGTTGTTAACTTGTTTTGGGAGGGGCAGAGTGACGGTGTCACCACGAGTCAACTGGACCTCAACACATCTTTATCTCCCATGAACACATGTCTTACTCCTCTGTGCTGACGTGCAGTAGAATTAGCGGGGATTCCCTCTTCTCACAACAAGTAATCCACCTTGAGCTATAGTTATTTAACTTAAGTACACCTCTTTTTTTAAACAATAATTGCACTGCATGCAGTGTAGATAAAATATAATAATTGTTATTACATTCAAATGTTTAATATGTGAAGATGGGTTTTGGGTAATTAACGTTTGAAATTTGAACATCGCCTGCATATGAAAAGTATATTCTCCTGCATCTCCACTAGGTGGCAGTGTAAACTAATAAAAGCCTCCGTTTACAGTAGCAGCAGATGATCAAACACAATGTAGCATGTACTTAGGTGGCCTAGAATGTCAGGCATAATCTGTTCAATGTACTCTGAGCTCCAGGGCTCCGTACTGTGCTTTTAACGATAATATCAGATGACCTCCAAGTATACGTATAAAATGAACATTTAATTCCCATTCTGACTCATCACTTAGCAAATATTTATGGCAGCTTCACCAGCTTCTAGAAATCCATGACCTTTTCTTTTTTTGGAAAGTTATCCTCTGCATTGACTAATCCCACATGATGCTATTGATCTAAAATATAAAGTCCTGACTCGGTAGGAACCATCATGCTGTGCAATTTATATCCCCCAAGATGTGCACGAAAGTGACGATTCAAACTTGGCCCAGGACAAGAAGGACGGGCAACATGTCTGCTGGCAGAAAGCACCAGAAACATGGAACATTGCTGGTTCATGAATTTTTCATAACATAATGGTGCTTTATGAATATTGATGCACTGTTACCATCAATCCTGTTAGTGCTCTTGAGAGCTCCGCTACTGGCCACAATAAAAAAAAAAAAAACAGGCCTCCATCACACTCACTCAGAATCCATATTTAAATAATAATCAAAGCTGAGCAACTTGTTTTACACAAGATACGTGAGGAAAGGCGGCGTGGTCCTTCTCTGTGTGTGTGTGTGTGTGTGTGTGTGTGTGTGTGTGTGTGTGTGTGTGTGTGTGTGTGTGTGTGTGTGTGTGTGTGCTTGTGTGCTCACTCAGATGCAGCATTGAGAGTCAAAGAGAGATGTTTTGGTAGCAGGGGGTATGGAACATTATATAACCAGTGAGGGACGGAGCCAGAGAGGGATAAAGATGTTCCAAACAAACATAACCCCGATGCACTCGGCTGGAGTAATGCCCTGCTCCGTGTGCGTGTGGGCCCGTGCCTTTTTGAGCAGACGAGGAAGTGACTGGGAAAAGTGTGCGTCATTGTATTTGGGCGTGTCCGCCGTGTGAGGTGGGTCGTCTCTGAGTCTGCGGTTGCAGTCTGTCACTGTCTCAGGGGATTGTGGGGGGTCTGTAAGTGCTGCTCTTCTCCTTCCCTCTCGGCCGTGTCTCTCCTCCCTCTCCTGGGTCCAATGCGACACCTGCTCCGTGCACGAGGCGGCAGGGCAAGGGTTCCTAAGCAACTGAAGGCAACGAGAGTAGTTCGTTCACACTTTGTTTCTCTGCCCCGCCCGTACCCTCCTCCCCACCGCCCCTGCTCTTCCTAATCTGTCCGACTAGATCGTTTCATCTGAATCCAAAGAAGAGGCAAAAAGCCCAAATGACTCTATCCGAAAGTCCTCCCTTTCTGGGATTCGTTGGATTCTTCCTGTCAATGCGCTTCGCTGCAGTTAATGTGTAACACCACCAGTTTGGGTGCTGCTAATGTGTCATCGCTGTTCAGTGATCAAAGTCTGAGGCAGGAGGAAAAAAAACATGATAAGCGACTGTTACTGTGCAAAGGAGCGATTTCTGTTTCTTTTGTTTGGTTTTTCCCTTTCCTCGTAATACCTCTCTTGGATTTTCTGACACAAATTACGGAATCAGCTGTTTGCTGGTAAGGATTTTTTTTTTCTCAAACGAATTGCCTTGAAAATGCATCGCCCTGCTGTGCGTGCCACATGGACATGCCTTACCCGTTTAGCTTTGAGAATAATGAACCCCCCCCACCACCCCTCCCTTTTTGCATATGAGCCGTACAGCCCTAATGGGGTCAGGCAGATGGGTGGGGACCATGTCGGGGTCCATGAAGACAGCTAGTCTGTACGTCTGTGTGTGTGTGCTGGTTTTAGAGATTATTGACGTGTTAGACGTATTTTCAGTTTCTAATCAAGTGTAACTGGCCCAGTGGTTTGGTCTTGCCACAGCAGTACGGCTGCAGAGTGATTGCACTCTTTGGCCCGCCTCCCTCCACACCTAATAGACTTTTTTACGAGGCATAAGGTGCTGTGGCAAGATAGTGATACGCTGTGAATGTACGGCAAAAACCTTTTTTAAATTGAGAATTCACTGACTCTAATAGGAATCATGCCATTTGTTTCTACCGATCTGAACGCTTTGAGGTTACTAATTATATAAAGAAGAAAACAAAATTATATATATACATTTTCCCCCCTGTCTTTTTAATGTTAGACTGCCGCGTCCTGTTCTCGCGTGCAAACAAAGGCGCACATTAAGTGCGTTCACTGATGAGCAGTGTATGAAAGTTTTCACCTCGTTCAGCTCCAGTCCTCACCGGGAGACTCCGCCCCTCACCGCCAGGCTCCGCCCCTTTACGAGCATCGGACACCTTCAGCACAACAAAGCATGCGTCGCTCCGCAACATTGTTTCTCCTGCGAACCTGCTGAATAAAAAGATTTAGTCGGATTTTGTGCAGTTTGCTTCCCCATTGATGCGAATCCCAGAGTAGGTAAGTCACGTTTAAGGTGTTTACTTCTCGGGCGTTGGAGATGAGTTGGTGTTTATTTGTGTTGTTGCACATTCGGCGCCATTTTCATACACAGATTGTTTAAATGCCCTGGCACGTTGGCCCGATGCAGCCAACAACTGTTTGCACGGATTATTTAAAACAATAATAGTTGCTATTCGAAGTCTCATTCGGTGATAGTGCCGTGCGATAGTCACGCGATGATTTAGTGAAGCACATTTCAAATATTTAGCCGGTACAATGCACAATTAAGTTTTCTAACGTCCCCATTAATCACAAGTACTCCGCACTGGATGCAGAGATGGGATCTCTTCGTGCGTGTTGTTTTTGTAGAAATGAATCAGTATGCGAGTTTTTCGTCTGATAAAAGAGGGCGCACGCTTTTTAGAATTTCGGAAGATGTATAGCTTTTTAAAGTGTCTTTTAATGAAGACGCGGCTTTACAGTGATACATTATTAATATACGGGGGGCGAACAAATACATTTTCTTTTTTCATTTTTGCCTCACAAGTACAATATAGATGTCTGATAATATCCAATGCTGATATAGCATTATAATAATTATTTGATGTCATATTATAAATTGTCATGTTAGGCATTTTTTAGTTGTACATGTTGCGCATGATGGGCTTTTGCTCTCCAATTCTTCTCTGTGAGGTGCGTTACAGCTATTTTTATTAATGCGTCTGCAATAATATTGCTGTGTTTTACGCCTTTGCAGAGATGAGAGGCATCCCTTTTCTGATTTTATTTTCTGCCTGACTGTCTTTTACCCCGAGAAGAGTCCACGGGTTAAAAATATCCCAATATGTGAATGTGTGTCGGTTCCTTTGCGACCCACATTGCGCTTAAGAGAAACTCATGCAATAAGCCTCCTCTCCATTGATGCTACTGATGGATCTGTTCTACAGTCAGATAATCTTTTTGAAGCGCTGCAGATATGACGTGGGCAGGCTGAGGGCGAGATGGACACATTAATGCATCGGGACAAGCCATCGCAACATAAGTTTTAAAAAAATGACAGAGCCCGGGGTCTCCTGTAAAGCTGATTTGCTAGTGTTGTGAATACAGAGCAGCTGAAGGATGTTTTCTGTTCTGCTGTGTGAGGTCACCGCGGCCCTTGAAGAGCTTGCTGGTGTTAATCCTCTTTTGGGAGTTATGATGCATTCGTGCAGTTAGAATACGACTTTGATGTGTGTGCATTACTCAATAAGGAGCACACATAGTATTTTGTCTGCTCTTCCCTTCGTAAATTATGGCGTCTGTGAGGTTTTCCTTGCTTAAAAAACATTGACAGATGCATTTTATAATGTGCATAAAATGATAGTATTTGAATTTCAATGTAATTAATTTACTTCATGAAACAGTACTTCTAAAGTGATCCGTCCATTATCCAAAACAACCCCTCCTTCATAATGTGCGCTAATGTACATTTGTACTATTCTTCTAATGGGATTTGGTTGAGCTGATGTTGGAGATGGATTCAGAATGGCTTTCAGGTTACCCACAGTAAATCAATCAGGCTCCTTCATTCTGTTCCCATGTCGGTTCAAGTTACAGCGTCATCCTCACACACACCATCTGTGTGTATCGATCAGTTAAGCCAGGTTTGGGACAGGAAGTGACTAAAGTGAACCTTTTCATAGGCAAATAGCTCTTTTTGTTGAGTGCAATGAATGTCGCAGAATCAAAGAAGAATAACTTTCTGTAAACTAGTGTTATGTTACACTTTAGTGTTGTTAAATGTGAAGCAGATACGTGCACTGTAATAACCTAAATGATAAAATATTCAGTGCCTGCCCCTTTTCCCGATGTTGCTGGGCAGACTTGCGTCCATGAACTGAACATACAAACAGTTTGCCCGGGCACGTGTTGGCGTGTATTTTGGCATGTGTGCCTGTGTTTACCCAGAGGTTAAGTCACCATGTGGCCCGGGGACTGATATCTGGGCTTTCGGTTCAATTCTGTTGATTTGCAGCCAGGTAGGCGGGGCTCCTCACGAAACCATGAATCAGCACAGCTGATCGCTACTGTGCTTCTGCCAGGCTTCTGCTTTTCTCTCTCTCTCTCTCTCTCACCCCCACCCCCCCTAAACACACAGATGCACGCACACTCAGTGAGACCGATCTGAGAGAGACAGATACTGCAGGGCAGGTAGATAGATGGAGATAATCTTGCTTGGTCACTTGGGAGGATGATTACCTGTAAACTCCTTCTAATTCCTTAAGCCTACTCTCAGTACCCAGGAAACATGCTTTCTCTTTGTCCTAGTCGTGCCACACGGTGATGTTGTTGTCAAGCTCATGTTACTTTTCACCTGGCGAGCAGCAGCAAGAAAAATGCAGGCTTTCCTCTGCTGTCTCCAAGACATGATCACGTTTGCATTTGCGCTCGTATGCACACGTGCAACTGTGTGTTGTGTGCAGCGCGCTGTGAGCATAAATAGATATGAGCTTGTCTGTAAAGGCTAATGACTCCCTGCATCCTGAGCACATGTAGCTATTTATATACCTATGTACACTCTGCAAGCTCTCCTCCATTCAGCCCTCTACTTTCATTTCATCGCAAACAAAGGTTTTGGTTGCTGGACACATTTCTGAATTACATTTTTTTAAATTTTTACCTTGATTCATTTGCAAGTTTTTGGCCTTAATAGCAGGTCACTTGGCCATCCTTTTTTCAAAGTAATAGGATCTCGTAAAATCAAGTCAAACACGATCTTTACCTGTGCAAAGAGTGCAATGTACTGAGTCTCATCCAATTTCAAATGATCGTCCTCTAGGAACATTAAATTCAATTGCAATTCACAGAACCTCTAAATCAAATCCTAATTCTACTCCAGCGCCGCGTTAGCCAGCAGCTCTCTGGGAGCTCACTCCTGCCAGAGGGTGGCCTACTTCATCTATAATTTAGCTCATTAGGGACACTAATTATATAGGATCGAGGGCAGGTTTTTTCTTTTAATTTTTTATTACAGTACAGCAATATTTCATCAGATTACCTCGACAACAAAAAACAAATGTGCATCACGTTATGAGAGATTGATGCAGCTTTTTTGAAGACGGTTTTTGGCGCCTGCTATCCCCAAATGTCCCGCTCAGCTGGCTGATAGCAGAGATGTTAGATGGGCAACACAAAATAGAGGAGGCAGCAGACACAAGCTCAGCTGGTCCATTAGAGGCATGTCAGTGTTCTGACGATCACAATTGAGATGACAGAGCATTAAAAGACCCAGAGGAGCCCGGGAGCGTTGATGCATACGTGTGTGTGTGTGCGTGTGTGTGTGTGAGACCTAGGGAACAGGCCTATGGGGGGTCTTGTGGGGGGAAGGGCAGGCAGGATTAGTTCTAATGTGCAGCACAGTTATTGGTCACCGGACACAAACAAAGGGAGGGCTAAAGAGGATTTGGTCTGTGTGCGTACCCCCTCCTCCCCTCCTGCTGTCCTGGAGAGCCAGTGGGAAGTGTACGGTATGGAGGGCCTGGCTGCACCCTTTGGGACGGCCCTGTACATCTGGAAGGTCGGCCCGCCCGCCTTCTGCCTGTCTAGCGTCCCCTCCCTTCCCCCCACTCTCCACAAGGCAGAGTGGGACTTGAGCTACATATGGAAGACGCAAACACAGCCGCATTAGTCATCAATTAGACAATGCCCAGTGAAGAAAGGGGGCAAATTGGTCTCACTGAAGACGACCATCGGTTGTGATGTGATCTGCTGAGGGTTAGTTGTAGCGGCTTGCATGATCTCTGCACAGCATTGCAGTCAGTGGAGCGATTTAATCAGCCGGTTAGAAGTTTCTATATATACCAGATCTCTCCTCTCGCTGCCAAACTAGGGAATTAAAGACACGTTGATTAAACGCCAAGGCTCTTTTTCTGTGTGGTGGTTAGTCGGCTCACATTAAGCAATGGATACAAAATAATAGTTATTCTGCTGATTATATGCTTGATGAATCAATTCAGTAATTAGTCTAATGTATTAATCTAATCTAATCTTTAATCTAATGTAAATATGAATACTGTCTCATAGTTTTACAGTTTGTCTGACTAACAGAAAAAGTCAAAGATCTTAAATTCACCCTGAAACAGAATATATGAAATGGTTGAAATATTTTTGAAAAGCTCATGTTGTTGATATCTTTGCTTGAAACAACAATTTTCAGGAACTAACCAACTAGTGATAGCAGCTCTAATGACTGAATCGCAACATCATTGGCAAATGTTCTTGTTACATATTGATACCGTCTTTGCTTTTCAACCTGACTGTAACATATTTGCTTGGCTCTACAGTATTTTGGAGTCCGATACTGATCAAGCTCTCTGGGTCGTTACTTTACATGTGTTACCCACGTTGACCTAATTCACTAAGGACCATCCATCTAAACTCATTTAATGACCATTTGACGTACCGTATCATACAAATGGCCGTGTCGCCTGTGCCGAGTGCCGCGGATGACGGAGAGCCGGGCGAGGACGAACCCGGCGGTGCTAAAATGCCGCTCGGGAGCAGAATGCCTCCTTTGTGTCCGTGAGATTTAATGAGTCTGTGATAAGAAGCGTTGTGAGCGCGCCCTCACACACGCACTCTTCAACAAGGAGGGCTATTGTGCTGTGATGTATGTGTGTCTGAGTTAGCATGTAATCCGTGGGCGGCAGTTGGCTTTGTGTTTTATGGAATAAATCTAATTTATGCCGCTTTGAGTAGGCAACGTACAATAACATGTGGCAGGAACTTATTGTACATTTACTCCTGATTACAGCATCAGCTGTAAGTGAGCGTGATGAGCATGCATCTAGATTGACTTATTTGCATGATAGAATAATTTATTTTTCTTCTACTCCATTAGCATATAATTCATGAATCAATTAATTATGTGACCTATAATGTGTCAGATGGGGACCATCACAATTAGTTCGACCACAACATCCAAAAGTTATTCATTGACACAATGTTTTTCTTAAATAGTCATGAAAAAGTTGTTCACTTAGCTTTGTATGTGTCATAGTCCTCCGACATGAACATTAGTGTTCTGCTGATAAACAACAGCTCACTTTTCTTCCTGTTTTAGTGTTGTGCAAATCCATATATTCAATTCACTGGCACCTCCGTGTGTGATGTTTTCTAGTAAACAAAGTATATTCATGCCGTGCGCTCACATGTCACATACTGTACGGCCATGTGACTCTTCTCCACCTCTGACTCTCTTCCCAGTGGCTACCATGACAACAGAGGCGAGCGCAGTGAGCGAGGCCGACACCGAGGGTAAACCGAAGGCCGGCGGCGCCGAACCCGAACCCGAGAACAACCAGAAGCCGGAGGCGGCGGCGTCCGAACCGGAGGGAGGGCCGTCGAGCAAGAAGGCCGAGGAGCAGGCGTCTGAGCCGGGGCCGGCCGACGTGCCCACCTCCCCTCAGGAGGAGCAGCTAAAGCCCCGTACCCGCACCTCTGCTGGCAAAGGCCTGTCTCGCCTCTTCTCCTCCTTCCTTAATCGCCGCTCGCAGTGCTCCGAGGGAGAGGGGTGCGAGGCAGAGAAAGCCGGTGAGGAAAAGGCGGACGCGGAGGGCAAAGTTGACGCCCCGGATGAGGAGAAGAAGGAAAGCGTGAAGCGCGAAGAGAAGGAGGCCAAAGCAGAGGACGAAACATCTGGAGTAAAAGAAGTGAAAAAGGAGGAAGAGCAAAAAGAGGAGAAGGAGAAACAAGACGAGAAGGTTGAGAAGAGGGGCAGTAAAAAGAAAAAGAAAGAAGCCAAGAAGAAAGCAGAGAAAAAGAGTGAGGAGAAAGTGAAAATCGACGAGGAGAAAAAAGAGAAGGAGAAAAAGGAAGAGGAGGAGGAGAAAGCCTCACAAGCTGTAGAAAAGGAGGAAACGGTGGAGATAAAAGACAAACAAGAGGAGACCGCTGAGGTTAAAGAGAAGGAGGCCGTATCTGAGAAGAAAGAGGAGGAAAAAGTTGATAAGCGAGTTACAAAGAAAAAAGAAAAGGAGGACAAGGTAAAGAAGAAGGAAGAGGAGAAAGCAAAGAAGAAAGCAGAGGAAGAAGAAAGGGTGAAGAAGAGAGAGGAAGAAAAAGCCAAGAAGAAGGAGGAAGAAAAGGCAAGAGAGGCCGAAAAGGCGAAGAAGAAAGAGGAAGAAAAGAACAAAAAGAAGGACGACGAGAAGGCTAAAAAGAAAGAGGAGTTGAAAAAGAAAGAGGAGGGCCAGGTGAAAGAAGAGGCACCGAAGAAAGAGAATGCAGAGGAAAAGATAGAAGAAAAGCCACAGAAGGAAGAGGAAAAGGAGAAGAAAGAAGAAAAGCCACAGAAGGAAGAGGAAAAGGAGAAAAAAGAAGAAAAGCCACAGAAGGAAGAGGAGAAAGGAAAGAAAAAAGAAAAGCCACAGAAGGAAGAGGAAAAGGAGAAGAAAAAAGAAAAGCCACAGAAGGAAGAGGAGAAAGGGAAGAAAAAAGAGAAGGCAAAGAACAAAGGAAAGAAGGAGGTAAAGGGGCCAAAGGAGCAGGTGAAAGCACCGATTGCAGCTCCGGAGCCGGAGCTTAAAACCGAGCCGGAGGCCGAGCAGGCTCCTGACCAGCACTCCATCAGCAGCGCCGAGACACCGGTGGGTGCCCTCCTCCCAAACATTACACCTCTAATTTGCTTTCTTATCACAACTTGGATGCGGAGGTTGTTTCCACTTCTGGCACAGATCAGCAGACAGAGTGGAAACGCCGGAGAAACGGCTCGTCTGACTAAGTGCGAAGGGAACAAACTCCGTCTACCAATATCTTTTAAAGCAGAAAGAAATGAGAACATTTTCTGCTGGTCGGCACTGTGATAACAAGATTACAGGAGGTTGCTGCTCCAGGCCAGGAAATAGTCACGCACATTCATTCCCTCCCTGCGCTTTTTACACTGTTTGTTTGTGCTGATTAAACAAAGGAGATAAAGCAGGTCAAAGCAATCGGTGGTCTTTCAAGGTGCATGTAGGTGTGTGTCTTTGCACACGGCGAGCTCCACCATTCTCCAGCCGCTGGTTGTCGCATTATATTAAATTAAGGGGGGGATCTGAAGTTGTCGTCGATCTCGTCCAGTCATGCTCTGCACACAGAAAATTACTAATACAAAATTCTTTAATTGTTAGCGAGTGAGATTAAACAAAAGACGCAGCTCTCGCATATTCAGATTCACACAGCAGACTGGATTGTAGTGGAAGAACATGTGTTTTGTTCTTTCTAATGAATAGTTTATGACGTGGACAGCTTGCTCAGCAAAAGTAACGATGCTGATTTGAGCTGAAAGCTTGAAACATGTTTCATGCTTGTCTGAAATCAGAAAGAAGCCGCAGCTACAGCATATTAGCTCTTTACTAACGTCTGTAGTCCTATTTAATAATAGCCCTATCATCATAATAATGAATCTGAATCCTCCCACATTGTTTTCATCTGTATCTGACAAATTTAGCAATTTGACGCATTGACTTTTGTCTGCAGGCTCCAGAGGAAAAAAAGCAAGAAGCAGAGACAAAAAAGGAGCCTGAAGAAGTAACGGCGAAGGAGGCCGAGAAAAAGGAGGAGGAAGCCGCAGAACCGGAGCAAGAAGGCAAAGGAGAAGAGGCGGCGAAGGAGGCGGCGACAGAGGAGGCGAAGGAGGAAAAGCCTGCGAAAGAAAAGACTGAGAAGAAGACCGAAGAGGCCAAAGCCTCCAAACGTTCGAAAACAATGCAATGCAAAGTCACTCTACTGGACGACACTCAGTTTGAGTGCGAGCTCGACGTAAGAGACCTCACAGATTACAGCATGTTGTGTTCATGTAAAGACTGAAGAACATCCCATTACCTTCCTCTCTATCTCTCTCTCATGCAGAAACATGCTAAAGTCCAAGAGCTCCTCACTAAGGTGTGCGACCATGTCAACCTGCTGGAGAGAGATTACTTTGGCCTCGTTACCTTGGAAACCCCGGAGAGCAAAGTAGGCTGCATTCTATTTTTCTTCTTCTCCCGTTGTTTCAGTCGCTCTGCAAGAGCAAAATTAGGTATTTTACGTGGCACTAGAAAGCGGCTGGGGGCAGCGTTTCATTTTATTTCTTCCGAATTTCCACAGACATGGTTGGAATCCACCAAAGAGATCAGGAAACAGGTTTCCGGTGGTTTGTATGAGTTTGCGTTCGGGGTGAAGTTCTACCCTCCTGATCCAGCGCAGCTCACGGAAGACCTCACCAGGTGAACGTCTCCGGTGTTAAAGGAATCATTCCTCATTTTTTGGGGGGGGGAATCTGCTTAATCTGTGAGATAGAATGTGTTATTAGGTGTGCGTTGGAGGTGCTGGAAGGCCCATTTGTAACATTTGGTTTACATCTTCTTTAGGTACTTTCTGTGCCTCCAGCTGAGGAAGGACATCATCCATGGCGTTCTTCCCTGTTCCTTTGTCACACTGTCCCTGCTGGGCTCCTACACGGCCCAGTCGGAGCTGGGAGAGTATGACCCGGAGCTCCACGGGACAGATTATGTTAAGGATCTGAGCCTGGCCCCGGGACAGAACAAAGAGCTGGAGGAAAAGGTGATGGAGCTGCACCGCACGTACAGGTAATCAAACCGGGATGGGCTTTATTGTAGCTACAATAGTATATCTTTTTTTTTTGTGAAATCACAATTCAGCAGGCACGAATTGTGAAGGACTCATAATGGATGATTTGACAGGTCCTTAAAATAACCCTGATAATAAAACGTATCTCTGTAAAGACCTCTGTGACATCTGTGCTTTTTCAGGTCAATGAATCCAGCCCAGGCAGACTTATTGTTTCTAGAAAATGCCAAGAAACTTTCCATGTATGGAGTCGACCTGCACCAAGCCAAGGTAGGCTTTTGGTTTGAATTGTGGCACCTGTTTAGATAAGTGTTGTATGTGCAAAGTGATAATGAAGGGTTTTCACGTGGCTAAAGTTTAAGGTTTTACCGATTTGCTTTGTGTAATTATTTTTGCAACCGCATGCTTTCCCGCATCAAATTTTTAATTACAAAATGAATAGCAGCCCCTTTTTAAAAAAAACGAAGAGATTAATGCCATTATAAACTCCACGACCTCAACTCAATGTCATCTGTAGGGTGAGAAAGTCTGCCTCCCAGTGGCCGCTCACTGGAAGTGCGGTGTGAAGGGGCAAAGGCGTGCAGCGATACGATCTGCTAACCCTCTCATCCCGCGTCTGCTCCTACAGGATCTCGATGGCATCGACATTACACTGGGGGTTTGCTCTGGTGGTCTGATGGTTTACAAGGACAAGCTGAGGATCAACCGTTTCCCTTGGCCAAAAGTGCTGAAGATCTCTTACAAACGCAGCAGTTTCTTCATCAAAATCAGGCCGTCCGAGGTAAATCTACCTCATAGAAACCACCTATATGTTCTCCTACATCCTGCTCCACCTGTCTGGTACTTTGGTCTTGGAGTGGTGTGGGGAACTTAAAATCAAGTTAAAAAGCTTTACCCATGAATTCATATCGCTTTAGCCCTTCTCCAGTGTTTTGTGTTCTTAATTTGAATTTACTTAGTATTGCATTTAGAATGTTGGATTATAATCTTATTGTTTTTCCCATTTGTTGTATCTAGTTAGATTCTATTTCAAGGTGACTGAACATCTGGCTTAATCAATTTGTGTTACCTACATACAAAAAAGTTATTACACACCCCATCTCAGCTTTTGATTGTAGATTATTCTTTTTGTGGACCATGAATAAGGCTTCCAAATTTTCTAGATTTTATCGTGAATAATATAACGTTGATTCATCGCAGCCTGAGGACGTGTGTAATACTGCGTGGCAGGATACAGTCATCAGTTGATTTTGAATGCATTTGTTTTTTTCACTTACAGCAGGAGCAGTACGAAAGCACAATTGGCTTTAAGCTGCCCAACTACAAAGCCTCAAAGAAGCTGTGGAAAGTTTGCGTCGAGCACCATACCTTCTTCAGGTGAGGAGTCATTCTTGCTTCATCCCCTGCCCAGCAACAGAGGTCATTTTAAGGCTCTGCCTGTCCCCTAGATAATTGGCTAACAGGCCTCTGCCGCTTAAGCCTTATATTGGCTCCCTGTCAGTTCAACCACAGGAAGCTGGATACCTCTGCTCTTGACCTTAGACTTAAACCGTCAAGGTTTTTTCTATTTAAAAACATGGCGGTTGAAGTTGTTGCGACCCTGGTTGCACAACACAACAGTTTTTCGGGATTGCAAAATCCTTTTTGTTTCAAATGTTAGAATATTTTTTTTAACTTATGTATTAAATGGAGGCCTGGAAGAGCTCATAAGGAATGTTTCTGTCCCTCAGAGTTCCAACAGTGGAGCCCCCCTCGTCGCGCCGCTTCCTCGTCCTGGGCTCCAAGTTCCGGTACAGCGGCCGCACGCAGGCCCAGACCCGCCAGGCCAGCTCCTTGATCGACCGCCCGGCGCCTCGCTTCACGCGCTCCGCGAGCAAGAGACTGTCCCGCAACCTAGAAGGAGGTACGTGCGAGCGCCTGAGCGCACGGTGGAATCGATTTTTATATGAACAGATTCGATAATCTACTCGATGGCCTGTTTCGCTCTTGCAGCTGGAGATGAGACTCTCCAGCTCCTGCGACAACTGTCGGCATCGACCAGGTCTGAGGTTGATGATTGTTCGATGATGCTGTCATCTGACAAACCCCAGTCTTCTCCTCAATGGCCAGGTACCCGGAAACCGTGTGGAGCCACAACAGCGCTTTCCGACATATTTGCGGCATTTATTCAACCCTCGCCAACCGGCGCCTTTATCGCATCACGTAACACGCTCGTCCGTTCTGGCTGGTTCGCTCTTATATGCCTGTTATCGTCTTGAAAACCTTGCCAGTCGCTCGCCGCACAGATGGTTAACTTGTCAGAACACTGACCGTCCTCATGTGGGTAATGTCACCCATCGTGTCACCGAGGTGACCACGGTCGCTCTGACAGCAGAAAAACGAGGAAGCACACTTGAGCATTTCCAGTCTTGAGGCTGCTGTTCCACATTTTTCTTTGGCAATTTCAGAACTTGCAGCTTGATGTGTGTGTGCGTAACAGTGGCTTTTGCTTGCTTGTACCTTTTTCATGTTCAACATCTTAACTAAGCGACCCATTTTTTTTTTTTCTCTCCATCTGCTTCCGAGAGGCGTCGTTTGTTCAGCTTCGTTCTAACCTCAGCTTGCTCGGCTCCCAATACTCTGGAGCAAACGCTCGGCATCTGGCTCGGTCAGAAACATGCTTGAAGCATTCACGCTGTCATCTCTCCAGCGCAACCGTTACGTAACTGCCACCACCTCGTCATCTCTTCACAGCCAGAGGTCAGTGTGAGCAGACTCTCAGTCGGTCCTGGGAGGAAGGGCAGTCTGTTCACACGGTCAAAGCATCAGGGCGGGACAATGAGACTTGGCAGACTGGCTGGCACACCATAACCCAAACAGTCAGTCAGCCGTGGCAGAAGAGGGGGGAGGACGAGTGGTCCGCACTGCTCCATCGCCATCCTCCTTTTCCCTTTGTTCCACCTCTTGATTTAGTGAAACCGACAGGTATTTGCACCATTTTAATGCTGGTTAATGGTTATTTGGCAGTTTCACTTGAGCTTGGATGTCAAAGAACATTTATCAACATGTTGTGACTGCTCATCTATTCTGTCCCCTTTTCATGACATTTGTGTGTGTTTGCCCATCCGGTAAAAGATTGTTCAGTACTGTTTCTCTGATGTTGTCAGCCAAGCTCAGCTTGGCAAAAAGTAGCTCCATGGACCGCCTATTGCAACCAGCTCTCACACAGCAAGATGATTGGTTCCTTTACTTCGACCAAACCTTCAGCCTATCCTCGCTTGAGCGCGTCGACAGACCACGTGAGTTTCTTCTTGTCGAAATATGACATTTAGAATTTGAATCGTGATGATACAAACCCTTTAACTTTTGCCAATTTAGATCCTTTCATGGTCATTGTTCCGTTGTTTTTTCCTCCTCCTCCGATCAGTGTCCCGCCTCACTCAGCTCCAGCTCCGGCTGGAGGATGAGCAGGCCATGCAGAAACAAACCAGTGAGGAGTCCTTTGAGAGGCTGCAGGAAAGCCTGATCTTGGTGGACAAGCTGAGAGAGATGGATGATTTGAAAAGAAGGCTGAGAGAAGTTAAGGATTTAGAGGACAGGCTTACGGACATGGACGAGATGGCAGAGCACCTTCAGGGAGCAATAGAAGAGGAATTGGGTAGGGAAGAGGCAGAAAAGTTAATTCGAGAAGAGAATGATGTTGAGCAGGAGGAACAAATACAAGTTAGAGGTATAACAGTCTCGAAGAAATCCTTTAGCACAACTGAGACAAAAGAGGAAGAAGTCGATGAATTGGAAGATCAGATAAAGCAGGTGTTTTTAAAAGGCTTGTTACCAGAAGAAGAAGGGGCCGAGATAAAGCGGGAGATGGAAATAGAAGTAGCAAGCGAGAGTCTGTCCGATGACACCTTGAGAGGGAAGCTGCACCAGATAAAAAAGGAATGGCAGGAGAAGGTGGAGGAGAAGTTAAAGTCCGGATTCTCCGACGTCACCAGTACCACTTCTGTAGTAGCGTACCAGGTGGTGGAAGGCAGGACTGGGAAAAGAGTTCCTATAGTAGATGAAGGAGCGCTGACGCAGGCGGAAGTGGAGGATGTGCAGCGTGGTGTTGCTCTAGAGGAGACGGTAGAAGAGGAGGCGACCTGGATTAAGACGGAAACACCGCAGGCGATAACTGAGGGAGAGGTGACTGAGAGGCTTCAGGCCGAGGATCGATCTCCGGCGGCGGATAAGGACATCTGGTTCATTCTGTTTGAGCTCCCTCCATACAAAGCTGTTTTCAAACCACCAGGTACAGTGTGTGAAAATGCAAACCTTTACACATTTGCTATGAAAATGTTTTTTTTTTTTTTTTGATGATCGACTGTGGACATTAGAAATAGCTCACGCAATTGAGAATACCCCCCCACCAAACTCGGTCCACGCTTCTTCTGCTCTGAGCTTTCTGCACGTTTGCTCCCGGGCGTTCAAAGATTCTGTGTCTTTACTGTCACCGCTTAGTTACTACTGCGGAACGCGCTCAGGTGGATGAAGGCGAGAATTTCTCCTCCAAGTCTGAGATTTCAACATTTGAGGAGAGAACGGAGACTGTAGAAGAGACAACAGTGAGAGGAGGAGTGTGGCGTGTACCAGAGATCCCTCCACCACAGACCATCATGGAAAGAGACGACGACTGGTTTGTGTGGCTGGATGTCGTTGCCAGAGAAACCTCATATGTACCACCAGGTACCGCTCAAACTTTGCCTCTCTTGCTGGTTGGTGTACAGGAAGTGTGTATTACTGTCAGCGTTAAAAGACGTGTGTCCCGGCTTCACCCGCATTAGTGACGTTGGAGAGAAAGGACCCGACGGGGGCGGAGAATGCCGCGTCTGTGGCTGGAACGGCAACCGCCGAGGACACTAGAGGAGCAGTAGCTGAAGAGACAAAGATAATAGAAAAAGCACCCAGATATCTGCAGGAGATGCCAAAACGTCCACCGCCTGACAGGGACGACGACTGGTTTGTGTTGCTGGATGTTACGCCCAGAGAATCGTCATATAAACCACCAGGTAGCGTGAAAATCCGCCCTGGGCTGCTTTTCAAAACGTTGGCTCTCTTGTGCTTTATTTCTGTGCTTGCTCGCCAATGTACAGAAAGCGTGCCTCGCTGCTTGTGTTAAAAGACGTTCTCTGGATTCTACTTCGTATCAGTTGCCTTGAAGCGAAGTGACCAGATGGGTGCAGAGAGCTTTGTCGCTGTCGCTGCAACCGCCACCCAGGAGGACATTGAAGAAGTGGTGTCTGAGGAGAAAATGATGATGGACGCCGAGCCAAGACGCCCACTAGCGTTGCGGCAGCCAGTGCTCGACAGGGATGATGACTGGTTTGTGTTGTTGGATGCTGTTCCCAGAGAAACGCCATATGTGCCACCAGGTACTGCTTAGAATTCCCAGCCCCGCTTCACAACTTTCATGGAAGCAATCATCCTGAGCTTTATTTAGCCCTCCTGGCGGTGGCGTTGAATGTGCATCTGTTTTTGTCGCAGTTGCGGCCGCTGATCGCGTTGAAGTGTCCCCAGAAGGACTTGTCTCCGTAATTCCACTAACAGTTGGCCAGGAGGGAGAAGACGGGGTGGGCATTGAGGCAGCAGACGCAGAACTGGAAGGAGCGCTGATTGAGGCGCGGGTTGTTGCACTGCCGGTGGGTGTGAGAGAACGAGACGACGTCTGGTTCGTGCTGCTGGATGTCCCGGAGAGAACACCAACATATGTGCCACCAGGTATGGCCGCCTTGGCCTCCTCCGGCCCACCATGAAGACTTCCCAGCGTATTTTAAGTGTCCTATTGCTCATTCATTGTGTTTGTCATCAGTTACCGTGGCAGAGTATGTTGAGGTTGCTCCTGAAGAAAGCATATCTACTGCGGCAGAAACGATGACTGTTGAGTCCAGGAAGGAGGTGATAGTTGAAGAGCTTGTGGTTTACAAAGAAGATGGAGGACTGCAGGAAGTATCCCAGCCAGTCAGGGAGAGAGATGATGATGACTGGTTTCTTCTACTGGATGTTGTTCCCAGAGAAGCTCCCTGCGTACCTCCAGGTACCCACCGCCTACAAGGTCCTTTCATTGGTTTTCACACACATTATCACACCAAAGAAGACTATCTCACTAATTCACGAGACGTCACACAAACCATTAGGTAGCTGTATAAAACATGGCGTCTCTGTCGGATGCTTCGTCTAGTTTGAGGCAACGTTCTGTTTGCTTTCAGTTTGTGTGGCAGTACCGAGCCAAATGTATCCAAGCGTTGAACCTCAGCCAATGGAAGCGATCACCACAGAGCAGAAGTTGCAGCGGGTTGATGCTGAACAGATTAGACTGGAGCCTTCTCGGCCAGAGCGAGAGGATGACTGGTTTGTGCTGTTTGACACCATTCGTCAGAAGGCTGTAGCGATACCATCAGGTACATTGGATATAATGCAATACACCAGAATTTATATTCAGAGACATTAAATCCAAACTCTTAACTTGCTTTGTTTGGTGGATACACTATTTTCGCTCAGCGTCTTTGACCGTCTGATTTTGTTCCAGTGGCCCGTGTTGACATTGTTCCGGATATGAGGAAGACTGTTGAGGTTGAGGTGACCTCCGCAGAGTCCGTAACATGGCAGAAGATGATAATTGGTGGTGACAGCAGGCATGATGAGACGCGTTCAACTGAAATTGGAACAAGCCAAGTGGCTTCGCTGTGGGAGAGACGGGCAGGAGGAGATGATTGGTTTGTCCTGTTCGACGTCCTACGCGAAAGGCCTGTTGTCATAGCGCCAGGTACCGGTCCTTGAGAGTGCTAAAGCGTGCACACACGCACGCACACACACACACACACACACACACGCAACTGATTCTTTCAATCATCAATAGCTCGAGCAACCGATGTATTCACACTGATTTCTCTGTTAGTTGCTGTGGTTGAGTATTATGTGGACGTGGCGGCAGCCGCTGAACCAAAACCAAAATTCATCCTGAAAGATGTGACGCACCCAGCGAAGCCGTTGGAGATTAAACCGTCACTCCCCAGACTGGTGGATGGCGACTGGTTTGTGCTGCTAGACGTTGCGCCTAAAGTACCAGGTATTCTGCCACTTATGCCGGAGTGGAATGGGACAGAATGGCGTCAGTGTGTTTGTTACATACATCTTCCTGTTCAGAGTGTGTTGAATTGGAATCGTGTTCTGACCGACGAGGCGTTGTGTGTGTGTGTGTGTGTGTGTGTGTGTGTGTGTGTGCGCGCGCTCTCCGTTAGCGGCTGTGGACGAACGTCTCCGTGCACACACGGAAGTAAGAACAGCTGAAGAGTTTTCAGCCAATAAGCAGAGAGCTCGGCAGGCCGTCGCTGTGGTGGAGGAGACGTGGCGCCGGGAGGCGGCGGTGCAGCAGAGACCGCAGGCAGCAGTGAGGGAGGTGGAAGATGATTGGTTCATTCTCATGAATGTGGCCACTAAGAAATCAGGTACAATAAAAGATCGTTTTTGCACAGAAACTAAAAAGCACAAATATTCCAATATTTGTAACCGTTGTTACACCGTATGTCAAGACTGCGCAGTCACCTTATTAGTTGTTAACTATCGTATTTAACCAGGCGCTCCATTTCAATATAAATGTCCTTGTATTTTCTACTCCATTTCCTTAATAACACTGTGTATTTGTGCTAGTAGTCCCTGAGCGCATCCAGTTCCTAGCGGAGGTCAGCGTTCCAACCGCTCAGGCCGCATCAACGATCGCTCGCCCGGAGAGGAGGGCGCACTTTGAGAAACGCATCTTGGAGGAAAGACGTCCGCTCGCACAAACGCATGTCAATGATGATTGGTTTGTTCTACTAGACGTTGCCCCCAAAGAGTCAGGTACGGTCCGGCCGTCTGGGTTTTGCCGCTTTGCAGATGAGCAGCTCGCACACATGGCCGCGCTTTCTTCACCACGCGGGACGCTTCGCTACGTTTGCCGCCCGTCAGCAGGATCCGCTGACTCTTCTTCGTGAGAGAACGCGCCCACAGATGGCAACGGCGCGCGCCCCGTCGTTCAAGGACCTCTTACCGTGCTGCGTTTTGCATTAATGAAGAAATAACGCTTTCTTAATCTCAGCACTCAGCGCTTCGACCGCATTGAGATTTGCGTCACAGCATAACTTCATCTGACCGCATCCGTCGGTGGATCGCAACACGAACTAATCCATGCTTTTGCCCTAATCCGACTTGTGGATATTCGCCTCTGGCCCGCCTCGTTTTGACGTCTGCTTGTCCTTAAAAAAAACAAAAACAAAAAAAAAAGAATACACAAAGCTCATGAAGGTACAGTATTCCCTCGCAGTGTGCGCACGTATCTGATCTCATCGAGGCTTGATACTGACGGTATGATGTGGCTGCTTGCATGGATGTGCTATTGTGTATTTCTTATAGCGGTTTCACTGAGCATTTCACCCACTCGGGGGGAGTTGATCCGGTCCGATGCGGGTGTGATCGTCTCCCTCTGTAACACATCAGCTAAAGCATTAACGCCTCCATTTTGTCTGCATTTGGTCCAGTGGTGAGCACGCAGCGGGGCGCCCGTCCGGTCAGCGCTCCGGTCTTCTCCCAGGCCGCTCTAGCCGAGGCAGGGATCCCCATGGCCCCCCTCGATCAGCCCCAGACCTCCACTCCCATCAAGACCAGCCGCAAAGAGGAAAGAAAGCTGGAGGTCACTGTCGAAGCTGTGGAGCCCTCAAAGACGGAGGCTGTGGCTGAGGTCAAGGTATCTGAATTTCACTGTTTTTACACGGTTGTGATGTCATGCAAACTAAATGTTTAGTTGCAGGAAAAGCTGGTGTCTCTTTTAAAAGATGAACAAATGATTTAGCATTTGTCGTCATAGCTACTGCCTGGGATTGACGAGTCTATAAGACACGACAAAGGCTTTCTGGGTCTAAACGCCTCAGTCTGCAAGAACTGCGCGTGCTCAACGAGTGAGCGGAGGTTGTTCTGTGTCCGAGTGTGAACTGCGTCTCTCTTGCTGCTGTAGTCAGCAGTCTGGAGGGTCCAGAGAGAAATAGACTCTCCACTGAGATCCTCCATCAGTGGGGTCACTCAGGCGTGCGTCAGACGCCGGGGCGGCTGCATGTCGGCTCGTGTCCGCTGTGTCTCTGTCCGAGACGTGCGCGCTAAAGCCGGCGCGCGGCGGATGCTAACGTGTGTCCCTGAAATCCACAACAGGCTCCGTGCCTGAGGGTATATTTAAATAATGTAAGGAAAGACGGAAAAGGTAAACTGAGAGTACCTGGTAAAATAATAATATCAGGACACAAACGAGCTGTTTCAAAGTCTTTGCGGTCATTTCTTCATTGCTTGCTATTGTTCTAAACCTTGGAATGCAACCATGCATGATTATAGATTTGTGCACTTTGTTACTACTGTTCTTGTTTTTTTTCCTCCTCTACAGCCTTAGGCTTTTTCTTTTGTCAGCACGTTGTATTTCGGCTCCTACAGTCACTTTGTCTTTTGTTTTAACACTGTTGTTGTAGTATGCATGTCCAACGTGTGTGGCACTGAAACAAATCCACACATTTTTGTTCTTTGTATTTTTCACAGAAAAGAGCTAAGAGAATTGAGGGTGACTCAATTTATATCAGACATAGCCTTTTAATGTTGGAGGTTTGTATCCCATCCGGAGATCCCATCGATCTCTATCTCTCTATTTTCTTACTCTTTGGCGCTACGGCTACTGTTTAATATCACGCTTGCATGTGGCATGATTCACATCTTTTCGCATCAGCATAAATTATTGGCTGTAGGGTACATGGTGATAAATGTTTGTGTGTGTGTGTTTGTGTTGCAACATAACCCTAATCTCTAATTGTTTCAGGAGAGTGCTGTTGAGTTTACAACAAATAAGTAGTTGGGTTTTACAAATACACATAACAAATATATGTATCGAATCCAAATGGAGCTACTGGTTTATAGCAAATAATATATAAATATATAGTCTCCAGATCACTAGTATTCTCCTGTTCCTGCTTTTTGTTCCTTTATCTGCTTCAGTTTCCAACTAGCCAGAAATGCAATGTCATTTCTCGTCAGTTTTGCTAATTTAATGTTTAATTATAGAAATAAAAGTACAAATAATTTGACATATTTGCCAAAGGAATGACATTTGGAGAAACCGTTATCATTAAGTTGCTCTTTAGCACCACAATAAGATGTGAATAACAGTCAACAAACACTTCTGTTCATCGGCTAGATCTTCGTGTATGTTTGGTAAAATCTGATTTTTCATAAGCAAAGATCAACTTGGTGCTAAATGTTGCTACTGCTTTTGTTCATGTGTGTCAAATGAACCGACTTCATCGTTGATGATGTGTTTTGTGTCTGCTATTATCACTGCTCCTGCTCTTCCATTTGCTGCCTTTTCATTGCAAAACTAATTCTACCAATAGACCATTAATGCAGCGTAGTGTAATTACAACACCTCCCCATCCAAAACCCCCGGAAGTAAACTACATTGATGAATCAGGGCAATGACTCCTGTGGAGGTTTCCTTTATAAACCAGAGTCATGAATCCGCTTCCATGCTGTATTTTTATGTTCAGGAGTTGCTGATAATCTATCAACAATCCATAATGTAATAATTTAGATTAAGTTACATTCCTTTAGAATCACCAATTAACCTTGCTTCTGCTTGTGTGACACATATTATACAAACAAAATACGACACTGCACAATCTCACTGTCACTTTTCTTAATTCTCTCCTGTCTCCCGTCCCTTGAACGTATCCTTCCTATTCCCTTTCCCTTCCCACCTCCTCCCCCGTCGTTCCCCTCTGGACGCTGCTCTCGGCAGGAGTTCGATAAGCCTCAGGAGGACCTGCTCAGGCATCACGCCAGCATCAGCGAGCTCAAGAGGAACTTCATGGAAGCCGCCACGGAGACCAGGCCCAGCGAGTGGGACAAGCGCCTCTCCACGCACTCCCCTTTCCGCACCCTGGGTATCAACGGTCAGCCTTTGCCCAGTGCAGACGGGGTAAGTCTCCAAAAGAACCCGCTCACCTTTTGAACTCCCTTTTTAACCAAAGTTCAGGAATTGGAGCCCCAAAAAATTGTGTGTTGAATTAGAAATCATCACAACGAACAACAGCAATTCCTGAATTGACTTGGTTAAAGCTGCATTTCTACGTGCACCGTTTTGTTTTCCATGGCTCTGCATTAGCAGAGGTTGATTGTGCTCGATTGGGAAAACATGGCTGCACTAGTGTGAGCGATGCCCGTGGATTTGAAACGGAAGTGACGTGTGTTTTCTAAAGTAGGTGTGATTCTCTGTTGGATTCTTTTCACATCTGACGAGTATATTCAGACAGAGCGGTCGATGAATCCAGTTGTCATCCCTGGTTCTCCTACGCCGTTGAGTTGAATGGGTTATGTGTGCATGTACGGACCTATTCAAGGAGCGAGCACGCGGTATGCCACACATGCATGTGTATGAAGAATGCAGTGTGTCCGGTTGAATAGTGTATTGATGGCGAGGCACCTTTTGGGACCGGTGCTCCGCTCTGAGATCTGACTCATTGGCTTCCCTCTGCGTCCCGACGTGTTTGTGTTGCACGACCGACAGACCCGACTTTGGAGATTTACCGCATGGCTCCCAGATGAATTTCTGCACGTTCTCACACTGAGCAGTATTTACCTTCTCCCCCTTTCCTTTTCATTAATGGGCTTACCCTTTTCTTTTTGCTATGCACAACCTCTCTTTCACACTGAGTTTACCTCTTTTTTTTTTCTTCTTTTCTCCAAGCCCTGGTCGCATTTCCATGAAGCATTCCAGATCACATCCGCAGCCTTTGCCCAACTCTCCCTTTTGTAAAAAATTATTCAATTCATGTCAGTGTCATTACTTTTATTCATTTGTTATGTTAGCTACATAGAGGACTTGACCGCTGTCTAGCAGCCCTCTGATGTCACATGAATAAACAATTACAATCTATATTTGAAGTGCCTTTTGGCAAGACGTCAACTCAGCTGCAGCAAAACTGTTTGGACACAAAGCGCCTTTTACTCCGGGAGATAAATGCCTCCAAGTGCATCATGTTGTCAGGATGCATTTATGTTGCATTAAATCAAGGCTAAGCAAAACTGACAGCTTGGTGTCCGTAGTGAGATCAGTAGTGAATCAGCACAACAATACGACACCGGTCAAATGTTGTCTGCCTACTGGAGCGGACGAACTGCCCAGTTTTACAAGTCACTTTGTCTTTCTAGTTCACCTTTTGGCTGTGAATTGAGCAGAGAATAAAGCCCTACGCTGACAAAAGTAGACCGTGGTTATGTTCTTGCTTTTACTGTTTGACAGACAGCAGCAGCAGCATTGGTATTTCCTCGGTCTGACCTGCTGTTTCAAATGAGTGGATGTTTCTCAAGAGGCCCCTGTTCATTCTGGTTGCACTGACTAAATTGAGCATGCTTAAACATCTATAACACGCATCCTTTTCTTTAATAAGATGCTACCTGTCTGGATTAACTTCTTTGCCCCCCCCCCCCAAAAAAAAGAATTGCAAATAAGGAAATTATATGTTTTAAATGCATGGTAAAATGCATGTACCGGTAACATGTTCGTGCTCTGGACAACCCGAAACATACTTTGAACATTTAATATTTGCGCAACTCTGGCTTTTACAAGTTTTGGTTCATTTTCTGTCATTTCAAAATTCCTTCCTCCTCTCATCCCCCCCCCCCTCCTCCTCCTCCTCTCAGTTTGTCATCCGCCTCCCACGCGGCCCCCTGCTCGACTTCTACTCCAAGCGCAGCTGAGGGGCCGTCTCGACCCCCGCGGAAATCCCACACAGGTGTGAGTGTGACCTGCGGAGACGTCCCCTAGTCCATCTGCCCATCACACCTCTAGCTTTCTCTTCCTCTCCTCCCTTCGCCTCCTCTTTGACATCACCGAAGCGTTCTCCATCTCTCACCCTCTGCTCCACTTGACACGCTGCCCTTCTTTTTTGGGCCTCTATGGGACTTGACTTTTATTCCCTCGGTTTCTGTTCCCCACTGCGGCACAATCAACCAGAGTTCTCCGACCAGGAAACAGACGTGTTCTCCAAAGACTGGTTGATCACAAGCGGAAATGACAATCAAGCCACTGCTACTTTGCATTTGTGAATTTTCTCTTTTCTTTTTTTTTTTTGGACTTTTAAGTCAACCAAAATTTGATCTGGAGACTTTTACTGCCCGTATCACTTTGAGCCTGCTTTTATACACGTTTTTTGGTACATTTATATCGCCAGTTGTCGAAGGATGTTTACTGTTTTTCTTATCCCACATAACAAAACGGCCGTCTTGTCACTGAGACTCGTATCAACATAGTTTCTCACAGAATAGTACTTCCTGTGAGACCTCAAGGCAGCTTAGTTGTAATCGTTTTTAACCTCTTTGTCACTTTATTTGACGGGGCAGCATGTAGCAACTGCAGGAGATTCCCTGTTGCATGACCTCTCGACAATCAACTATGACCAAAGAATAAACGGCATTCCATATACAGTTCATATGATTGTTTCCTCCTTGAATTCAAGTTTATGATTTTCTTGATGGCTGTTTGTCAAAATTAGTGTGACTGGCATGTCCTTTTTGTAGTCAATGTTTAATCCATTCCTTCTGACACCTATTGAATTTATTCATGAAATGAACAATATAGAGAAACACCTGAATATGATCCACCTTATCTGGTGGAAAAATCTGTGGCCACAAAGGTCATAAAACATTCTAATTTAACCCTGACGCTCAAAATAAATCCTCATCCTACAGATCTGGATTACATCACAAAATGGATATATTGCACAAATTCTTTTTGAACATTGGTAACATGCATGATCACGTTTGTAAAAAATAACTACACACACCGTGTCATTAGAAACGACTTCACCTACCCATGATTCCATAGTGGCTGTGTTGTGTCTTCTGTAGAGCACGTGCATTAGTCTCCCCGGCAAAGGCTCAGAGACAAAGACTGCGCGCGAGGAGACGGGCAGCAATCGGGGCTTTTCAGGCACACCGAGTCCCTCTGTGAGCGCCAGGAGGGAGCGCGACAGTGTACATCTCCAGGTTGGGGAGGAGTCATGGGATCGGGGAGAGGTTGTAGCTTTTGAGACCTCCTTGGCGCCAATCGCAGAGGCGGAGATGGCCTTCGACCCCTCCTCCGCGGCTTTAGAGGGGACCCAGGAGGGACAAGGGCCGCGTCCCGAGGTGTCGCTGCGGCCCGAGAAGATCGTTGGATCTTCCCCGGCTTCCTGTTTCGGGAGCGATGCCCCCGAGGCGGTTCGCTGCTTCCAGGTAGAATCAATGATTCCCAGGCTCCTTTGCAGCACCATGACAAATCAGAGGGTGGTGCGAATGATGCTCATCGTTCCAACGTGGGGCTGGGCTGGGCTGGGGGGGGGTCCTCGGCCGTGGTGGTGGGTTTCTGCAACACCGGCATGTTTGGTCTGCTGTACACTCTTCCTCTCATCGTCTTTGCAACCCACTCACGGCTTTCCGTCTCCTCGTTTGTTTTCAAGTGGTTGGTGGTGGGAAGGTCAATAACACCATCATTTGGTTGGCTCCTCCCCCCGCAAGAAGAATTTAGTGAAATGGCTGACGCAGTGGGGGGAAGGAAAACAAATAACTCGAGGACGGCTTTGTGAGAATGTGCATGGTGTAAAACGAATTGGTTGCCGTGCGGCGTGTGGCTGAAGAGTCGCTCACGGGGCTATGCTCCCATCCACAGCCCCCTCTGGTGCAGACCCACACAGTCACCATCACAGCCGTCTCCGCCTCCTCACCCAGTGGCATCTCCACCACAGACGTGCCTATCGTCCCGACCAAGACCATCATCTATGAGTCCTCAAAGGTAGGGGCTGCAGCCCTGTTTGCACGGCGGAGATATCGGGGCTCTTCGACCCACGAGGACCGGCGCCTCCACGCTGACAATAAAGCGCCGCGGCACTGGCTGAAGCTCAAGGTCCCGTTGACTAAAAATGATTACTCAGTCTACATTTTTTTTTCTTCTTCTCCTTCTTCCCTCAGGTGGAAGTTGACGGGACAGCTGAGGACAAGGACGGCGCAACTATGTCCAGCTCCAAGACCGTTACCTCAGACACCACCAGCGGCACCACGGTCACCACCACTCACATCTCAAAGGTCAGCAGTGGAAGCTTGCTCTGTGGGGATTGTGTCTTACTTGCCTCTCAATTACACATATTTGACTTCCCACCACCAGGTAGTGAAGAGCGGATCCTCAGAGACCCGCGTGGAGAAGAGAATTGTCATAACCGCAGACTCTGACGTCGACCAAGACAAGGTACAAAACTCCCATAATATCAAACAGCGACGAGCTGAATATTAGAGGACTAGTTTGGCAAGAAATACCCGCATTAGCTTTCTTAGTTGAGAAGTTTGATACTCTCGTATTGGATTGCCTGGTTGCATCCAAATGTATCATCTAATAGTACTAGTTTTGACTTGAGTGATTCATATTAAGGCTAATAAGTGCACGTAATCTCTGTCTTGCAGGAGAAAGACGGCGGAGCGTCGTCATTGTAACCGAATCTCCACCTGCGACACACATTGACCAGCTTTGTCTACGCACACAGAAAAGAAACATCCTCATAATCTGCACCTGATATTTTAGATAATTTAGTGGATACATCTTGGTAGATCCTCTTTGTTTTTAGTTTTTTTTCAGTTGTAGGTAGAGGGCTTCACAGTGCTCGAGTCTCATCGAGGTGTTAAAAGCTTAGTGAACAGAACAACAGCATTTTCACTTGAGTGATTCAGTAATGTTTGCTTTTATTTCCCTAGTGGTTTTTACATTGGTATTTTATAAGATTGCACTGTTTTCATTGTAGTCTAGACGCCATCATCAACGTGTGTTCCCTTGGTGCTGCTAGGGAAGTGTTAAGACTACATTTAAGGGAATCATTTTGGTTGTTTACATGTCTATTTAATTCAGGAAAGTCATTCCTTACTGGAATTACATACATGGCTTGAACAAGTGGAGTACAGAGAAATTTTAAAAAGTTAGTTCCCTCCTCAGGTACAAAACTACCAAGAACTAGCAGCCTACACATTGTAAAGTTTAAATTAAAAATGGATCTATTTTATAGGAGTAATGCTTTTGTAGTATTTGTACAAATGAGGTTTTTAAGTTATTCAGCCATCGGCTCATTAAATTGAAGGTTTCCACTGTGCTGTTTACTGAATTTTGAGGTCTCTACTTAAATCCTGAGACAGAATCATTCCGATTTGTTTCCTCTTGTAGTCCACCAAGTTGATCAAACGTGTAGCAATTGCCACATTACAACGAGGTGCTTCCGTCAGTCCTGTTCGATAGAATTCATAATCGCTTTGACTATATTTGATACGTTTTTCAAGCTTTGGTCTGTTTAACTCAGGTTTTGATATTTGTTGTAAGACCACAGACCCTCCTCATGATTGTACAAGGAACATTCATATATGTATATCCATCCCTACTTTATTAAATGTACATTCATGTTCAGCCAAGTTAGGTCAATAAATACAACGCTTGTCTGTCACAGTAACCACGCTTGTGAGGGGGAAGGCAGCTGTCCCAGGTAACGTGGCTTCTCTCATAGGAGCAACACCTTTGGTTTTTTTTTACATGTTCTACGATACAGTAATTTATTTGTAAAGTAGAAACTGTCTGGTGTGATTTCATGTACTGTGATGTTTCAACACGTGCTGGTTTCCAAGCTTTTCACTAGAGATGTCACAAGGTTAAGCATTGCATTCATAACCAAGTTTGTAAAGCCTTTTTACCACCTAGTCAAAGTAATCGTTCTCACTTGCTGTTTCTTGTGCTTTCCCATAGAAAATAACACGCTTAACATATGAATTCCTTGTAGGTATGTTTGTTAGCTTACTTTTTCTTTTTACCCAAGAAGAAGCCATTGGCATCGTGGAAAACGACAGAAGCTTCGCTGTGAAGACGATGTAGTTTCACAAAAAATAGTTTAGACAAATATTGTTGCATTGTGACTTATCCCTGTCTTTTTAAGAAAAAATAAAATATGCATTATTCTGCGTTTTATTGGCAGTTGAAGTATACCATTTTGAACGGAAATAAATATTTAATGCCATTTACTTGCTCAAACACCAAACTTATAAAAATCTGTCACATCTGCCTAGACAATCAAGCACTCTACATTTTAAGGGAACTTAACTAATTGAAATCAGGTTTCTGATTTCGTATCCACTGTTTCTTTGCAGTAGCACCTGATCACATTTACACTCATTGCTGTTTTCAAATAGAAATCATTGGGACATTCGGTTAAAAGGATTTGATGAGATGTAATGTTAACTTTTAAAACTATGGGCTGGTGGCACGGCTTCCTGTTCTATTCCCTTACCTGTAAGAAAGCAACAACGTGCACAAAGTCACAACTCTAAAATGTGTAGAGTTGGAAAGACATCAATTCAAGTTGAACGCTGTCAGGAGACTGACCCTTTGGAATTAGTTAAATATTTTAATACAGAAAAGAAATAACTGGCCCCCACTGCACAGTGTGCCTCACTGTTTCACTGAGTTTGGGAATCTGTACAGGCATTTGTTGGATATGTGATCCATTCCTTCAAGTAGTATACAGCAAAGTCTGAGTCCAGTGTGTGTGTGTCTGTTGCTCAAAGCGGTTTTCTAGCGAATTGTCTTGACCGGGCTCTTGAAAGTTGACGCAGCCTGAAGTTGCAGTTGATAAGCCATTGGGTGAATTTTGAAACCATAGAGCCTGAAAAACAAAACCAAAAAACAATCACCTCCTGAACTCAAAGTATTGTATGACACCGTTTCAAACCTGTTTAATAACTATTTTATCCAACTTTTTTGGCAATAAAGTTTCAAAATCCTACACACTGCTCATTTAAAGAAAATATTAAAAACCCGGCACTGATAAAAATAAATGGCATTTAAAACGCACCTCGGCACAAACTGGTTGGCTGGTCGCTTCGGACGATACTCTGGGTGCACCATAAACAGCATGTGGGGGAACCCTGTCCCAAAGTAGGCTCCATCTGTGTGGTGGTGTCTGGAGGATTTGGGGGTGTAAACATCCATGCACTTTGGGCAATAAAGCTTCACCATTGCTTCTCCGGGGATGTCTGACAAACCTACATCAGACAGAGGACAGCCGAGTAGGTCTTCACAGCCGCTGACAGAGGTCATGGGTTTAATGTTAAGAATGAGAAATGAAGAAAACATCCAATTTACCAATAGGAAGCATTGGTTGATTCTCGCAGTAGACTCTGGGGCAATAGCCAAAATCCCCTTGTTGGTACTTTTCCAACTATGCAGAGCAACACATTTCCACATCGCTGTTGGTTAATGTCATGAAGCAGTGGAAGCATTTGAAGTCACGGGACTGATCGCTCACCATCTGTGCAATGCCTCGGTTGGTGAGGATGTAACGCGCATGTATGAGCCCGTAGAGCATCTCTGCTGCCTGCTCTATCAAGTCGCTCTGATTGGGGTTATCTTCAAGTTCCTCATCTGTCAAAATAAAGTCATTAAGGCAGTTCAAGAGTTCGACCCGTTATCATCCTGTGGGAAGTGCTACTTGTCTTTATATTCTCACCTGGCTCCAGGTCAAGAATCATGTCCAAAGCCTGCCGATAGTGAGGCACCTGCTCATTCAAACCCGTCAGGTTAAACTTGTCCTGTATGTAGTCTTCATCAACCTGTAACACACGATCGGCTGCTTAGAAATGCCATCATTCACAGGAGCAAGGAAGCATTATGCAAGAGAAGACAGGATTATTTAGAACGTGCCAATAAGGAAAAGAAGGAGTTCTAATCAGATTGGATTGCGGTAGTGCTAAACTCGTTAGAAATATGGTCTTTCACATTTTAGTGAAACGGTCCATTGTGAATTAAGCGGAACAGAGTAGCACCAAACAGCAGGGAAGTGGCTGTAATGGGGAAGTGGTGAACATCGTCTAGCTTTCACTGTTGACCAATTTCAATCCTGTACCTCGTCAGAGACCAAGAGCAACAAGAATAGGAAAGAAAGAAAACATGTATATTTTTGGTCCATTTGCTTTGTGTAAAGAATACATTTTCACAGCCAGATTTGAAGAGTTACTTTAGTGAAATACAGACGCTAACTGCAGGATACAGTACAAACTATAATATATGTATAAAAAAAAAATATATATATATATATATATATACACACACAACCGTTCAAAAGTTTGGGGTCACTTAGAAATTCCTATTTTTCAAATAAAAAAAACACTTCAATGAAGATTGGATTTGATGAAGATTAAACAAAGCAGAAATATACTATATAGTATACTATATACTACTATACATTATTAATGTGGTGAATGACTATTCTAGGTGGAAACGTCTGCAGGTGTGTAGAGGCCCATTTCCAGCAGCTATCACTCCAGTGGTCTAATGGTACATTGTGTTTGCTAATCGCCTTAGAAGACTAATGGATGATTAGAAAACCCTTGTGCATTATGTTAGCACAGCTGCAAACAGTTACGCTGGTGAAAGAAGCTGTCTCTGTGTGTGTGTGTGTGTGTGTACACAAATTTGAGGTTTTTAAGTTATTCAGCCATCGGCTCATTAAATTGAAGGTTTCCACTGTGCTGTTTACTGAATTTTGAGGTCTCTACTTAAATCCTGAGACAGAATCATTCCGATTTGTTTCCTCTTGTAGTCCACCAAGTTGATCAAACGTGTAGCAATTGCCACATTACAACGAGGTGCTTCCCTCAGTCCTGTTCGATAGAATTCATAATCGCTTTGAAAAAGAACTTTCATGTGAAACTCGCCAGTCTTTTCTCGTTCTTAGTAATGAAGGTTATTCCATGCGAGAAATGTTCTACCACGGTGTGAACTACTCCCTTTAGAGAACAACACAAACGGGCTCTGACCAGAGGAGCAGTGAGAGGCCCCCGGTGCACAACTCTGCAAGACGACGACTTCATTAGTGTCTCTAGTTTGAGAAATAAGACGCCTCAACTGGCGGCTCCTTTAAATGGTGCCCGCAAAACGCCAGTGTCAACGTCTACGGTGAGGAGCAGACTCCGGGATCAGGTGTTTGGATCACACAGAAGAACATTTGTGAGACGCAGAACAGGTGGAAAGATGCTGGAAGGATCCCTGAGGTCATCTGCCGAGCACGGTGGAGGTGATGGTCTGGGGGCTGCTTCGGTGCTGGTAAAGGGACATTTGTACATTTCGAACATCTGACCTGCCGTCAGTAATCGCACTGAATTCGTGGTGAAAACTCTGCAAGGCTCCGCATCTCCATTTCCGAACAACGCTAAAACGATGCACACATGCAAATGTTTCCTTCTGGGTGTCTGCGAACTTGGATGCTCTCGGGAGTCAAATCGGTTGCAAATTCGAATCCCGTTTAAAAAATAAGCCCGAGGACCAACCTCACAGAAGAACTCGTTCCCTCGGAGTCCACAGAACCAGGATATCCAGGAGACCTCTTCGGAGCTGCTCATCCTCCTGACGGGCCAAACCACATCGGAACCAAATGGATTTGTTACGTAACGTTACTCGATGTATGGTTACAGCTAAAAACCTGAACAATATCTACCAAACACAGATTCAGTACCTTCCAGCTCGTTTGCACCAGACTGGATATGTTACCTTACGGACGTTGAACAGAAATGATATATGATTTTATAATTTATCTGAGTTTTGCGTCTCAGACCTGCTGGTAACGTTAGCTCGCATGCTAGTGCTTGTTAGCTCTAACACGTTATAGTAACATACAGTGTGTCATTTGCTATGTAACAGCAACATGTCCTCAACATCAGAGTTACTGTCGCCTGCATGTGTACAACTGTTTACAGAAAGCATTTTACTCACCCTTATTTTATGTAAGTTATCACATCAAACTGCAACCGTAGCTAGTTTTTCCTCGCTTAGCCTTCTGGATAACTAATCCGTTTCCGGTCAGTCAAAGCTTTCAAAATAAAAGTTCAAAGTTTCTTTATGGGTTATCTTCTTATACAATAATGCAGAGAAAGAAAATGGTACAAAATGTGGCAGAATTTGGTACGAACATGAAAAAACAGTTTGCTTTACTTTAACTTTAATGAATTTCCAACAAAATAATTACACCAACAGGAAATATATCATGTCAATATTGCCCTTAACACAGTGCTACTCCTATACTTTATACAGTACAGTATTTTGTCTGATATGATAATGGGTACAAACTTACAATCCAGATATTATAAGAACCGTTGTATTTAATTAAGTAGCTAAAGCCACATCATATGAGTTTTGGTAGCCTTCTATTTACAAAACCTTTACAATTTCTTAACTTCATACATAATGGACATTATATACTATGCTTGCTTTTTCTTCTATTGACATTGATATTTTAATTATCTGGGTTGTAATAAAATATGAAAAAAAATCATCTCTGCTGGAATTGGTATCTTTCAAGGCAGGTCTGAAAATGTTTTGCGGGGAGGTGGTGCAACATCTTTTTGCTCCTGCTCCTTCCCCATGCCTTCAAACATCAAGATCCTTGAATGAAGAAAATGTCACGTCAGCTGATATACAACACTTACACTTGTAAACTTCAGACCGTAAAACTTAAACTACTATTTAATGAAAGATGATATATGGATATATTATGTTGACTAATCATGTGAATGTATTTACTTACAGTTTCAGAATTGCATTTCTCTTTCCCAGCATCATATTCAGGAAGTCATTGTAGCTGATAGTGTCTTTTGATGGCCCTCCGGCAACTTCTGCCATCATCTTTTTCAGCTCCAAGTGAGTCTTGGCCAGGCCAAGTTTTTCCAGCATTCGCTTTAACCCCATTAGATCTATAAAGTTGACAGTTCCAAGGCAGAACATGTGTAAATGTGCTATTCTGCATAAAATCTTTGAGGATGCAGGGGAATTTTTTGCAAAAACTATTTTACTTTTTTAAAAGGCAAGTACCTATTTCTCCTTTGTCATTAAGATCAAACTCCACGTACTTTTCTGTAACACAAGCAAATGCAATCTCATTCATGTAAGAGACTAAATAAAATAATCAACAGAGAATATGGAGCCCTTTCATACCCACTTTTAAACATTTCAAGCTTTGAACTTAGGTCTTCCTCTTCTGCATACGTGGGGTCTGACAGAAAAGCCTGGGGATTGATACCAAGTAATACCAATCAATCAGACATATTATTGGTATCACAGAGGTGACATATGTTTGTGTTCAGCTAAATAATTCCAAAATTCAGTAAAGTCTAATGGAACTCGATAACTTTTTCTGAAGATCACAACTGACCTCATTGATAGAATCCAGTTTTTCTTCCTGTTGAGCCTTGAGGAGACCGTACGCTTTACCTCCTGTGAAATGATATTCAAGACAATGTAAAAGAAGGTAAAATTAAAAAGAGTTTACAAAAAAAACAGGTAAGCTAACCTTGAGCAGTGTTGTCCATTATTCACAGTGCCGTCAGCCTGTCAACACTCAAAGTGTGGTCAGCTATGATGGCGTATGTCTAAATTAAGCGACAAGAGGAAGTGAAGTTAAAAAGTTTCGCTTTGCATTTGTGAGGTTCCTCTGTAGTTTTTAAGGCTGAAGCAAAAAAAGAGGTCAGAATGTACAGCAAAAAACATTTTACATACGAGTGGTTTTCATGCATAATCTAAAAGTTAATAAAAAAAAATTGACATTACAATAAAGGATGGAATACAGCAAGACTGAGTTTTTAATCAGTGATGCATATTTCTCTGCAGAAATAGCCTCATTATGAGGCATACTTGAATAAGTGACGCTCTCTTTCTCAGGAAATCATTCACAGATATAGACATGTGGTCATGTCAGCGCGCCTCTGGAGCGGTCGGTAGTTGTGTGCCTTGCTCAGGGCCTCACGGTGATGTTAATTGATTACTTAATTACTGCTCTTTAACACATAGAGCTCAAATTGAAATGTGAACTAAATATTTCATTATGTCAATTTAATGTAGTGACTGGCTTCTGCCACACGAGGGCTCTATTTACCACAGACTTTGGTAAACAGAACCAAAAGCGATGTTTGGCTCGGAGGTTCGTTTCATGTGGACTTCTGTGTGACTTAGAGAACTGAAAATAGGTGGAGACCAAAAAAAAAAATAGCCTTGAATAGAATCTCATTTTGTCGCTCCACTTGGGGACATCACTTGGAAAATGGCACATTTCTATTTGCGGGGTCTCTTAGTTCTGTTGATAATCATATCAGAACGCACAGGTGAGTAGGTGACTAAATTATGACTTTCCCAGATTCAAAATGTATTTAACTTTTTATGGTCAGTATTCCAAAGACTTATTAACGCCAAACCAACTGTGACTGTTATAAATGTAGTATACATACACTTATTTAACAACGGATATAATAATAATCATCTTCTGGTAACATCAAGAATGAACTGCCTTAAGCTATTCAAAATCCTATAAATAATGTACTGTTGGTGTTATTCTAAAGGGATTCTAATATTTACCTCTCCATCGTTTTAATGACATCTCAGCTGAGACACTGACTGCTTCAAAAGAAGAAGATGTACTTCTTTCCTGCTTTGATTCAAATGTGATGGATCCAAGTGGCCGCGACAGATTCAAGTTGATTAAGTATGCTACAAATTCCAGTTCGATGGAGGTTATACTTGCCAGGCCTACAACAACCAACCACGCGGATGCTAAAAGAGTAACATTGGAGGTTAATGGAACTAAAGTGTGTGTTTTTCTGAAAAAAATCCAACCATCCGATGAGGGACTGTATGGATGTGAAATCTGCAAAGGGTGGGACTGTACTTTGAAAAACGTTTCTTTAAAAGTGAAAGGTAAGATTACATATTAGCTACTCATTTTTCCTCTTTGTCATAGAAATGTCACGTACGTATCACACAAATCTCACCTTTTTTAGATTGCAAAACCCTTCCAGCAGTAAAGGCAAATGCTAGCGCGCCCGTTAACCTGTCCTGCCCGGTGGACAACACGGACCCCAAAATATATCCCCAAAATATATCCTGGTTTAAGGTGAAATCAGGCAACCCTGTATCTCTCAACTCTGAAGGGGTTGAAATGAATGGGACATCCTTAGCTTTCCTGTCTGTGCAACCCAGTGACAGCGGTTGGTTTGGATGTAAGTACGTGCTCGGACAAACTCAGCGCTGCTATGAATTTAATCTACGGGTCCAAGGTAAGATTTTAAACTACCTTTATTATCACTGACAACAACCAAACAATATGTATGACTCCTATGTACCTTTTCTATTTCCTTTGTAAAGACAAAAAGGAGGTTGTGGCCACAGCAGTTCCAGGTATTGCAGAAAGAACTATTCATATATATATATATATATATATATATATATATATATATATATATATATATATATATATATATATATATATATATATATATATATATGTATTATTAATCTTAATTAAATTCCAGTTAAATGTGGTGTTGTAACTGCTTGGCTCTGCTTCCTGTATTCTACCCAGGACTGGAAATCAGTGAGTCTGTTAGGCAGACAAAGATGGAAACTGAGACGGTGACGGAGACGGAAAGGAACAGTGTAGCATTTCTGCCTGTTGTTGTGACTTCAGTCATTATTGGCACTGCCATAATGGCTGCACTGATAGGACTCTTCGTTTACTGCAGCCGTAACACCCAAAGAGTTACGCAGCAGACCCTCAGGCACACGCCACCAGGTTCGATTCTTCTCTTTAACCTCGACGAGCAATGCCGTGTAGCGCCTCATCGGAATAACTTTGGGTTCTCTCTGGTTGCTAAGGTACTCTTATGCATGCGTATGAGGTTGTGAATGTGACCCCTACAGAAGGTGAGCATCCCGTTGTCTTCTTTTGACAAGCTACTGTGACCTTTGTTTACCACTTTACCGACAATTTGTCAACTTTATCTCACAGATGGTGCGTGTCAAGACAACTCTCTGTGCCAGCAGTTTGTGGATGAAAGCCTGTGTACTTGTAAGTAATACTACTTGTAATCACAACTACTCTTATATGAAGTCATACTTATATTTGCACCTTATCAAAATAGCCAAATAACAAAAGTCTCTCCATCATTGCAGTTCGTTATTAGTAATGTTCAATCTGCTCAAGACAAAGAAGAAGATTTTCCTCGAATGAGCAAAGTCCTTAATGTCTATTCATGTGAAATGAACACACCTGTAAAGTGTTTGTCTTCAAAGAGTAATTTAGATTTAAATAGATCAACATAGAAAATGCTGAGCTTTGATTGTTTTTTTACTTAGACTGCTGAAAAGAGTCGTCCTTATTGCCATCTTTGTGTTCATCTACTCTAATCTAGATAATAATTAAAAAATAACTTGAGACCTGTCTGAAGTGTCATCTTTATTTTAAACCTTTTACCCAATTTGAATACATATCTATAGCATGATGTTTGGTCGTGAAGACGGCGTCACGAGCACTGATCTGCTCCCCTTTGAAACTGACTTAAAGTCAAAAGAAGCTTTCATTTAGTTCACAGCCTGTAACAAATCGTAGAAATCGTCAGTGGAGGTGATAGTCCCTCCTTCGGGTTGCCTCTGGTGTTGCACATCCTCATTGTTTACATCCTGGATGACCTCGTAAAGAGGAGTCTGTGAAGAGGAATTATTACATTGGCATGTATTTGCTTGACAAAAACCATTATTTTCAGCACAATTATGTTTATTCTCCTACCATTCCAATACTTGACTGCTCATTTCCTGCCAACAGATGGAAATAAAGGAAATAAACATTAGCCATTTATCTCAAAACGTTCTCCTGCAGTGGTTTCCACAGTAGCCGGTTTCGGACCACATTTACTACCTGCATCCTTGTGGTGCTTCCTCTTGTTGCACATGTAGAGTCCAGTTACACAAATCAGGAGGACCAAAGGAAGTAGCACCCACGCAGGAGTTTGCAGAGCTGTTGACACCAATAGTGATCAGGCCCTCTTATTAAACATTTAGCCCTTACGATGGCATCATACTTACGGTTAACAGTGTGCCACTTCTTTGACGCCATCACATCACTGTCTCTGTGCACAGAGCACGTGAATTCAGCCGGTGCCATCGACAAATCGGGGAGAAACAACCTGTTTGTGAGCGAGTTGTTGACCCTCATTAAACGGCCCTGCCGGCTACCAGACCAGGTCAAAGTGACGTCCTTTCCACATTCTTTAGTGCAGGTAAGCACACAAGCTAAAGTGAGATTATCTCCCTCCGGCTCACGCTCCGAAACAACTGTGAAGAAAGACGTGAAAGGAAACGTTTTAAAAGCACTGGCCCCGAATTAGATATGGGACAATTCACGGCCTCGCTTTGGCATCTGGAGTTGTGACACCCACCATCGAGGGTGTGCAGCCGGACTTTGTTGACGCCTCTTTGCTGCTCAGAGGAGTCTGTGCACGTGTAGTCCCCCGCGTGCAGAACGCTCACTCTGCTGATGACCAGTGATGAATCTTCACTGACATGAAATGCCTCCGTCGGGTCTCCATGTGGTGAGCCTAACCCCATATCATGCGTCAGTGTCCTTTCCCCTACAGCCCACTTCCCTCCGCCTCTCACCCCGAGAGAAGAAGTGGCCCAACAAGAGAGTGACACGGGCTCGCCCACTGCAGCAAACACTTCCTCTATGCCGTCTGAGGGAAAGGAAGCTCTGGTTACACGTTGTGGACATGTTAAACCGCATTGTTCATTAGGCGGAAGGGGGAGTTAAGTACCTTTTATTGTTGTTGTGTAACGGATGGTGGCTTTAACAGTGTCGCCCTGGGTCAGCTGGCATTTCCATTGTCTGTGATGGTCCGTCGGTTTTTGAGTGATGATCAGTTTAGAGAAGCATTCAGAGGGATTTTCAACCTTAAATCGGTCCCCATTTAGAGGTTTGTTGTCTCTTGTTCTCCACTCGATGTGGATCCCTTTTTTGTTACATGGAGCATGTCCTCTATATATATTGAGGAAACAATGAAGCTCTATGGTGTCCACCGCAGGAGTGGAGCTCTCTGTAACTGCAAAATAAAATAAATAAAATCATCTTGAACTTTGCATCGTTCAAAAAGGCCTCGAGTCGCTTACCTTCAAGAATCTGAAGTGAAACGCTTGAATTGAGCGTGCCGGTGTCGCAAGAGTAAAGCCGTGCGTCGGTGAGCTCCAGGTGAGTAATCTCCAGAGAGCAGTCCTTCAGCAGGCCGAGCCTGAGGGCCTTCCCACCCGGCGCCGTCACCTCTCCAGCCTTCACCACCTCGGTGATCGACTGAAACTCTTCGACCATGTTCCAGTTCACAGAGGAGCAGGATTGGATTGAGGGTACGCTACATGGCAAAGTAACATCATCTCCTAGTAACGCAAACATGTCCAAATGATCTGTTGAGGAGATTAAGACGTGAGGTGGTGCCCCTCCCTCATGAACCGACAGTATTTCTATACAGTTATACAGTAATTTTGATATTCAGTAATTATTGTTATGATATTTTAAATTTTACTTTGTTGCATTTAAGTTTGCATCCACAGTATAATGAAGAACTATGTGCTATAGTTTGCGAATGACAGCACCCTCATTGGACTCATCTCTCACCCTGAAATATTTCACATGTAGGCCTAGTACCTCAACATTTTGTAAATAAAGTTTAGAGTGTTATTATGTCATAATACAACATATTAAAAAGATAACTTAATTCATATTCACCAAATAACGGAGGTCCAGCCGCTGCTTGTGTGAGAGACAGAAGAAAGAGCCTTAATAATGAAATGGAAACCATTCTTCTCTTTGCTGTTTTTTCGGATATTTTCTTGCGTATTGCTAAATCCCTCAGATAGCAGAAGCTTTCTAAAATCATATGTTCAGGAAATTACATTGCCAGCTCATCAGTTTAGGACCAGCCCAAGAGTGGCACATGTTCATCTTTTCACATTAACCCTTTAAGTTTTGACAAAACTGTGGCCAGTGCACCAATGAATGTTTCATGTGAACCTTCTTTTTTGTGTTTTGCATGTACTATTTTCTGTATTACTCTATTGTCGGTCACATGTACAATAGATAATCCCTCTAGCCACGCTTGTTCTCGTCTATCATTGGATAGCTCTTGATATTGGAAGTTAAAACACTGTTACAAGTAGCACTGTTAATACATCTATCATCCATACCTCCCTATCTGTAAGTGGGTCATTTGTAGGTGTTAACTCCACTTTCTGTAGGAGATCCGGTGCTTATCCACTAGGTGGCGCTGTCCCGCTCTACAACAGGTATTCATCAAGGAAAAACACTTCAAACTGAGCAGTTTCCGAAAAGAAACCTTTGGCATGAAACTCATTGAATAATGTTCAGTACATCCTAGTAGTTTTTACTGGTGACGTTGAAGTTTAGTATTTTTATCTAACTTTGATGCAAGATGCTTTTGCAAGAATGCTTTTGTTCAACACTATTTAGACCCGGCCTGGGTTAAATGTTCTCTAAAGATTAAATAGATTGTTGTATGAATTAAGTTTAGGAAAAAAACTCCAATACTAGTATATTATATATCCAGTATTTCAGGCAAAATGAAGGAAGTATTAATAAGAAACATACACATAGATTTTTTTTACACGCAAAAGTAAATCACAAAAACATTTATTTGCACGCAAACACACAGTGAAAGCAACAAGTAAACACTACACCCTCCGTGATTCAGGGATGTGTCAAAGGCCTCGGACGTGCTGTAACAGTGTAGGACTTGACCTTAAGTACGACACTAGCGACTCCTCTCAGGTCGGGCAGAGAGGCCTCGTTCTCCGGAGGGATGAAGTGGAAATCTCTCAGTAAGTAGGCAGTGAACAGAAACAGCTCCATTTTGGCGACGGACTCTCCCAGGCAGAGCCGAGCACCCCCTCCGAAAGGCATCAGGGCTCGGGTGGAGCTTTCTCCTCCTTCCAGGAAACGCTCTGAAAGCCAGAGAGTAGCAACTTTATTTGAGATCTGCTGCGCACGTGAAAAGGAATTCACTTCAGCTGATGGTTGCAGCTGTACCTGGTCTGAAGCTGTATGGGTCAGACCAGACCGCAGGATCATGGTGTGCTCCGAAAAGATTAGGAATGATGACCGTGTTCTTAGGGATGAAGTAACCTGCAATGCTAAACATGCATGGGGCATTATACATTTTCCATCTCGTAAATTGCATTTTTAATTTCGTTTTTTCATTTTTAAATTCTACAAACATAGATTTGTAAAGCAGCCAGCATCAACGCCTTCTTGGCCATATCTGATCTTATTGACGAGTGACAGTCAGCCAACAATCCTCATATCGACACTCGGCCGACCTGCTGTCTCTGACGGCTCTGTGTGGCACCGCCAACGGGGCGACCGGCCTCAGTCTGAGCACCTCGTTGATCAGAGAGCACAGGACGGGAAGTCTGCGTCGGTCACTGTACTTGGGGTACCGTCCCTCCAGTACTGTGCACAACTCCTCATACACTTTGGCCTGCACCTAAAGAATTGAGAGACACTCGAGTCAAACCTCCGCGTTGGTAAATATGTCGTTTTAACGGTCAAAGACGAGCCCTGCCTCTGGTCTGTGCAGGAGGAAGGCCACAGTCCAGTTCAGCCAAGCCGCAGTGGTCTCTGTTCCCCCGATGAGAAGGTCCACGGTTGCCATGTGAACATGAATATCTGTCAAGCGCTGGAAACCCGCACACATGTAATTTAGACCAAAGGTGCTCACACTATACTGAATGTACAATTACAGTATTGGATGACATTAGATTGACCACCCGAAGCATTTCACATTTGACGTTTACTCACCACTTTGTGATCTGTGTTGTTGTTTCTTTCAAGGCCCTCGAGGAGGGATCCCGTAATGGCGTCCTCCGTTTTATTGTTTTGTGACTGCACAGTAAAAGCAACACCTGATTAAAATCAGCACAGCAGGATCAACGTTTTCTATGTTTCCATATGAGATCTTACAAATGATTTCACTGTTCTGGATGCAGACATGAAGACGTTTAACTTTGAATTGATTCGAAAGGCAACAATGATGTGAATTAATTTTCTTCACCAACATATCCAAGGAGACAAAAAAAGTTTTATTTTCAGATATGGTTTTCAGTTGATAACATTACTCATTTTGTTTTCACCAACCTTGTAGTTGTTGAGATGTTCTCTTATGATTTCATCTCTCTTAGCCACTTCTTTTAGGAGACGGGCAAATACAGGATTGGGTAATTTCTTTGAGAAAACAAATGACAACATGTGAGATCTCATTCCAAAGTTGTTGGCCAATCTTTGCCGGGATAATCGAGACAGAGAATATTAGCAGACTCTGAGCAGTGGGAAGGAATCCAGAGCAGAAATCCAGGACGAGCCCCACAGAGCAACAATCTCATTCAGACAACTGTGCAGCTTCTGCAGCTCCGAAGAACTCTTCCCATACTAGAAAACACAGAGGTTCATGTTCACTCATTCATCATGAAATGCACTGTCCAGTAACAGAATACCACATTATACAATAGAACATTATGTACATTATGACTGCACGGATGCAAGTCTCCTAAGAAGAACAGACAGGCTCCTTGCCCCGCCCCCAAGATAAGGAGGCAACCAATCACAGCGGTCATATTAAGAAATCCATCTTTGACACTAAGAACGCACTCACTTCTTTTCCAAACGCCAAGGTGGTGATGACGTTACTAGCTGCCACTGTAAAATCCTCTGCCAGGTCTACAGGACTGCCTCGATAGTCCATCAAAACCTATAAAGAACAATGCTTTATCTTTTTATGTGACCATTGTGCAAATTCCCGAACATTTGGTTTGTATCTGTGACAACGCATTACAGGCCATCAAAAGAAAAACAATAACGCACAAACAAATTCACTCGTGTTCATTTGGTTCCTCTTGTGTTGTGTACCTCTCTCAGATGCAGCGCCTGTCTCTCGATCACATCGTGCAATGATTGCTGACAGCAGCGCTGCAAAGCACTGTGGACCAGGCGACGATGTGCCCTCCACTCTTCATTATAGTCCCCCAAAGAAATGGTGTGCCCTCCCCCAGACACAATATCACCTGATGCAAGGGAGTACTACACGTAGTAAGGACACAAACAAGTGATGCTTTACTATTGCTGTAGCGGGAGTTTGAGTTGTTCACCTGTGTATGAAACTGGTCTCCCAGCAAAGTCCGACCATTTTTTCACCAGTGCTTCTCTTATGATTTCCCCACTATTAAGTACCACCATGGCTGAAAAGAAACACAAAAAGACTTAATACTATTTACAAAAAGCTTTTTCAAAAGTTGAGTAATGAAATCCATCAATCTGAAAAGGGATTAATACTTGTGTTTCCACATTTGAGGCGGTAGATGTTTCCGTACCGCCGTGCCAAATTGGTCAGGTGGATTGGTAGATGCTCGTGCGTCAGCTCCATCATATTGCCGATGAGGAAGAGGCTGGGGGGACCCGGGAGGCCAGGAGACGAGGAGCGAGTCAGGAACCGACAGAGATGGTGCAGCAGGCCAGATGCAGCCTCTGCATGCACGAGTTAAGAGGGACGAAGGTAAAACAGAGAGACACTGGTCTTACAACTCCATTTGAAGTAAGCACACTCAAAGCTACACTAGTTTTCCATGTGACATTAATTACTATATTTTCATGAAATTAAAATATTATAACCAGCCTGTTTGAATACATAGACAACAAATAGTTACTCACCTGTACACTTACTTCCCCTGTGGTCTCCTTGTACGGATTGGTCTTTCTGACAAAAAATACCAATGAATATCATCAACAGCACCACTAGGAACGCAGCTCCCGCTGTGATGAATGATATTTCTATCACCATTTTGTGTCGTTTTGCTTAGGTCTCCTTTCAGAAAGGTGGCCAGCACACTGCTTGTCCCATTTATAGTCTCCTCATCTCTCTCTTGTTGGCTTGATGCAATGTTTTTCTCACTAAAATCAAGGATGTCTAAATATTTTGTCGGTCAACATATCTGATATTAAGATAAATACAAAACAGGCACATGGCCGGGACTTGCTGAAGGGCATGATAACATTTCACAGTTGTCAGTCAAGGCATTTCTTTTATAGAACAGGGAATTTTAATTCACCGTAAGAAAAGCAAAGAATTGACACGTTAGACCCACAACAGCCATATTTATTCCAATGAAGTGAGACAGTGCATATTCAATTACAGTCGTAGTGGGATGGCATACCATGGTGGTGAACAAGAAGGTATCTGAGTCAATTCAAAACCGAGGTGAAATGGACAGGTCAGGCAGAACAGTAGAACAAAATACAGAAAAGTTGCAAAAAACATTTCTCTACTCCTTTTGTATATTTCAAGAAAAATACAGATTTGAAGAAAAGAAAGGTTGCACGTTGAATTAATACAACGATAGCTGTATAAAACGCACTGTACATGCATTTTCAGTTGGTATGTGACATGCAACAACTCAGAGATTCACTGTCTGTTGGATTTCATTAGTCATCTGTCATCTTGTCTCAGCTTATCCGGTGTGATAGAGGACTGATGTAATCTCAGCCGTGGGTTGCAGGAGAGAACCTGGACGGTCTGAACTTCATCTCAGCGAACGGAACAGAGGAGTCTTTACCTCTCCAGTCTATCCAGACTACTCCCTGATGCAAAACAGAGGAAGAGAATTGATGCTATTGAGTGAGTGTGCCGCACCATAAAAGTTCATTGTTAACCATCTCAGAGAGGTGAATTGTACCTGATTATCACTGTTGCTGCCATAAAGGCCATTCAGGTTGGCCTTGTAGCAGTTCTTGTACCACCAGCCTCCCATGTACGCCCGGGCACAGTTAATCCCAAGAGGATCAGGGTCCTTGTCCTTGGCTGAGAATGGGCGTCCGTTGTGGTACCTCATAGAGTCACCTGACAGAGACAGAGACAGTGACATTGATGCGTGTGTTGACACTTCACATAATGTAATAAGAAGTGCACATTTCCAGTAGTAGTTTTCACCTGCAGTTCCAGTGTAGCCAGACACCGCCAGAGTATAGTGCCTCTCCGCCGAATCAACGGAGAAGTTTGCATAGTGGGCGTATGCAGTGTCATTTCCAGAGAGCATGTCCACTCTTAGACTCACAGGACCGACGCTGGTCAAGTTGTGAAGGAGCTCATTTCCTACAGCGATAGAAATTTAAATGGAACAGGTGAGGCCAGTTGTTTTAGAAATATATATATTTTGTGCAGATGTGACGGTAATAACAACTGTACCGAGCCAGAAATCTTCGCTGAGATTTCCAAAGCCGGCACTGTATTCATTCCATGTTTTGTAGAAATCTGTCTTTCCATTCATCCTCCTCTGGAACACCTAAAAACACACATCAGATTGTTTTCCATTAGCCATAAGGACATTGACATCTTCTCTATGCAAAGTTTTCAAATAAGAGCAGTTTCTCTCACCGTCCAGCCGCCTCCATCAGTGTCCATGTCACAGTAGACTCTGACTGCTTGACCCGCTTTTCCATGAGGGTAGATGTCCACCTCTCCTGATTGCAGAGCTCCATTCAGCAGCTCCTGAGAACACTCAGTGGGGAAAGGGAAACGCAGTTTGCCTAAGGGATAGAAATGAAAAGATCGTTGTGATAAAAATATTAAAGGAGCAGATTAATGAGCAAGTGCGGCGCGCTTAGTGATATACAAAACCTGTAATAAATTCTGTGGTGACAACGGACGTGTATTGTCCATCCCTCTCGCCTTGTACCAGAACAATGTATCGTGACGTTGGCAACAGGCCTGTCAACTTATACTCTGTGGTGGACTGGTCCAGGATCACCTCCTAAGGTACACAACAAAAAGCACACAAATGTATCACGTAAAGGTCAGGACTGTGTTCGGTGAGTGATTGTGGTGAGGGCAAATGAATCACCTTTGTTTCCTCTCCTGCCACCTGGTAGGTCAGTCTGTAGCTGTAATACACAACTGTGGAAGTTCTCCACGCTATCACAGCAGAGCGGGCACCCACCTCACTGGCTTTAACCACTGAGGGACACACAAATGTGTTATTGTCACACACTCTACGCACAAGCTCTGTATTTTTTTTAACATCTTTCGTCACCATTGGCTGTTGTAAATGTCGTTGAGATGGCCATGCTCTGCAGACTATCCTTCTGGCTGAGGATTTTGACTGTGTACAGGGTGCCTCGCTGCAGGCCTCTCAGCTGGTGCTCCACAGAGTTTCCAGACAGCATCACAGTCACTGTCACATTAGGAACTGTGCCAAGAAGAAGAAGAATTACTAGAGTAGCTATCAATGCTTGGTCATCAGTGTTTCATTTTGCCTCACTCACTCTTGGAGGTCTCATAGCTGAGGATGAACCGGTCTACTTTCCCCAGACTGGGTGTCCATTGCAGCACAGCTCTGGTATCCGTCACGTTGATCACTTGCAGATGTGTTGGAGGAGCGGGCACTGCAGTCAAGACACAATCCATGGTGTGTCTCTTGCGGATTTCACACATTTAGACAAAACAAGTAGCTGTAGATAACAGCAAGCATCTAATTGAGTACCTGTAGTGATAAGGGACGTGAGAGCGTCACTCTGAGCTCTGCCTTTTGTGGTAGTTATAGAGATGATGTAGGAAGATCCGGCAGACAGCTTGGACAAAACCACATAAGACAGCTGGGACTCCACTGTCACAAAGCGACTCTCCCCTAGAACATAACACAGTACATGCTACATATCACACTGACACAATCAACGCTTCCCAATGTAAAAAAAAGCCCGATGATGCAGTACAAAGGCGGGCCTTAAACAAACCTGTCATGATGTTGGTGAACATGACCCTGAAGCTAGTGAATGCCGTCTTTGGTTTGGACCATGCAACGGTGATGGAAGACTCTGTTACGTTGCTGAAAACCATCTCTGTGGCTGGCTCAGGTCCTGGTTCGACATACCAAAGAGATTATTTCAAATTTCACTACTTCCAGTACTGGTCATGTTTCTGGTAGTTGTGGAGGAAGTGCACTTCAGTTACCTGTAATTGCAGTTGCTTTGTGAATCTTTGATCTCCTCTGAGCAGCAGTGCCATACACATGCAGGGTGTAGCCTGTGTTTGCCCTGAGGTTACTGAACTCCACAGAGCGCACGTTGCCCGGGACCACCATAGAGATCCTCTTTGTCTCAATTTTGCCTTTAGATGCAACAGCTTTACTGGAAGTGGCGGTTGCGTTAGTACTCCCACTTGGTACCTGGACGTCAGTGGCGTTCTTCAGCGTGGAAAGCTTGTTTCCTTCAAGAGCTTCGTCTTCAAACTCCTCTAGGTCATCTTCGTCACCTCCTGTCCGTGGCTCTCTTCTGATCACCGTGAAGTTCTTGAACATCCCTTTTGGTGCCGCCCACGTGACAATGAAGCTATAGGAGGAGATGTTCACAACCTTTACAGAACCTAACCCAGATCCCCCCACACCCCTAACACTCGCAGATCCATGGATGGCTGTTTTGTTCTGCAGAACTCGAGACTCGACGAATGTTGATGCAATGCTTGAATTAATCAGATACTGACTCTTCTGTGTTAATTTTTCTTTTCCAATTTTGCCAGTTTCAGTGTTTCTGTTGACAACGGATTGCACATTTGTAGTGTCGGCCTTCACCTTCTTGTTTTGCTTATTTCCAGATGATTGAGTGACATTCTTCTCAGCCAGCGTCGACTGCTCCAAGGTCTCCTTTCCTGCTCTGGTTTTGTTTGTTACCTCAACCCTGGTCAGAATGGTCTCCGTTTTAGCCGTGCCATTAGAGTTATTCACATTACTCTGGTTTACATTGGTTTGAGGTTCATCCCTTAGATTGTCAGATCTGGAATGTGTTTTACCGGGAGTTTTTTGATTGACATTTTTGGAGGTGAAGATTGTTGTTTTGCCTTTGAGAGCCTCCTCCTGCTTTCCTCCCTCATGTTTCAACAGAACTTGACCAACAGTTCGACTGAACTTTGTGGCACTTGTAGTAATTTTAGTAGTAATTTTCTTAACAGAGACTTCTTGATTTGCTTGTGTCTTAACAAGACCTGCTTTAGCATTAGTAGACACTTTGGGTTTGGTGTGAGCTTCTTTGGCGTCAGGTCCCGTTTTCTGCTCCTTCTTCTGGAGGAGTGTGGGCTCTACTTTGGGGTTTTTCTCCTGCATACTTTCCTTGTCTTTGTTCACCTGCAGGGTCACTGTCTCCACGGTTACCTTGACTTTTCCTTTGGTGGTTTCTGAAATTGTGCAGTACAGATTACACTCAAAGTACGATAGTACGAAGTACGAGATATTATTAAAAGTAACGTTTCTCTCACTTATAGAGACGTGTCTCTTATCACATCCAAATAATAATGCAGACGTTCACTTAGTTTATTACACTAATTTCCTTGTGCATACTTACTGCAGTCCAGACCTGTGAATCCTTGTTGGCAGATACATTTGCCATTCTCACATTCCCCGTTGCCACCGCAGTCATTTGGACAATTTGCTGAACATGGACCTGGGCAGCAACAAAAATAAGCAAAACAACTGAATCCACCTCTCTGAGTCAAATGTCAAATGTGATAATCTGGTGAGTAGGACAGAACTGTACATTTATCTTTCAAAGAGGACATCTCTCTTTCCAGTCGGGCCAAACGTCCTTTCAACGCAGATATCTCAGACTCACACCCCCCATTGCATCCGCCGGGCAACAAGCTGATCTTATGGGTCATCACCAGAGGAGCGCCAGGCTTCAGCTTCAGCTCGTGCTCCTTGGCGTTGCTGGAGTCGCAGCCATCACTGACGACCACCTTAATTGGTTGCACTTGGGCAGGCTTTTCCTTGGTGGGGGTGATGGGAGCTTTGATCGTGGCGCTCTGATCAGCAGAAGGTGTGACCTTATCTTTGTCCGATGCAGGACCAGGTGTGGCGGCCTTTGCTGGAGTCGACGGAGAAGTTTGAACAACAGCTGGGGCAGGCTTGTCTTTGTTGGGCGGAGATTTAGCGACAACAGTCTGATTGAAGAGTGGCTTGTTTTTGGCAGTTTTAACACCGCTTGCGGTAGCGGTCTTTGGGGATGTTGACTGAATATTTGGAACTCCAGTAGGGACAGGCTTGTCTTTGGTAGCCTTCACCTCATTGACTTTTGAAGCCTTCACTGCTGCTGTGGCAGGGGCGGGTAGAATTGCCTGACCGACTGTGTTTGGCTTTGGGGTCGGGCGAATGGTCAGTTTGGAAAGAGCAGAAGTGACTTTTGGTTTTGACTGGGTGAAAACGACATTGGGTTTGGATGTGTCGCTCACTGTGGAGTTTCTACTCTCATTGGTTGTGGATTGAAAGGAGGGAAATGGGGTGAGGAGAAAGAGAAGTCCCAGAGTAAACAGCATTTTGAGCCAGAAGCAGTAGCCAGAGAATTTGGTCGACCCGTATGTATGTTGCGGTAAATGATGAACTCCTTCCTCTATTCCTTCCAAGACAACTTTATGCCAGGTTTCTCCTACAAATGAAACACAAATGAAAGAGCTGAGTTGTAGCCAGGTTTTATAATTTCCCAAAAATGTCAGGGCTCTGTTTTTACCCTATGAAATGCTTTACTGAGCATACATGCACGTTTTCAGCCAGTTTAGCATACAGAGTTCTTATTCACACTGATGCTCCCTTCTACAAACTACTGGCTATTATGGTGCTAGACTCAGAAGAATTTCAGTCTTTGTGCCTTGTTCAAAAGTGACCGGGCAGGAATTGCTTAAGCAATGGACAGCATTACTAACCTTTCAGTCAGATCGAAGGTTGTCTGGTTCAATGCGTATATATTCTCTAAAAGTAGCATACAGTGATCTGCCATTTGAGACAATTCCCCGTGCAAAGTCATCCAGGGACTGATGAACAGAAGCATATCAAAATAGTACTAAGATATAAATTCAAACTGGTAAAAATTATGATGAGTGGAAGAATTGCAGCAGTGTGCGAATCATCCATAGTTGATAGTTAATTTGATGGCTTGCCAAACCAAGTAAAAATTTAAATTAGTTGATTCTGAACAGGAAGGAACAGGAAGTGTAAAGAGTCTGATGGAGGCACTTTAGCAGAGAGGCAACAGAGCCTCCCTGTACAGAACTGCGGGACACTGTACGTCTTTCACTTCCAGAAGCTTACATAATCCTCTGCACCCGTAACTCATAAAATCACTGAAAGAAATATGTCTTTGGTTTAAAACAACAAAAAAATCCAATAAATCAAGTAGCATAGAAAAAATTAGTATGTTTTACTACACATCAAGATCATTTTTAAATGTTGCAGTGGAGTTCAAGGATTAACTGTAAATTTGGCAGGAGTAATACATTAATTAATATGTATTTTAATTTATTTTTAAATGATAAATTGTTGTATTAGCACAGCATTGACAGAATTAAAATAGTTATAACCATATTTCATTATATATAGACGCTGAACATATTGAGTATGAGTATTGTATTCACCAACGACTGCAAATAGTACAGTGTAACCGTCTTTTTAAGAAATAAAAAATCTTATGGTATGACAGCATGATGTTTTCAGTTGTAAAAAACAGTTGTACTTCAAAACCTTGAGATCAAATCCATCCATGCACTCAGCATTAGGAGGTGAAAGAATATAAACCAAAATGCAGGATGTGAGCAAATTCATTCAAATAGTTACCACTTTGATACCATAATGGAGAAATTAACTTACCAGAATAATGACTCACTTCTTGGTTTTATCTCTTTCTTTGTGTTTCTCCCTCCATCTGACTCGAAAGCTCACACAAATGAATGTGATCAGGGTGGAAATATGTGGAAGAAAGGACCACCATAAGAAAGGAGGAGAGTGATAAAGTCTGCTCCTACTTAAGGACACCTCCCCCGCCCTCACCGCTCACCCATCACCCCTCCTCCACGCCTAGTGGTCCCACTCTGTCAAACACCATGGGACATATTCTTATTGGACCACAAAGATCGGCATTTTTACATATTTGAACATTTTATCAGTATGATGTTTCCCTTTTCTGTTTTGTAATTTCTCATTTTTTGTTGTTAGATTTAAGAATTTAGCCACAACGATTTATTGATATTCTTTGGTTAACGCATTAATACAACAGAATACATCGGGACATTTTTTGTTGCCCCTTCTTGTCTACTTTTGAGTAGCCGGCATTTTGCAGCTTTGCATGGCACACGACAGTATTCTAGTGTGTGCTGTGTGTCACTCGATTTAGACTGATTAACACCTACTCAACTTTGATGGAATAAAGCGCCGATCTGAGAATCATGATTCAGCTGAAACACATGGTGCAACACTGCAGGTATTCAGTGCAGACTCTGGGGGACAAGAACCTCTGGCTATATGAATTGGCTGCTTGTTGGAGGTAATGAGATGAAACTACGTGGGAGTTATGTAAGTTACCAAGTACCCACCCGATTTAGGGAACGCTCCTTGAATGCTCTGAATCGCTGACCAAATGGCCACCCACCATTTATAAACCACATGAAGAAAAGTAAATCGAGTTCCAGATCAAACAGAGCCTATGTAACATTTTCCTAATATCACTGCGTGACATTATTGAAGCTCCTTGTTGTAAGATAAACCGACGTTGATCAAGATTCACTTATATTATGAAGAAGGATTTGTAAATTGGAAATGTGTTTGTTTTCTCAGCAGCTCCTGTGAAGTCCCCTGCACCAGACTACAGTCAGTGTATTCAGCCTACACAAGCCACGATTCATAAATAAATGTGTCACTAATAAACGGGTTCAATGGAATCGTCAATGAAAATCTATACTCGTAGCAGACAAAGACTTCTATTCAGCAACTTCTAGCGTCACTTGTGTGTTTCATGTGTGGTTTACAGCTCGCAGTCCATTTTGAAATAAAGATAAACAAATGAAACCAGAATACGGCTTAAGCATATTTCTCACAAATTGAACACAAAAGCACATCAATAAATCACTGTCATGTCAACGTGGAACCGCCGTGGCACCGCTGTGGGACTGTGGTCCATGCTGAAGAAACCGCTCTCTCATAGTCTATTACTGTTACATGCTCTGGCTCTATTTATCTTATAGTCTGTTTGTGTGAATAGAAGAATCCTCACAGTAAAACGATATTTGCCTTTAGATATTTTCGTTTGAAATGCGTTGAGCTGACAATTTTCTCATGACACGTCCACCATGTTCTAATACAGAAAAACAAACCAACCTGTGCGTTACATGCAGCATCAACATTTAGTTATTGAGTTATTATGGTTATTTCTATACCAGTTGCCAGTCAGCACCATGACATCTTGCAGCAAAGATCATGGTTGATGCTTTGTATAAAACTGAATGGTATTTAAAAAGGGCTTGTGCGTGTGAAGTTGTGAATAATGTTGGATTTACATCTGTGTTTATGGAAAAGCTCGATCAGTGATTCACCCGTTTTTGATAAAGATAACCCCACCTGCTAAGGTGCGAACGCCTACTACACCTCTTATCACATTTAATTATAAGAAAAGCACGTTTTCACGTCAGCATGTGAGGTTTTCCAATAACTCATGACAGAGATGGATGAGTCAGTATGCACAAAACCAAGAGCCATAAACTTGAGCAACCAAATGTTATTCAGCCGTCATTTATTGTTTTATTTACATCTGTGCTTTTTCTACTGCGACATGTAAGAAGTGTCCCGTGAAAACCATCTTTACAAATAAGACCAAGTCAACTCCATGTAGAGATCAAACTGTAATTGAGATCAGACTGTAGCGCGGACTCATGAGTGGGTGGTCCTACTCCATCCGGGCCTCCATCAGCAGGCGGCCTCCGTAAACAGCTCCGCCCTCACTCAACTCCTTTCTGCACTTTCGACCACCCTCAAACCCCTGACCCCATGATGGCCCTTGGAAAAAACGGATCAAAAAACACCTTTAACACCTACGGCAACTGCACACCTGAGAAAATATCCCCAGGTCGTCCCGGCACGTTTCACAATTCCCCAGACGATACCACAGTTGATGCTCAAGCATATTTGGTGTGTCTGAGTAGGTGAGCCTGCAGTCGTTAAAAAAGCGTATTCACAGTAAATCCACAAATCAAAAGTTTCAAACTAAATACAGATCATTCACCCCACTCCGTCTATTTTTGAGAAAATGTTGTTTATTGAATGCATTTGACTAAAGAGCACACGTCTCCACGGACTCTGTCATGTAAAGTCATTGATTACTCTGAGAAGTAATACTGAGCCACAGTAAAAAGAAGACCACTTCTTCCACTTCAATGTGCTGTTGCTGTTGGCTTCCCACGTGCACTGAAGTAATCCCCAGATGAAAATGTGTGATGCTGAAGACTACATATTTATTTGCACTTTATTGACGCAAATTTAATGAAATGTCTAAAGGCTGAAACAGAGCCGGCATTGATCCGGCTGTGATTGAAGTGATGGTCAGTGCTCCCGTGTTGCTTACTTTGGACCCGGCCTCAGAGATTAGAATAATATAAGCGCATAAGCTCTCGTTTGTTCCTCGTCTCTCCACCCATGCGTCTCTCCTGCTGAACTGCCCCCTCCCACTACCTCTCCCTTTCTCTCACAACCTCACTTTATCACACAGCATGTACATTATAATTGCACTCTTCTGCAGCAGATTTCTACGTGTAGCAAATTTGAGAGGAGGACTGTTAGCTATTATCTTCACGAGGTGACGATTGATCCAAATCCTGTCACTACCTTTACCGGGAACCAGCAAGCCAGTCTTATGTGCAGACCCATGTGCCACGTTATGAGTAGTCACAGTGTTGTCTAACCCCAAACCACTCACCCTCTCCCTTCCTCCTTACTCTGCAGATGTTAAGGGAAGGATAACTTTTTTTTGGTGGGGGGTTCATTGAGTACAGAGACCCCTCTCAGCGCTGTTACTGCCAGTACAAGAAAAACATGAAAGATAAATATATTCAGTAGAAAAGCAAAATGAAAACAGTATACACCAAACTGAATGGCACTATTTGTATAGAGATAAAAGAGCAAAACTTTATTGAGTGAAGGTTACATTTTGAAATCATTATTTTAAAACATAATACATTCAAAGGTAAAGGTTTTTATTTATTTAAAAACTGGTAGCTGTATTGGACATGAATTCATGGGCAATAGTCTCATTCCAAGTGTAGTAAACTTTCAAATTATACTAAAGTTGTCGTTCACTTACTGTCTATCAAGCAATAATCTCAAGCATGTTCTCATACTATGCGTTTATGATTATAAAAGGTTAAAAAAGAGCACCAAACATTTATGCTGAGGGTGCGTCCCGTGGATGAAAGGACTTGTCCGTTTCACTGTCTGCAGCCATATATCTTGTACTCATCTTTAAACACATTAAACCGTGAGCAGGCGGTTCTATGTGCAGATTTTTTGCATTCTTCTTCCAAAGGCTTTCTTTCCACCCAAGTGTTGGACTCCAAAAGATACTGAATCCTGCAAAAAAAAAAAAGGGACTGAGTTAAAACAAGGACAATGGGTCATAGTAAAATTATACTTCCATTAATGTTATTGACAACACTTGCTTCCCACTGGAGTCCGTCGTGGAGCCATCTTTGCCCATGATGAGATACTGTTTTCCCACGTCCAACTGTCCTTTGCACTGACGCCGCTTAGCGAACACTCGAATAGAATCCTCACCCACTCCCGTATCTCCATCTGATAGACAGATTGTTGCCATCATATTTCTGGTAGGTCTTTCATGTGTAAACCTCCAAAGGTCAATATTACAGCCTTTCGCGAGGCTCGTGGTTACAGTTTACTCACGTGATCTGAGCACCTCGTTTACACGCGTTTTGTACATGTCAAAGTTACTCTTCATGGAAACGTTAAGGATTTCCACCAAGTATGCTGGAATAAAACAAAGCATATTAAACTATGGATTTGAGATTTTCAAGGTCATGGCAATTGCAAAAGATTCAAACAATGATTCTGTTCTTCTGAACAGTACCGACCGTAATCCACTGTAGGGAAGAAGCAAGCATGTTCTAGACGGACACTCTTGGGGACCTTCTGACGAATTTGTGATTTGAATGTATTTTGTATTTTATGACAGGGTCCTAAAGAAAAGAAACACATTTTTATTGTTTATAAAAACCTGAAAGGTAAGGTTTTCACGGGTGTTTATCTATATCGGCCTCATTAGAATGACCTACTTTCTGCACATTGGCACACATCCTCTGAGCACAGTCTGGAGACCATGTTGCTCCTTCGGGGGGCGGAGTAGGACACAGTGCACATTCTGTCTGAAATGAGGCACAAATAGTTTGTGAATTCCTGGGGAATTAAACAAAGATGTTCCCTCTATCCTGACAAAACCCCACAAAAGCAAACAGATATTAAAGTAAAACGCTTACTTGGTTCATAATAATCATAGAACACAGCTGAAGCAGGCTGTAGAAGACCAACTGGTACTCTCTGTATGGCATCAAAACTAATACATTCCTCTGAGTCAAAGAGCTAGAGGGAGAAAAACAATATTTTACAACTGAGTATCTCAAATCTGAGTATCTCAAATCTATGTGTATGTAAATGTATTTCCACCTCACCTCATTGAAATAAAGCAGCACTCTTCCATTGGAGACCTCATAATGAGAAATGTATTCCTCAGGTGTCTCTCGTAGCTGCAAAGAAAGGATTTTAAGATTTTGTTTCTTTTTATGATTCTTAACTCATACACTTTCATGTTTTCAGGCTAATGATGAACGCTTACAAAACTTAAGTGAGTAAACACTGTAAACAGCAAGACAACTAACTATCAACATGTATCTTGTAATCTGGATACAAATTTGTGTGTTGGACTGTCAAGTCAAGTGAGTGTCCGCTGATATCAAGTAACCAGCATTGATTTGGGCTTGTCTATTGAGGTTGCCCAAAATAGCTTTTCCTAACTTGACCAGAGGGGCGGCACGGTGGCGTGGTGGTTAGCACTGTCGCCTCACAGCAACAAGGTTCTGGGTTGGACTCCGCCCAGTGGCCTTTCTGGGTGGAGTCTGCATGTTCTCCCCGTGTCTGCGTGGGTTCTCTCCGGGTTCTCCGGCTTCCTCCCACAGTCCAAAGACATGCTCTGGGGATCAGGTTGATTGGGCACTCTAAATTGCCCGTAGGTGTGTGAATGTGAGTGTGAATGGTCGTTTGTCTCTATGTTAGCCCTGCAATTGGCTCCTCAAAGTATACAGCATCGTGTCCTCACTAAAAAAGGATCCTGCAACCATCCTCGCTGATTGAGAAGAATTTTAGGAATTCACAACAAAGCGCTGATCTCCTGGGCACAAGCTAGACCAGCGAGGAATCAACGGAGCAAAAAAAAGGGAATTGAGAAATGTAGAGGAGGTAAAAAGAGCCACCAACCTTGTCCAAGTCCTCGATAACGACCTCAAATCCACTCAGAAGTGTGACGTCAGCAATACCCATCCCTGTGAGATTCCTCTTCAGGCTATGACTGCACACGCGAGACACAGATTTTATATTTTTTTTCCCCCACCAAGCTCATCCCTCTCATGGGTACTTGTAAAGAGCAAATTGAGGTATCGTTCAACTAACCTGACACAGATTGTGTAGGTGACAGCATCTTCTGAAATGAAGTTACTATCAAGGTCTCTCTTGTTTCGGCTGCGAACATCAAACCACTCAATTGGTGATTGTGGCACACGCCCCTCCTTTTCCTCCTTGTTATCATCGTCATCGTAGTATTCATAGTTTTCTATGATCTTGTCTGGGGAGATAGAGGGTAAATGTAACTGTGTCGACTTTAGATGTGGTTGTGTGTGTGTGCCAGAAGCTCACCGGTGTACTTGACTTTCCCTTCCACCGTGACACTGATTGACAGTAAGTCACAACTGTCCACAGGGTCCAGCACATGGTAGGCCTTAACGATCTGCCCAAAGACACGGTGGTTAATTATAGATCCCTTTCAACTTATACAGACATTAGTAGAAACTTACTTTAATCTTGGCATCGCCGTTTCCTGTCATTTGCACCTTAATGTTGTTCCCAGAAAACTTCTGTGACCAAACACACAACAAACGTACTTTATGAACGAGGTTAATATTTGTGAGTATTTGGTGCAATATTGATGATGCTGGTTGGTACCTTGAGGTCTGTTTCCACTTTTTCTTTCTTATTATCCAAGACAAGTTGTATGATGTCTTTCCTTCCTTGGACTGTGAACTCAGCTACTAGATTTACTTCAGAGCGGACGGGCCCCTTCAGCTCATACTCTGCCAGGGCTTCCAATACCATGATTGTATCCTTGACGTGGTAATGAAACATTAATAACTATGTTCAGCATCTGCACTCTGACAATTGAACTGGGGTAATGAGGTACAACAGGGATATAGGGTCCAGAGAAAGAGATTTTTAGATTCTCGATGTAGCATCCCAATCACCTGTGATGATTTATAGCCTCCAAAATAGTTTTCTTGGGTGGTTAACCAGCAGGCTATTTTGTCTGCCTCCTTAGTATGTCCGAGTTCCACTGCTGCGAGCAGAGCATAGGCGGTGGTCTCTACTGTGATGGCGTCTGCACGGACTTGATTCCGTTGGGTTGTTGTCCACAGATAACAGCCATTGTCATCTGGTAATTAGAAATAGACAACAAGTAAATACACATTGTGGTTTTTCTTAGGGTTGGCTGATAGCTAATATGAGATAATATAAATGTATCAACTGAAAATCACACTACCCCTTACTGTTAACAACAAAAAGTAGCTTTAATATATAGTCTATTAGGATTTGTTGCAAATTAATTAGAAGCCCTTCTATTATTTTATTATATTTTCTAAACAACAGTTTCTCAATTGGTTATACTCAAATGGCTAAATAGTTATTTGATGATAAATAACAATTTATGTATTTTATCTATATCGCCCAAACACATTCACTTTGATTGGACATGCCTTGAGTAGCCATTGTTTTGAGTCTTGTCCAGGCAGATGAATGATCTGTTCCCTGTGGAAGGCAGACTGCGAGGCAGTAGACTGTGATGGCAACAGCCAATGGATGCTGAAGCTCCTCCAGGTGCAACAGGAGATAGTTTGTTGATCTGGTAATGCTTGCTTCCTGGTAGAAAATAGCATATGGGCAGTAAATGTTATTTTGCATCTAGGTTTACCTTATTTTAGATGTTTAGCATGCTAAACTTTGCTAATTTGCACATAATACAACTGAGGCTGCTTTGTAAGAGGGAAAATCATTGTCATTGGAAGGTACCAATTGGATCGTGCCGTGCTTGATACAGCCATGCACTCAAAAGTAACGAGATCACCAAGGTTATTACAAAGACTTCATGATCATTCCCTCCACAACCACAAATGTTAACCTGATAGTGGCTCTAAAGCCAAAGCCAGATATTGTGAATTACTAGCATGCATATACGACCCATTAATGTCTGTACAGTTGTGCTTCAGGAGAATTCAAGGGATCAACAAACTCATCAGACCACGTCCTCTGGCAAAATGTATGTCTTTACAAAATTGCATGGTAATCTATTAGATACCAACATGGATATAATTGTATCCGGTGCAATGTGGGGGACTGTGATCTCAGGAGGCAAAAAACGTTGCAAGCTTTCCAAAAAGTGGTCATCCAGGGAGACCCATGTTTTATTCTCTTACCGCATTACTTTTCAAGTCAGTGTTCAGGAATTGAAGGGACCGGTTCAGGGCAAGATTTATGAATGCCGTCATGGCTGCGTGTTGGTCTGGTCCATTCTGCTTTGCACAAACACAGACATTACCGCATTCAAATCAACGCTAAGTGTGTTGACACTAATATTGTACGTGCATGCTCTAACATGAATGTAGAGGTTACCAGAACTCCTCTGTGTAGCACTGGATTTGGGTCACGGAATGACCCATCAGTGTTCTGGGCTGTGAGCAAGTAATTGACTACGTTTTTGATCTTTTCATCAGGTGCGATCGTAGTCTTTCGGCCCTTCTCTCCAAAAGCCACTGACTGACGCTCCGCCATCAACGATAGCACTTTCAGTATGAGTGCAGTCAACCTGAGGACAGCAGAACAATAATGGAAAATAGATAATTTATTATTTGAGGTCATTTGAAAGGGGGAAAAATGATTTCCGGTGAGAAACAAAATCTTTACACCATGATGAAACAGATACTCACCAATTACTAGCTGGCGTTGAAAACCATGATCCATAAGAACTATTGGGTTTCTCCTTTGGAAATATCCTTATAAAGCCTGACAAAGAAAGTGTTTGCTTTGTAAAAAACAAAGAAAACCCTCGAAGGTTGTTTGTTAGTGGCCTGTAGGGGACGAAAAAGCTCATAACATCCCACAAAACCAACGTGAAACAAGAAAACGATAAACAGAGCCAAGTGTCACTTGGGAACGATGCATACGCCTCCAACCACCTCCATTCCTTTGTCTATTTCTGTTGAGAATTTTTTGTAACCACTGACATGAATCCTCAAATGTGAAAGACGCAAATGACCACTTCCTACCTGTCTCGATTTTATCAAGGGCATCATCTCTGGTACCAGGAGGCAGGTCTTCCCACTGGTCACTCATGTCGAGGTAGCGCACGGCTGACAATGTTGGGGTGAGTCTTAACGTTGTCTGTTGTAAACATCCTGTAGGCAATTGGATCAGACTGAAAACCTTCTCAGGCGAAAGAAGGTTCCTCACAAGTGGACTGCTGAATCCATCCGCTGTCAGAACATTGAAAGGGTCAGAAACATTTACAAAGCTCTCGTGTGTCGTATGAATCGTATGTCTCTGTCTAACAGCACACACCTTCCGCTGAAATGAAAATGTTGGAGGTGGAGTCTGGGACTGTTTCATCTGGTAACATTCCGTCAATTTGGAATGATTTTGTGCTCTTCCCTATTAGGATAGAGATAAACAATTTAAGTGAATGTAAAATGTGAAGAATAACAATAACAAATGCCAAGCAGGTATAAATATTAATATCACTATAAATACTGAAACAACTCACCGTCTAATTTAAACACTTGGGTTTCTTGTATTCTCTTTTCCAGTCCTTCTGTCTAAAACCAAATAGAGAGCGGTTCATTGTGTGTCTACTGCCTTACACAAATAAAAAAAGGAATCTTCTTGAAGTTAATATCAACATGAATAATATTAATGTATACTCATTAGTTTAGATTTCAATGCATACTCATAATCCATTTAGACCCAAGGCCTTTAACACATACGCACACACAAATTAAATGGAAGACAAATAATATCTTTGTCACTCACCATCACGCTCAAAGTCTTTTCAATTGCATCAATTCCAAACTCTTTCTCCATGTCATAGAGACGTATTTTGATGGGTATTGAGCCGGTTACCATGGGAACAGCGGAGAAGGACACTAACTGTGACGACTCTGGCTCCACAGTAATGTTAACAAAAGCCACGGCGGTGGCTGAGCCGGGGGAGCAAAGGCCTTCAGTTTGTTCCATATGAACTGCCACCTATATGATGCATGTGTGTAAAGAGTATTAGGACTAAAATGTGTACAATAGGTGGTTTCTGTGTCATGGGTAATTATGGGGTTTCTACCTGCAGTTGGTCCTGGCCATAGTTGTAGATAACAGGCGAAATGGATATTTGCTCATATCTCTTCACTGAGTAAGGAAGTTGCAGGGAGACAAATGCCGCCTTGAACGATCTGACCTCCAACGGCTTAACTACACAGAAACCTGAATAAAACATAGACTAAGTTCATTCCAAATATTAATGAGAACCCCCCCCCCAAATATCCAAAAGCAATTGTGGAGTGGTGTGTGGTTAGTACCAGTGGCTGCAGACAAAGTGACAACCTGAATCTCCCATGTGGTGATTGAGTCAGGCAGAGTCAAAGACATCCTACAGGGTTTCAATTCACATCACAATAATTCAATGTAAAACGCATCTGACGAATGGTTTTGTTTCTACCTCTAGTCCATACTGTAGACTAATGGTAATGCATTTAATTAGATTCATTTATACTGAAAATTTGAAAATGCTGAATGCTCACATTGACAATATTAGAAGCAACAGTAACAGCAACCAGTCCAAAGGATAAAAACAACAAAACTATGAAGTGGCATAAAAGAAAAGAAAACATAACATAAGACCTCCCAACCTCTTACCGTCCTTTCCCATTTATATCAGATGTTGTGAATCCAAAGCTCGGGGGGAAATATCGTCGAATGTATTGAGCACCAGTGTCCCAGAAGAACTGCTCAATGTCTGCTACTTCCGCAGCTAAAAAGGGGAAAAAATGAGACACTCTGTGATAAACACGGCACATATTTAGATGTTAACTTAGCAGGTGTGTAAAGTGTTTGGTGTCCACATGACAATTTTATCTCACTCCTGCCAAGTCCTTTCTCGGCGTCGTCTCGAATCTTTTTTTGTCTCAGTCGCTGTCCTTCAAGGCAGCATTTTAAAAAGGTGTCTGCACAAGCAGGATTATTCTTCACCATAGAGACTCTCTTCACTCTTTCCTGACATGTTCGTCTCATAGGGATGAGAGAAAACCCGCGAACACAACATTCTTGCATCTGTTCATCGGAAAAATTTGATTCTGAAAGTGACATAAAAGAAAAATAAATATTCAGTGTAGAGCATATTCCTTGCAGGAGTGTCTTCAATTAGCTCAGAGGAGGAGAATATTATCTTACTTATGGTCATCATTTCTTGTTGAAGGTCCACTGCGCGCTTTTGTCGTGCATTTTGTGAACCGCAGTCAGATCCTGGAAAAGCATTAGCATTCAAATTCAGGACAGGACGACAAAGTAGAGAGCCGCTACATTGTAAACTCTGCACTTCACTCTTTCTCAATATTCTCTACCACCATCAATAGTAGTATATACTTTTGATCATAGTTTGTTTTGGATAAAACTGAAACCATCTGCATGGCAAAACATGTAAAAGTATGTGGGCGTAAAAGCAGGTGTGTTCATTTTATGTACTGTAAAGTTAACACCATCTTAATGGAATCTAGTCTAACATGTTGTATAACATAATTCAAACTACATCCATAATGCATTTTCAAGGAGTTAGGGGGGGAAAAAAATGTGTTTCTATTGTACTTTTCCACATTGACTGCGACTGAGATACAGAAGACAGGCCAGCATTTGTTAGTACAGCTGCAGGATCAGATCCTCCGCTGTACGAGCACCCGAGGTCATATGACTGCATGGAGGAAAACACCTGAAAAGTAGGAAGAAGATCTTGAATTTACTGTATCAAAATGTGTGGGTTGAATTAAATAACCTCAGTGTCTAGTAAGAGAGAGAGAGTACGTATGTTACCTGTTTGCCTGTGAGTTTATTATCGGCATTCAGAGCGTAGATTGCCTTATCCACAGCCAATAAAGCCACTGTGGCTCTCTGACCATATAAATCAAATTCTATCGCAGCTTTTTTCCCCGGTTCGAACAGACCTTGTGCCTCCACCTGAATATACACATGTAATCAGATGAGGTTCAATGGTTGAAATTTAACAAACATATTTACTGTTGTCAAAGAATGACAATGATATTGACGAAATACCAAAACGAAGCAGTGTTTGCTGACTTACAACTCATTTTTTTGTCAACCAACCAAACTGTACCTAATCTAATACACAGTAGAGAGAAGTCAGTCTGCTATCAAATCTGTTGTGTTCACTCACCTTGACTTTCATCTCACACTCATCGCTGACATCTACCCACACAGAGTCTGCAATGATGTCACCGCGCTCGTTGTAGTAGTAGCCAATCAGACGGAAGGATGGCACCATATCAGATGTTATTTGCAGGTGGTCTTTCACTGAAGTGCCCAATCGGAGAGAGCCATGTTTTATTAGGATCCCGCGACTTAAGACCTACAACATAGTCAATTAAAAACGATTCAGATTACTTACATTCCAATAAAAATGGACCAAAGTATATTCACAAATTTATGTCTTACCATGAAGTATATAAACCCAACGTTTGGGCTGTTGATGGTGTTGTAAGTTACTGTCATTGACTCGCCCACAGAGTACATCCTGTTGGTAAAACTCAGGTAAAGGTAGCTATTAGTCGGAGATGAAGCGCGCCGAAGCACTTTTGTTTGCGTCTGGCCGTCTGCCGACACCTAGTGAAGTCAGGGTGTTAGAGACCGGTTAAACGGAAACAGGTTTATTCTTTTGCTAATACATCTTGTTAGTTGTTTAGGGATACTGACGTCAACTGTAATCTGAGCACCAGAGGGAATATTAAAGACAGGAAACACTGCCCCCTCCCCGTCGGTTTTGCCTTCCCAAGATGTCTCTGTAGAGGTGGGAACATCAATCTTTACTCCCACACCAGCTGCTGGGGACCCGTCGGGGAGACTCACGACCAGCTAGAGCGACGACAACAAAATATATGTCACTCACAAAATCCTCACAGTCATGTACATAGCTGTGTAGTTAGTTTCATCCATACCACCACATCTAGTGGGTATCCGGGGAGGAAATATGAGCGAGTTCGAGAGAGATCCAAGGTGTATTTATGGGAGATGATAGGAAGGTTTACTTCCGCCTCTTGCGTTTCACCACCTGGATCACAAAATGCAGATGTAAGGAAAATAAACATCCCCAGTTTCCTCCTCTTCTTTTTCTCTCTTCTTATACGCTCTCAAATACCAGATGGTACGTCTCCGGGTGTTTTCTGCTTTGTGATCAATTATCATTAACATTCCAAGGACATTTCATCATTGCATTTTGTTATCATTCTTATCATGAATAGTAGTTGTACTAGCAGTAGCAATAATATAATTGTTGTTAGAATTTTTATTACAACAATCAAATACTGAGTTCACTTCACTGTGCTGCTCACTGCTAAACACCAAACTCTTTAAACATATAATACATTCTCTCTTTAAAACATGTGGTTGCCATTTTAAACTATGGTTTAGTGTGACAGAGAATCCTTTACTTTGTATATTGGTTACAAATACTCTCAAGTATAGTTGTCCTCCACTTCGCTGTAGCTCAGAGAAGGATTTGTTCTGCTGTTTTTCGAGGTGAGCATTTAGGTTTGCTATCTGAACAGATGCTGCTTCGGCGCCACCGTTGATCTGCAAAAAAGGACGGAAATTGTTGATGGTTGAGTACTTTGACAGCTGCGAAAAGTTGCCGGATGATCTTATCACAAATATAGAGATAAAATATTGTATAGAGATCTGTTTCCTCACCCTCCCAGTTAGCTCCAACCCCCTGATAAACACAGGCTTCGTTTTTTGGCCGTGGGTTTTATCTCTTTCTATCACTCCAAATTGGCAGTGGTAAGCCCCTTTTGCTTGCTCGCCATGCGAATACCTAGAGAAAGTTAAGACAAGAAGAGAGTCTGAAAATGTAATTAACATTAATGGTAAACCAGCAGCCTAAAGATTATAACATAACACATGGAAGCCTGTGACGCTTTGCATGGTTTTCTTTTGTGCATATGATGGTGTCAAATGGGTTCCTGGCAAAGTTATGAATTGGAGGGATTTAAAACTGTAATTTGGCTGAAAATTGTCAATATGGCAACTGGTGAGGCGTAGGGAAAGGCCATGTTTTGCAACTAATATTATTTTTGGAGTTCTTTAGGCACATCAAGCAGCCAAAACTCAATACTGATTTCACAAGACAACTTGGTCGTAAAGTAGGTTTAGTAGGAAATTAATCAAAACTTACTTTGCCGATATGGAGAAGTTGAGCTGTTCTGTCTTCAACAAAATAAACCTCTGCTCCATTTCAATGTTCACCTCAAAACTTGGTAAAACTGTAAAAAAGGAAAGGTGCATGGTTTTATCTGTATTCACTCAAAACAAGACATTTTTTAGAATTAAATTAACATAGTTTACCAAATTTTTGGACTTTGAACTCTCGGGAAGCAGCATATGCATCATCAACATAGTGTGCTGTAATCTTCCATGTGCCCAATCTTTGTCAACAAAACATATGTGAGTTATTCCAGCATGCCAAAGTTGAGTTTGCTTTTTTGTAAGAAGTAGTTTTCTAAATCTGTGTTGACATACTTTGATACATCAGGTAGCGGAAATGATCCTTGGAGTATTCCTCTATCTGCAATCTTTTGGCTTTTGATGACTCTATTTCCAGCAGAATTCTGTAATTAAATGAAAAAAGCATTAATCCTGAAATTAAACCCTGAATATCATTCCTATGTAGCCGCAAATCACTCACATATACTTTTATGTGGAACACCTCATCATGAGGCCTCAATGTGTGGTCAAGAGTGAATATCCTGTATCGCACTAGAAGGTAAATAATCAACATAAGATCATTATTCAGCATTCTTTCCCATTGCTTTTGTTTCTTTAGATTTGTTGACTTTCCTCTTACCATTCTGTGCCGGGGTATAGATTGGCTGATCAGTCTGAATGAAGATGTAGCCCCTTCGTTTTGATACCATAACTCTTGTTACCTTCCTAATCCTACCGAAGGAGGGGCTCTCTGCCACCAGCAGAAGGTAGCTGAGGCCAAAACGTTCAGACAATGTTGAGATTAGATTCCTTTCTATCTGTAAAGATGCACATTAGAAGTCTGGGTCAATGACATCTTGGTCCCTTCTAGAATTTCTGTTTATGGATGATTTGGGGGGTGGAGGGGTCATACCATTAGCTCAACTGTTTTAATCTGTCCTTCCGTTGTGGTTCCATCGGTTTTCTTCTCAGACACAAGAGTACCGGTAGCCTCGTGCTCCAGGTAGAGAGTGACAGGATTATTAAGATAAGAGTTTCCCATCTGGACAAACACTTTCTCATTAACACCCACGTGAAAAACATGGGGGGCTGATATGAAGAATCTGCACAAAAAGGGGAAACATAATAGTTACTGTTTCCTTCATTGGTATATTTTGCATTCATGGACCTCGATGCACATACAAAGGAACCTCTACAATGCTGCATATTTCATTTGATCTACCACATTATAACCAAATGATAATAATGCAGCATCATGCTAAAAACACATAACCCATTTATAATGTAAGGATATAAAATATTGTAGCTATTTTGATATTCACCTCCCCGCCGAACACTCCACAGTCGAGATCAGGAACAAAAAGCAAAAGACGTAGCGCCCCATCGTGCAGCTTCTATTCCTTTGCCTGCTCTGACGGAGACGTTGGGTTAACTGTGGTTTTGTTATTCATCCACCCCTTTATTTCCCAATCATTGAATCTCCCAATGCCCTCCCTGTTTTTGCCTTGTTTTTTCCACAGATGGAAACAAGTATCCGATTTATGGTTCATGTATCACATGTTAAGCAGCAATACATTAAATGAGAGAATCATCATGCTGTCAGATAGATCATGTAAACTGATGTGTGCAGATGTGTGTTGTACTTCTTTGTTCATGTGTTGGCACATCTATACACAAAACAAGATAATATAAGATAATCCTTTATGTGTATATATATCTACATAAAATAGATCAAATAATAGACTGACCGATCCTTTTCAGACAATAACATGTTTGATAAAAGTCAGCTTGAATTCCTGCTTGACTTGCAACAGGGAGTGTTTGTTTCTGTGTCTCAATGTGTACCCATTCCCTTATTGGATGATGCAGTCAGCCAGATTTCCCCGAAGTCATGTGACTTATAAGAAATCTACTTTTGGGGTTTCAGTGGAGGAAGCGTTGTTAACTGGTTCAGGGGATTTGAAAAGTAGAGCTGGAGCATATCTGTGAACTCCCTCACAACAACTTCTTCAGTTAAGTGAAAGTGATTTTTACAATGTGTAATTCCCTCATTGGTTAGTGCAGCCACACAGTTTATCGTATCATAAGTTACATAAGCCTCTTATGTAACAAATACATTTCCTGTATATGTAACGTTATAATGCACATGTGTGTGTTGTTCAATGAATTGATGAATGTGTTCTGATCGGGTAAAAGGTTTTATGACTACGACACTACGACTATTACCAAGTTACAAATACAAATACATGCAGAGACAAGGTCAGACACTTTATTTTTACTCCATATGACCCACTTAATGTGGATGCAATTAACAGTCAAAAACAAATCTTTTCTTTCAAGTGTAGCAGGTTTGTATTACACAACTCAGGATTAAACACAGTAATTGCACAGAGAAACACATTTGTTTGTAAATGTTAAGACCATCAAAGATTTCTCTCAAAATGTGTGTATGAATTTAGGTTCCAGAGGTGCTGATCCCACACTCCCAAAAATCTTTTTTCTTCTTCTAGCCATCACTTCTGATAGCGGATGCAGCATGTCGATTTTAACTTATAATTTTGTCAATATGCAACAAAAATACATTTTTCAACTAACTTCATGTTATTCATTAAACATTTTTTGAAATGCATTTTTAGAATATCGTGTGTTTCAGATAAAATAATACATACCTGTATCATCAACACGAAGCTAGTTTAAAAAACGTACACTACATTCACTTATATTCATGCTAACACATTTAGGTTTTAAACAATGACACGTAGTTGTAGTCATAAATACGTGTCTATGTCACGGCCTTGTATATAACATTTGGCACATGAAAGAAACATATCTGTCAGCCTCTGATTCACTTCACCAACTACAGGCCATATCATCTCTTTGTGATTAATAATCACATGTACAGATACATTGTTATGTTTTATATTCATATGTCCAGAAACCTAGATGAATAGCTGATGTTTGGTTTACCTGTTTGCACAAGGTTTTATAAAATTCACACACCTAAAACTAAAAATATTCAGAAAATTAAAAAAATTGTAGTCTACCAGCTTATTTCTAGCGGGAAATTGTGGATTTGAAAAAGGACAGGGTTTGGAAATCATAATCAAAAGAAATGTGAATCCCGTGAATTCAATTGAATAGATTTTTCATTGAGAAGACTAACATTTCGATCCTTTTCTGTTCATGTTCCTTACAGATCTCATTATCAGTAAACTTCAATGAATAGTTTGAAATCCAGTGTGAGCCTTTCAAAGTACATTTTCTAATAATTCTAACAATTCAAATGCAGTCCTTTCCACGTGATATGTAATAATTGCAATGTTTGCTGTGTTATCACAGTAAGAACAAGAGGAAGTGAATGAGAGTCGGGGGCATGATGTCCATCCACAACTCCTGGATATAGAGAAGTAACACAAGAATTGCGTTTGGACAATCAACACCAGAATCCCTGTCAAACTTGGGATGGAAAGCTACATAGGCCTGGAAACAATTCCTGCAAAGGACGGTTATTTTCATTCAAAAAAATCATTCATAAAAACATGCAATAATACATATTAGCAAAGTGTACAGAGATCCTTTAGGGAGTGAATCACTAAATGCTTTCGTAAAATCGACATATGGTATATCAGACCTCCTACTTTATTTCATACATAAAGACAGTGAAGCATGTCTGAGTTAACTTACCAACCAACGGAAAGAGGTAAAATATTTTTATACTTACGTCATGCGCCATCAATAATATGATGACAATAGTCCCAGAGAAGCAGCTACTAATGATGTGTTCCTACGCATATGAAATATCAAACTTCTGCTAATTCTAACTTCTTTCAAATATTGTTAAGTGAACTCGGCATCCGTCCTCACCCGCTGCTTGTTCAGTTTGCCTGCCCATGTCTCCCTCTCTATCTCCTTCCTTCTATCCATCTCATTTCATGCAGGAGTGGGGTTACCTAAGAGACCAGGCCTCAATAGAGAAAATCTCTTTTCTACAATTAACTGTGAAAGTGACAGAAGGAAAGGAAGGGAGGGATCTATGGAGGGGGGGGGGGGGGGCACACTGGGAGAAGAAAATGAGAGAGGAAATCATACAACTGTGCATTGCAGGTGGAGAAAACTAAAGTTAAAAACTAGAATTTGTAATCATTTTTTTATTTGCCCATCAGAAATTCCAGAGTAGATAACTTTAAGGGTAGCTGTATACTTTTTTCATTTTTGGACCCTCAGACTTTGATTTAAAAGCCTACATATACTCTGCATCATATTTAGTGAGACTGTATACCATTTAGGATAAACCGACATGTGCATTTAATGATATATATTATATACTATATTGTTAGGAATTTTTAACACACTCTTAATAAAATTGTATATTTCAGTTTCGCAGCGCCTCATACTTGCATTGGGATTAAACGTAATTAGGTTGCATTACACTGATCCCAGTGAACGTGAATTATCACCATAATCTCTAAAAATGCAGAGGGAGTGACCAATGGGTTTCCATGGTGAGATGTACACAAAAGGGTGTGGCGTGGGAATGTCCTCGGGGGTCAGGAGTGAGGGTTAACGGGTCAGAGGCCAGAGCCAGCTGGACAGCACACAAGAGGAGATGAGGGTGAGAAAAGGAGGTGAGGGAGTAGTCCAGAGACTGACTGACTGACTGGACCCAATGGGACATTAACATTGAACTGATGGAAGGCTCACTGACCAAGGCCTATTCAGAGAGAAACTAAGCTATGACACACTCGTGTGTAATGGTCCGTGGTAATTGACAAGTGACAAGACCCTCATTGTGGATGCAAAAGCAGTTATCAAAACGTAGCTGTGGATTAAAGATATGCAAACTAGAACTCGGTGGTGATATGGGGTTACTCGATTGAATGATAAAAACATACTCACACACTAATGCAATTTTAGGTAGTGCTATACTTTTAACTGTATAACATTAAACGGGTTGTCACATCATTCCAAAAAGAGGCTTGTAGACATATTGTGAGATGAGTACGCATAATTTTATTGATTTTGAGTTTAAGGACACTTCATAATGCACCAATTATTACTCTTTGTTTAATAGTTTTTACTGACAGCAGTCAGAATAGCTCACAGTATTACGTCAGTGCATTTCCTCTTGTGTAATATTCCTCACGCAGTTTGTTATTTTCACACCCCAAGGAGCACAGATTTCAACATGTACCAACTGAAAGTGAAAGCCTATTCATATTTATCTGAAGCCAATAATAAAAAGTTACTGTTTTTTGAAAAGCTAAAAAAGGAATGTACCAATACCGAGGCAACCACATGTTGTTTCCCCAAAGATATTAACTGCCGATTGACAGTGATATTTTTGTGTGTTTGAGACAAAAAAAAGACAAATCAGTGAAAATGTTATATTATAATGTGATATATTTCCAGTTCCAATAGTTATAGATAATCCCTGTAACTCAAGGGTGCAGACAGGAAGGTGAGTGTCTGTGAGCTCTGTCTTCCTCGTGGCCACTAGTGAAGGTCAGGTCAGAGAGGGCAGCAGGCAGTCTGCATGGCTGCCACACTCTGGTGGTCCAAAAAAGACAATCCTGGGGCCCAACCCAGGGGGTCAACATGCAAATAGTAACCCCTGAGTGAAAGGCATAGAGCAGATCAATGTTCTCACATTACTCTTGCTGCCCATGACTGTGAATGCGCACGCCTACACACCACATGATGTTTTTGTATTTGATTAAATTCAATCGCAACAATGGTGAAGGCAGCTGTATTGTAACAAAGGTATAAGTATGGCACCATAGCTTAGTGTCAAAGTCACCATAATATCTTTGTTAAGTCCACTACCTTGATGTCAACATTACAAAATATCAAATCAAAGCTGGAAGAACATTTAAAAAAAAAAAAATTTAAAACACTTTTTTTAAAGGTGCAGCTTTATGAAAGTTGCAGCAACAACATTGTCATAGGCGTGGCTCTGGCTCTCCACACTCACCCGGTGTTTGCATAGCAGATAAAATTTAATTTTTCTGTCTCAGGTAAACCTACCCACTGCTGCCTCCCAGTGGCCTGAATGGCACCGGTAACATCACAGGCATATGTCCCTTCGGGTCCTTGTCCTGGGGCCCAATTCTGGTAACACGCAGATGTTGACTTAGTCCAGAACCAAAAGTTAAATTCACAAGTGTACCGTAGACCGATCCACACATGAGGGGATGTGGCGTTCTTTGCCGTTTCAGCCACCTTCCCCTGAATGTGTTTGGTAGTAATATGGACGAGGTCAATGTGGTGCTCCCTGCAGTAACCCATCGCTTCAATCCATGTCCTGTTTTCTTTGATTAATATCAGGTTTTCTTCATGAAAAACAGAGAGCAAAACAGAGAGATGTTCTTCAGTGGTTTTCATGGAAATGCATGCAAAACGAATTCAAGGCACATGCTAAATTGAAACATACCTGCAGGAAAACATTGACTGTTTTCAGCGGGCTTTAGAGTTGAGGAAGGTGTCGTGGTCTGGGCTGAAGTCCCCATAAGTGTTGTTAGTGTAGAGATGCTGTTTGTGGTCACTTGTGCAGTCTTATTTGGACGTTGCTGTGAAGGTGTCACAGTAGATACTTCTGTAGTTCCGTTGTTGAGCTCAGTATTTGGGTTACTTGAAACATAATTTGTGATATTTGGTGTTGTCAGTTCATTGCCAGTGGTTGCTTCTTCCGTGGTAATATTAGCAGCGGTGGATTGAGTGGTAGGTCGAAAGCGATTAGTTACGATGGCCTCTTGAGATGAAGAGCTTTGAAGAGTTGTCCAATTTGTTGCCATCTGCTCTGTACTTGTTGGATTTGGGGTTGTTGGAATTAATTTCCTTGCTGTAAGAGTAATGGATAAACAAACACGGTATATAGATGTAGCTCTGGTATTTATTGTGTTAGGTTACAAAACATACCGCAATATAATATGTTACGCTTCCTGGTGGCTCGACCTGGAGCGCAACATAAGGGCAACAGGTCAAGGCAAGTGAGGCGTTAGCCACACAAAATCCAATACACAAAACAAATTTATTTTTCAAACGAGCAACACAGGGATCAACAAGGACTGTCAGTGGCACCAAAGAAAAGAACATAAACAAACCCCACCCTCCCATTGACCGGTGCTTAGCACCCAAAAGTACATCTGTGAAGTGAGAGAATGGAAACAAAAGGGGGAGACAAAAACACAAACCAACAACACAAAAAAGAACACCATATCTGTAGACCTATACCCATAGAGCACTGTACGTAACATAATATTATAACATAAGGATTACTGTGCTTAAAGAATAAGTACACAATACAGTTACTTACCCCCGCTACAAACAAAAGGTTGCTTGCCGACGCAGTTCAGGTCATTCCATTGCCCTTTATCTATGAATACAGCAGCAACACAATTCTGCCCAGGAGAGTTCGTAGGCTGCCTGGGTTTCCAGTAACGGAATGATGTGTTGCTCCCATCAGACCACTTCCAGGAATCTTTGAAGAGGCCAATCCACACATTTTGTGATGCAGATACATTATACACAGCCTCATTCTCCACGGCTGAGTGTATGCTAATGAGATCATAAAACAAGCCCCTGCAATAGTCCTGAGCTTCTCTCCAAGATTTGGTCTCAGCAACAAATATGAGACCGCTGGTATCATTGCTGCCTGCAATTCCAAAGGGATGTCATGTAAAATAGACCAAAAAAACTCTGCTTGCGATATCGCCATTTCACTTACCATGACAAACAAAACTTCTTTCGATCCCGCAGTCACTTTCAATCCACTCTCCCCGGTGATCCATTGCTGCACACGCATTGACATTCTTCATTTCTTGTCCTACCTTCCAGTTTAAAAAATCCAGTTTTTGAGCAGGGCGGGACCAATGCCATACCCACGCATCTCCTGTCTCCAGTCCAATCCAGGCTCTGGCAATGCTACTTGGTACTAATTTGGTTAAATCATCCATATCAGTTGAGTTGTGAATTGTCGCTAAATCTGTGTACATCTCTCTACAATAGGTCTTTGCTTCAAAGTAGTTATTTCTCATGCTAATTAGGTGGAAATCGAAAGATCCCATAGAAAGGGAGAGAAACCCTGTGAAATGACAGGTATCGTGTTACAGGAGACAGGAATCAGGAAACATTTATTGCCATAATATGTCAGACATACAAGGAATTTGTTGGTGCGTAACAGTAGACACTACGACAATAGTTGTACAACAGTTTGAATACCATCAATAATAACAAAAGCATGTTGTCCACACAAATAGCAAACCCCATTCATGCATTTTTAGTTCCCATTTACAAATATGATACGACATACGTATATACGGTTCAAACCTGAGATGAAAATCAGCGATTGAGTCTTGTTTCTCATGGTCCATCTGTTTCCAGTCATGATCATGACAATCCACAAAGCAAAAAGCTAGTTTCAACTTACTGGCAAGTTGCTATAGCAGCTTTACACAGACTTTTTTTTAGTAAGAATGCCACTTGGCCTGTTAAAAAAAAAAGCTTCAGTAGCTACAGACAAAGCAGTTCTTCAACATTCTTTCTCTCTTGCACATGTTGCAAGGCACGTGACTTATTGAGATGAAATTATATGAAATATGTCATTTAAAAATAATGAGAGATCCTATCTCACTTACCAGATCAAAGGTTGTCGCTGTTGTAGCTGCGTACTTCAAACTGAATTAAAATCACTAATCAGGTCAGGTTATTTAAAAATGACCATCAATTAACCCGACACAAATAATTTAAAATATTTCCATTGATCTCTGAATATTAATCAAGTGGTTGGTGGTTCAAGTGTCCATGATGACCACTGACAAAAACACCCATCAATGTGTATGTTCATGTTTTGGAATATTTAAGGAATACAAAAGTATTTAAAGAAATCGAGAAAATAAAACTGTATTTTGATATTACGGTCTGTTTGATCCTGATGTTAACTTATCCGACTATACGCTATAATGGCAAAAAAAAAATGTTTAAACAATTTAACGATGTGTAAATGCAAAAAATAGATGCTGCTAAATATACATTCAATGACACGTAAAGGGGGTTAAAAAGTGTTGCAACTAAATGAGAAAAACAGCTACAAATACACCTCGAAACAAGGAAGTTCAAATATATGGCAAACGAAAGGAAGAACACTGTGTTAAGTACTAGTGATGGTGAAAAAGAAGAAGTTGTGCAATACTGTATTTTCCCCTCCTCTGAAAGGAAAACGCATTCCTTCTTCTAGGTGTGGCTGTCCAAGAGTATTTTCTCTTTCTCTCTTAAGTCTGGTTTAAAAACAGATACCTGGGAGTTGTTACACGTAAGAATCTTGCTTGTGCAAATTTGCTTCACATGTTATTTACCATGACATCTTCCCGAATGATGTTTGATGGCTTTTTTAAATAGGTTTTGTATTTTCGAGGGGCATTTACTTAATTTCCGAAAATATACATATAAGAAAAGTTGGAAAACAATACATTTATTTTTATTTTTTTAATAATTTACAAGTACTATTTCCTAATGTAAAAATGACCGTGGCCACATAACAAATGTTCAGGAGCGTGTGCAGCAGCGGTGTCACGTGACAGCGCTGCTGTGGGTGGTCCCATGAGACATTTCGGCTCAAGGGAAACTGGCACTGAGCCACCATGGCCTGTAAACAACAACAGCGTCAAGTTGAAGTAAACTGGATCTAAGTGTCGACCCTGCTGTCTCCTGCTGCCATTACAACGAGCGTAGCCAGGTTGGCTTCCACTATGCGTCGAAGGTGTGTCTGGTAAGTGATTATAACCTTCAAACGACCATGAGCCGTTTAGTCATCAACGGCTTCTTCAGACGATCAACCTGAATCCAGCATTGCGCTAATGTTAGCCATATTAGCCGTAATTGCAGCTAACAAGCTAACGATAAGCTTAGCTCGTGAGTACGCAGAGGAAACCCGGCGCTTTTTTCCTGCGCTTGTGTATCGGTTTTGTTCGATGGCCGTCGAGCAAACGCACCCTGCATTTCTGTAATGGCAACGCGTTGCGATTTGTATCGTAGTTTTACGAAACGCAACAGAATGCAAAAATAAGCCGCACAGACGCATGCCGAGGCTAATGCTAGCTGTCGCTAAGGGGGCTCGACCGTGTATGGTTTTGCAGCTAACGTTAGCCAGTGTCAGCAAAGGGCAAACGTAGGACCTTATTGGGTAAATGTGTTACGGTCACGCAGTCATTGTCCTAATGTATATTTATGTAGAGAATCGCGGGCTCTTGCAAATGTGTTTTGCAAGTAACATTAACTGAAATAATATTGTTCTTCGCGGAGTAACGCCGACGTCAACGTTGCTGCGTATGGTTAGCAACGTTCAAACGTGTAACGTTATTGCGATGCCACCAGGGCTAGCTAACGTTAACAAACACCGACCGTAATCAATTGTTGACGTAGTTAATTATGTGTGTTCGTTTTGCACGAGGATTCCTACACCAAACGTTGCTAAATTGCGACGTGTTTTCCGCAAGAGCACCAATTTGAGCGAAGCAAATCCCGTAAAGCGGTTCGGATGTCGGGGTTCCTGTAAGCTAGCGTTAGCTTTGAAGTGGTGCGGATACGAGCCTGCTCGATAAGCCCATCGCCGTCTGTGTCATTCAATACGCGTCACTTTTGTTTTAGGGTCTTCGTTAAGTAACGTTCGATGTCTTGGCTGAGATTAATTGGTTGAAAACCGTGATAGCTAATGTCCGTGTTACCTGAAACTGTGTCTACGGCTCCTGATTATTTACTCGGTTAATGTGAATCAATTGGTCTATAAAATGTCAAAAAACAGCGCAAAATGCCATTTTAAATGTCTAATCGTGGTAGGTGCTTTATCCGACATACAGTTGAAAAGATATTTTTAATGATTCAGAAAACATCCTCCCCTTCACCAGAGACTGATGGGTAACAACATAGTTGTAGATGTACGTAACACTCATTCATAGACATCTCCGTTGCGTGTTTTGAGCGCCACTTCCAAGTACAACCAGTTACTACGAAGCCGGAGGTTATTTGCAAGTTTGATCGGAGAAATGAATGAATAATCTCCCCCTTTGTGTTGCCCCTCAGATTGATATCCTTCAGACGGGGCGTCCTCCTCTCCACTGGGTAGCTTACTAGCCATGTCCTCACAGCAACCAGACAGTTCAGCCTCCAACAGCCCCACCAACATCTTGGGTTCTCCCTTCTCCGTCATCAGTCCTTCACTCAACTCCCCGGTGGTCTCCCCCTCGCTCGGATTCGGACCCATCAGCAACAGTCAGGTAACCTGACGGTCTGTTGATCATGTTATGATAGACTTCTGTGTTGTATTGATCTGCTCTAGTTGGTAGGGTACTCCAGTGTTCTGCAAAATTGGATAATGTGAAAGGCAGCATTGTAATGTTGTATGACAATACAATTAACCAAAGGCTTTTTTGGGGGTTGCTTTGTGGGTACAGATCTCTTCTTCAGCACCTACATCAGGGATGCACTCAATCAGCAGCTCTGAAGATATCAAGCCTCCTTTTGGCCTGAGGCCTATGCCAGCTCACAGTCCTGGAATAATGTTGTCTCAGAAACGCATGTGTGTCATCTGTGGAGACCGCTCTTCTGGTGAGTGAGTGCGCCAAGAGCAGGATTATCAGTACTAAACGACCAGCTGTACAAAGTTTTATTTAACTTTAAGTGTAAAGAATACCATATCTTCTTTCCTTAATATTCCAACTAAATGGATTTCACTCACTGTTGCTAATACGTATAAGTATAACATGTTTATCAAACTCTTTCTTACTATTTGGTTTGGTTTGATTTTTATTTATTTTCCCCTACAGCGTTTAACTTCCTTTTTTATTTTTATTTCTGTAATTTACAGGCAAGCACTACGGAGTGTACAGCTGTGAGGGTTGCAAAGGTTTCTTCAAACGAACTGTGCGCAAAGACCTTAGCTATACCTGCAGAGATAACAAAGAGTGCCTGGTCGACAAACGCCAGCGCAATCGCTGCCAGTACTGCCGCTACCAGAAGTGCCTGGCCATGGGCATGAAGAGGGAAGGTATGCAAGCAGCAGGGTTGCATTAGAGGTTGAAGTTCAATGTGAGAGCCTGTTTGACTTTTAAAGGTCTAGGAACACGTTTTGTCGCGAGTTGTCATACATGCAACTGTACAAAGGTGACATACATTGGAGTTTTCAGCAACATAGAGTTAGCATGCATTTTTAGAACGATTTAAACAAGTGGACAATTGGTCAATTGGATTTCTTAGAATAACTAGTTATGCTAAAGGAAGCCCACTTAAATTGATTAGGTTATATTGGATTACTACTATTTCTGGCGTAGGTGAGGGTGGATGCTAGATTAGATAAGATAAAGAGTAGAGACGAGTGTATTGGGGCTGGTTTATATAACTAACCCCTCTCCATCTCTTCTCTTCATTTTCTCCTATTCTACCCTTTCTCCATCTTTCAATAGTGATCAAACATGTAAAGTGGATAAAAGAAGATGGAAAAGATGAGGGATGGATGAGTATGACATGAAATCTTAAAGATACTGTATTATTATGTTACTTATAGAATTAGTCTGTTGTATTAGACATGCAAAATTGTCGACTGGCAGATTTATGTGTGAAAAGCTACCCAGAAATGATGGAGAGCAAGGATTTCTGTGGCTTAGTGCCTTGTGAGGATTGCTCTGTAAAATACAGCAGTAATTCTGCTGTGTAACTACATTTTAAATGTGATGGGAACGGATGTGTGATTGGCAGCACACGATTTAATGGATCGTCAGATAAGGCCTTCACTGGCCATGAGGCCAGTTTAAAGTATCTTATGTACACAATACACGTGTTACCTCTCCACTAGGTCTGTACAGCTCCAGATTGAGCCACGTAAAGTTTGTACTCCGTTAAATCACCATGTCAGTTTGTAATGGCTGCACTGTGGTCAGCGTCTGCTCTGCTACTGAGATGGGTAGATTCCAAAGAGATGACAGTTCTGTGGGTTTTTCCTGATCTGATTGAGTCAGAATATGTACGATTAGCTTCTGTCCTTCCGCCTCACTGAGATCACAGTCTCCATTTGGGTTGCTGATTAGACAATATAGAATCTTTTTTTTTTTTCCTTCTTTATTTAATTTCTTTTTGCTGCCGTTAAGTTTTTAACCTTCTTTGCTAGTGTCTGTTGTCGTCATTAAGCTTTGTGCTGTTAAGACAGTAATACTGCCATTTTCATGTGCGGTGGGAAAAACAATAGGTTTTTAGATGCATTGGGATTCTGTCTTTATAACATAAAATTAATGTATTTGGAAAGCATGTTGATGACAACTTCAAACTGCTATACTTGATAATGAAAGTAAATTCATCTGATGGATATTCATTGTTATTGTCAGTGTGGTAATGAAAAATGTTTACAGAAACATCTCGTCAGTCTTTAACTCCCGGAATTAGAATTAAATGTTGAGAAATGTACCAAAGATTGCCCACACTTTTGATTGACAGCAATCCACTGACTTCAATGCTTTCACAATCTATTTTCACCCTCAGATTAGTTTTTTTGAGTAAGACTTTCTCAATGCAGCAAAACATTTTTTGCATATTATTCCTCTTTAACCCATAAATTCACTACTTCATCACTTTTTTCATTCTTCTGTATTTATCATCATCTCATTCCTTGTACCCCCCCTCTCCTCCTTCCCCACCACCGTTCCCTGTGTTTTGTCTGACGTAGCGGTCCAGGAGGAGCGCCAGAGGAACCGAGAGCGCGAAGGAGAGCTGGAGTTCAGCGTCGGAGTAAATGAGGAGATGCCCGTCGAGAAGATTTTAGAGGCAGAAACTGCTGTGGAGCAGAAGACCGAGCTTCACTCTGATGGTGGTTCTGCAGGCAACTCTGTGAGTGGTTACATCACGGCGATCAATGGATTTATATCAGTTTCTTTGTCATTCATCGGCATTTTACAAAGGCAAGGCAAGGTGGCAAGGTGTCTTTGGGCCTTATGACCTTTATTTGGTTTCAGCCCCATGATGCAGTTACCAACATCTGTCTGACTGCGGACAAACAGCTGTTTGCCTTGGTGGAGTGGGCGAAGAGAATCCCTCATTTCTCCGAGCTGCCCCTTGATGACCAGGTCATCCTCTTGCGTGCAGGTACAATCGAGCAACAAAAGAATGGACCATTTTCAACGGCATTATACCGTAGCGAGTTTATCAGAGGCAGGTTATCGAAAAGGCCAAAGACACCATCCTAAATAGTCTCTGCTCATTTGTGAATACAATTTCAAAGCCAAGCACAACTTGTGCAGCAACGGCAACTTGAATATTCACACTTATGAGAACTCCAAGCTATGGTAATATTGTTGCTAACCTAAATGTTGGTATTTGTTCATGGCTATTAAAAGCTGAAGACTATCTTCATTGATGCACACTTAAATATATTTGAAGATTGAAAACAGGAGTTCAGCTGTATTTCGAAACCAAACTGTACACAAAGAGAGAGAACCTTAGTGCAGAGACCACTGCAGGCGTTTAACTGCACGTGCATAGACTTCTCCTTTCAAACCGCTTGTCACTGTGATTTCCCCAAGGACCTATTTGAACGGATATTATTACTTATCGGTTAATTTGCATGTCATCTGTCAGGGTGGAATGAGCTCCTCATTGCCTCGTTCTCCCACCGCTCCATTGGTTTGAAGGACGGAGTTCTCCTGGCCTCTGAGCTGCAGCGCGACAATGCACAGAGTGCAGGAGTTGGAGCCATTTTTGACAGGTGCTTCTAAAGGGATCAAAATATGCAACTAATGCCTTTTGTCTACTTGTTCACATATGTGTTGTGTCCGTGTAATAATTGGTTTTATTTAACACAGGGAGAGTGTGCAGAGTGCCGAGGTCGGCGCCATATTTGACAGGTAAGTTGATATTTTTGTGAGTTCAATGGAATTAGTGTAGTTTTTTCAATATGCCTGCTGTATTTTAAACAAAATGTGTCATTTTTAGGGTTCTTACGGAGCTCGTCAATAAAATGAGAGATATGCAAATGGACAAAACAGAGCTGGGCTGCCTCCGAGCCATCGTACTGTTCAACCCAGGTTTCTATGACTTGCTCATATCTAAAAAAAATGTACGAAATAGTATGCATTGTTAAGCCTCTCACACCTGATGAGTATCGTTTCTGTGGGGGGGGTTTCTTGCAGATGCTAAAGGGCTTTCAAACACCGGTGAGGTAGAGCTCCTCAGAGAAAAGGTCTATGCATCATTGGAGGCGTACTGCAAACAGAAATACCCAGAGCAGCAGGGAAGGTAAATGCTCAACGATCACACGCTGCACCCTGTCTTCTCTTTCACTCTACTGCATATATATATATATATATTTGACAATGTAGAAAGTCAAACTGAAGATGTTTTACTTGATGCAGGTTTGCTAAGCTCCTCCTTCGGCTGCCGGCGCTGCGATCCATCGGCTTGAAGTGCTTGGAGCATCTTTTCTTTTTCAAGCTGATCGGCGACACACCTATTGACACTTTCCTCATGGAAATGCTAGAAGCTCCCCATCAGTTGTCATAGATGGGAATGGCGTACTGTGGTTGGGTTTAGATGGCTGGAGTCTGGGAAGCTGGAGTGGGACTGGAGTGGCACTTTAAGTTCTTTGAAGATTTGTCAGTTTGTCTCACTGCTGTTCGTGCTGCACTATTGTAGTGCAGCACGGATTTGCTCTTTTTGACCAAACCCAAGCGTGGCGTGATCTACAAGCTGGTGCTATATGTTCACTTCATGAGTAACTATGGTTTAAAAATAAATAAATACAAAAAATGTATTTTTAAAAAAGGAAACCTACATATTTCCCTCACCGAAGTTATCATTTGGGTAAACTTTTTTATATAAGCTTTCTAGACAAAGTCTAATGGCAAGCCTCAGTTGTTTCTCCAACTCAACTGATCCCCAAAACCCATTTAAAAAAAAAAAGGAATGCAACCTGAATCATGTGTATGCATTGAGAAAGTAGTCTTCTTTTTTATCATTTTTATCTCAAGCCAGCTCTAAAAGAATATCATTAAACCAAACGGTCACCGTGAACTGTGTCCAACCACAGCTCCGAGTATACGTGTATCCTTTGCAGAACATTAAATCCTAGCGGTGACCCCGTGATAGACGACCAGTCAGCGGTCGGCACTGTCCGCTTCCACTTGTGGGTGTGGACTCAGGATCAGCTTTACGTGTCTGGTCATATACAGTTAGTGTTGTTTACTTCTTTTCATTTTTCAAAATCGAATCACGTTGTGGTTAACGATTAAACTGCACTGCACACTTGCTACATACGATTTCTAAAAAAAAAAAAAACCCTTTTAAAATATTGCCCAGCCTTTAAATAGTCGGGGGTCTGTATTTTGGTGCTATTTCAGTAATAATTTGACATAATTGCAGATGCACACCAAACCTAAGAAAATATGCAAAACTGAAAATCCCTTTGTTAATCTTTGTTAAACATGTAGCAATATAAAATGTAAACTGCATAACAGCTTTCTGCCTGTCAGTCATTCAGGGGTTTTACTAAGTAAATTGTGTCTGGTAGAAAGGGAATACTCCATTTTGTAATTTATCTATACAATTTAAAGGTACTGTGCAAAAGTAATTGTTCAGGGAAAATGTATATTGACAAATTTGAATTATGATCAGGATATACAAATTATATAATTTTTAATATGTGCCCTTGTTTTTAGATATCAGCTAGAATAAAGCAGAACATGTCTTGGGTTGCACTGGATTTGCTGAGACTGTTCCACCTGACTTTTATTTTCTTTTGTGCTTTTTTTTGATGCTCAATTGTATTCTCCATCCTTCCCCCCGCTTCTTTTTTAGGTAGCTGTCTTGTTTGTCGTAATGTCTGCAATTTATTAAAAGCAAACCATAATCACATTTTAGATCCATAACACCTGTTCAGTATAGGAATTTTAAACATGACCAAGCGAGGTCTGTATGACGGCCATGTGTAAACCCCAGATGCGCTATATTGGTAAGCTTGTCATCAACCTCTATACGCTCTTAAACATAAAGTGACTTGAACCATGGGTGGTGTGGGCTGAAAATAAAGACGCTTAAAGTTTTCTTTTTTTGTCTACTTTTTTTCACCTAGCCATGTTCGATACTTATGAACAACCTGTTTATGTCAATCCAAACAATTGTAAGATGTAGGAACAATAGTCAATGTTTTAATGGAGCTTTTATTGCATTTGATTCTGTCTTGGCTTTTGACAAAATTCCGCTCAATCTGAAAGCGCATCTAGTGAAAGACGCTAAAGGCTTTTCCTTCAAAGAGATCATTTTTCTGCAGATGGATTTATGTATTCATATATTTTTTCAACGTACTATACTGACTTTTTGCCGTGCTAAATCGCTTTTTAAAAAGTGTTTTGACATACTATCCTATCCTACTTTTTAATGCCTTTGAAATACAGAATTATAACTTTTCCACTTTTTTTTACATGCTATTTTTTTAAAAACCTTTTTTCAACATGCAATGCAATTCTATGACTTTAACAAACTCATCCACAGGATGTCAGATATTTGGTGTCCCTTCTTTACAGCCATGGCGAGGGGACCACACAAGAGCAAAAGATTACAACGGGACGCTTGGGATCGGACTCTGTTTACATCAGGGATGCCTGGTGCTAAAATGTAGTCACATATAGTCAATTTGTTTCCAAATTTCCCAGAGAGTTATGTTTGTAATGTGTGTTTGAGCAAATAATGCTCAAAAATGCGTTTGTTTATTGTTTGTGAAACCGTGTGTTGCATGATGACAAAATATCAACGAAATAATTTTTACAACTAATTATATTAACGTTTTTAAACGTATCCATACTGGCTTTTTAATAACTCATATGGTTTGGGCTTTTTCTTCCCCCCACATGTTACATTTGACACTTTGTTCTCTAAAACAACTCATTTCAAGATATAGTACAAAAATGTCAAAAACAGGTTTTAATGAGCCTTTTTATTGTATATGTTTTTATTTTGCTGTGGGCATTATAGACACAATCGAAGCCTTGGTTGTAATGCACTTGTGTCAAGTTGCACAGTGACGTTATGGCGCAGGCAGCTAGTGTGTGATGGGCTGATGTTAAATTAGAAGAAGAAAAATGCTGAGTGCAATGCAATCAATGGCTTCTACCGAACGCCACAGGAGTAAAATGTGAATGTCATCATACGCGTCTCACCGTGTTTCTTTAACAGTCTGTAAAGTAAAACCCTGCAGCTCTGAGAACCTGACTGAACCTCCTTTTGTATCAAGCAGAGGTGACACATCATAAAACCTTTCATGACTTGTTTCGCTTAAATTATATTTAGAATAATACTGCTTTAGACTATAGCACACTATTCTACACACGGAGCAAAAAACAAACACATCGTAAAGACATTGTCATGACATGTACAACATTTTACAGTATTCTCCCTACATTACTTTACACATCTATTCTGTCCAACAGCACAATCTGAGAAGCACAATGAGCTCTTCCCCTATACCTTCAGTTATTTTAAAGTTGCATGCTACACAAAGTCTAAGGTGCTGAATAGTTTTCAGTTAATTGTTACAGAACAAAATAATGTACTGCTGGTGTGATCTTACGCAGCTTTATTGTAATGTTGCGCTAAATTCTTGTTTCTCTCGAAGGCCATCTTTCCATCAGAGTGGGGATTTGCTATAGAATAGATTTCTACCAAAATGATGATTAGCAGAGGCAAGGCCGTTCCAAATGAATAGCACAATGAGTTCATCAACAGTTGCAAAACAGACATGATCGGAAACATAAACTGTGGGCTCAGTCTTGTTCACCACGATTTAAATATACATGTTTTAAAACAGATGACCTTCTATTTGTCCATTTTACGTCATGTAACGCAGATTTTCTCATTGATAGATGGCCGATGAATCTCCACATCCTGTGAATAACAAACTCAGATCTCCAGTGATGCCAGTTAAACTACATGTTCATTTGGCCTGCTCTGTTTTTAACTCCGACATTTGACCGAGATGATCTCGACGAGAGTGGAATGATGTATTTCTATATTCTATAGTAAGGCAACACGATACAGCCTATGTGTATTACCAAGCCTAAATTGTCATAAATACTCTAGAGAAATCTCCATAACATATTATTCAATCCAAAACATAAAAAGAAAAAAACAAACATTGCCATGGCATGTTCTAAAAACACTGGTTAAAAATAAGCCACACCTCTTGAATGATGTACATGTATGATCCTCCCGCCCCTCACAGACTGCACATCTGTAGTAACATTTTCTTGATTATATGTCCCTGAAAACATCTTAATAAATAAATGTCTCTAAAAGGCACTGTGAGATGTGCAGCTCATAGTTTCTAGAAAATATGACTACTGATCTCTAAAGATTGCTCACTTGTAACGCTGTGCCTGGCTTCCTTTAAGTGGGAGAATAGGTAGCATGAGGACGCTTGTCTACATGTGTTGATGAGCATCAGCATGTGGGTGAGTGGTAGCACCAGTCTCCCACACAAAAACTGGCCCGTGGACTGTGGTCCTTAAAATGTGTCTCTTCTTATTGTGTCGACCAACTAGACAAAGCGTATGTTCATCTACCGTAGCTTGAACGTGTCCACTTTGGACATTACAAACTGTGCAACTATCGATTTGCTGGTTAAACTCTTGGGTGTATTTTCAGATGTGGTTCAGTGGTTCATCAGTTTCAAGGATTTCAAATTCCTTTTACACCATGCTTTCACATCCAGTGCAATTGTTCCCCTTGAGCACCTTCTTCAGCAAAATGGAAAGAAACACAAAGCTACCACAGTAGTAGATAACAGAACAGCCCCCTGCACAAAGCCATGTATTCAACAGACACAAGTTCTTTCTGTTTTCCGGAGAATGCAGTGTCTGTACCACACGTCTTGGCCTTTGGATTCAACCGAGGCCACTGACACGGAAACAAATGCACTGCCAACTGTTTTGATGCCCTCCACCTTGAAAAACACACATTTTTGCACGAGTGTTTGGACGCAATGTCACGTTCGAAGGATGATTGCGATTTAGCCTCGAGGGGGAACGTCATTAATGTTTATCCCGCAATAGCGCATGTTAGTGGTTTGAACGCACGTTCTGTTTCTGCTCTCTTCGGCTGTCCTGAACTAATCCTCGTATCCGCTCCCTCCAGGAAGCCCTTGTGAACCAAATGCCATGAAGAGGAGATGAACTCGTGGAGACAGCTGTGAGGGAACTGTAGTGTTTGGGAGTGGCCATTGGAGGGACAGTGAACGGGCTCCGAGACGTCCTGACGGTATGTCCAGTTCACATCTGCATCTCTGAACCACTGGATAAGCCGAGGGCATTTGCCTCCTCTGTTGTCAAACCGTTCTTCAGTGTCCTCCTCACTGTGCAGCCAGGGGGGGAAAGCGTATTAATACAGTGTTTGCAAAGGCCGATTATCACATTCATCTGTGCGTGCGATAATAAATGATGCCACTTGGCCCAACGGTTAACGTGGCTCACGTGATTTTCGGTTGGCTCGGGACCGTCTCCTCTCCCGAGGTTGCGTCCGCTGGCTGGGCCCCTGAGTGGCTGACCTTACAATCCTCTCCATGATCTCATCAGCCGTGTCATCCGTGCAGGTCACCGGGTCGTCACTGGCAGAACACCACGGGGTAACGTGCCCTGATGAATGATAATGAATGAGGAGACGACAGACACGTTGTGTAATAGAAACAGTTTTAAGAAAACAAGACTGTCTGCTGCCTTTGCAGCGTTGTGTGAGGCTGAGACGGAGGCTAACAGCACCACGCTAACATCCCCAAAATGATGCTTGGACACACTAAACATTAGCGTGAAGTACGCTGACGTAATCCAGCACTACACGTAAAACAGAGTACAGCTGAGCAGGTCTTATAAACGTTGACCCAACGTGGTCTCCAGAGAATTTTGGCTAAAACCCATCACATGTCATTCCTCTTGAGTCATGTCCTCTGTTGTCCTTCCTCTCTGCCAGCAGAGACGTTTAAACTAAGCTGAACGGATAGAGTGGACCGCTTAGAGCCCAGCTACCAGCGTGGCTAAAAATACTTTGTCCTGCTGAAAGAACATGAAGGATTTAGAAAGGATTACTTCACTATTAACCAGAAGCACTTGTTTTCTTCTCTTGGATCAATCATAGCTACAAAAGAATGTAAAACAGCAGAGGACTGGATGGATGGTGATGATGTAATGGTACAAAGCGATGGAGGGGCTATCAAATATTGATGAGACTAACCTCTGGTGCTGCTGGCTCTGGTGCGTGTACGCAGGCCGGGCACCGTGGACGCCACACTCTCTCCGCCCTGCAGGCTGCTCTTCAGCACGGCCTTCATGCTCTCGTGTTCAGCTGCATCTTCAGCGTACTTGATACCCTGAGACGCGATCTCACGGGACTCTGGTGGGGCACCGGCAAATTTACCACTCTGGGGGAGGGGGAGGCGAAGGACAGAGGATTACGATTTCTGACTAATTAAACGATTAATAAGGAGACGGTAAAACTTAGCTGGTCTCCTTTTTTTTAAGTTCTGTAACACACACACACACAAAATCCCCATGACTGATTATTTGAGCAATGCAGACATGCCAGGTTGCCTTTCAAGGTCTATTTATAATGCTATCATGCCAGCATCGTCTTTTGTCTCTTCGTCAAAAACGTCAAAGCTTCCCCATTCATGTGAGGACATCCGAACGTAGAGGCTGTCAGTCTCACCGCTGACGCGTCGGTTCTTATTCCTCCAAGATTTATCCGTTATTGTACGGTTCATGAGAGCAGTCTATGCGTCTGGTTGAATGTTAGTCACAACAGAACGTTCACATGCAACGGTTCCTCCTGTACCTCACTATTATCGTCATCCTCACTCTACAGAGATAAAGGAAAGAGTTGTGTTGTAAATACAGATTCTCTTTGTGTCAAGTGAAAATGTTTCGTATACAAAGCAACAAATATTCAGGAAACATTTCTTACGTTTTATATGGAACAGATGAGCACTTGACTGAACATCTTTTTAAGTGAGTGATATTACACATTAATTGAAGGTTTGACTACAGCTCCCTGTATGAACTGTATGAACTGTATGTATGTTTGCTCTATTCAAAGCAGACCTAACAGACAGTACAGATAAGTTCCACTTATTTGTTCAGTTCCCCGTTGCACAACATTAATCCGAGCCTTTCTTTTAGATGTCTAAAATACATTCTACCGCAACAACCCTCCATAGAAGCGTATTGCTTGCTTCCATGCTCGTACTCTACTCTCCTAGCCCGGCTATTTACCGTAAGTAATACACCAACTATAGATAAATACCTTATAGCATAAACTTCACATACTCAGCATCCATCTAAGGGGTTGGCCTGCTTATTTCTCCTTCAGGGACATCCGAAGGTTCGAGTTTTCACACAGTGATCAAATTAGGGTCCTTTTGAAAGAGAAAGGGGCCCCAGCCGAGGCTTGCAGAGGAGTCCGCTCTGAGTGGCAGACTCCTCAGGGTTTAAGGGATTTTAATCATGCAGGGAGGTGTTTGCTCTGGCCTTTCCCAGTCTGCTGCAGCTACAGAATGGGATACACTGAAAACAACCCACTGATTGTTGTTACTGTAACCTATACATCTGATTACCAAGGAACTATGCTGATGTAATTGCAAATATACGGCTCGTCCCGCAGAAATACCTCGTTTGGTGCTTTAACCAGATTAAGGTTGTAACTAGTGTCCAAGGATTGCTCAAATTGTCTCATAGAATTGAGTACAAACTAAACAAAGATGAGGCTCAGGAAATGGAGGTAGTGCACGGAGGAGAACTTACATCTGTTATCATTTTCCCCCTGGTTTTATTCCTCTCTCGGTGGTTGGCCCTCTTCTGTTTCTGTTGTAGCACGCGCTCTCTCGTGGTGCGATACTCCAGGGCAAATTCACTCAGGATTTTGCTAAAGCGATGAATGCTGACTTCGCGTACCGCATATATCGGATGGCCCAGGAACAGCAGAAAGGCATGAAACCTGCAGATGTTAAGAGAAGCACGTGATTGTAAATGCCGCTAAAAGAGATGAAGGTATATAACATGTGGAGTTATAAAAAATGCAAGACATGCTTTATCTTCATCCAGCTGTGTTCTACACCTCAGCATACCTGTTGAGTATTCTCCGATGTACTATTTTGAGAATAATGATCCTCTCTGCACAATCTTTGAGGAAGTCTGACATTTTTTGTTTCAATGGTGGTTTCATCTCGTGTTTCGCAATGACCTTGAGATGATCCCATGATGCTTTGCACCTTCGCTCCATCTGTGCCAGATTGTCTTGAAGCTGGTCAAAGTCCACCTAGCAAATGTATCACAGACTTGTTGAGGATTGTCTCGCATTGGACGGGACATTTCACTCTGTGCTACTTGTAATATTTGGACAAATTGTTCAATGAGTTTATAACAACCTTGGTCAAGCGGGTGATAGCTCCTATTTCAGAGTAGAGATCAGTGCTGTCTGGAAACTTCTCCACCACAATGGAGCAGGCGTGGTGCAGCAGGGACTGCTTATGAACCGTGTCCTTCACCTCCGGGACTTTCTCCAAGTAATTCAGCTCAAAGCCTTTAGCCTGAAAATGCACGCAGAGACATAGCAACGTAGTCAGAATGTGGGACGGAGACAACTGTGTGAAATAAAAAAAATCCAGAGCCACCAGTCAAGGATCAAATTGCAGTGAATTTTCTTTTTGGCACGGGCAGGGAAAGGGGCTCAATGCGTCGAGCGTAGATTCATTACACGAGTGATTATGAAAAACCGCAATCTTTTTCAGAGACCCGACTGATTGTTATGCTCACCGCGGCGGATCCCAATTGGATCTGCCTTGTTCTGCTGCCAGTTTTAAATGGCTTACTGCAAAAAATAAATACAGTCATAATTTACTAGTTTTGATACCGATGACTTATGTTTCCCTGTTGCATTTCTGGCTCTCATATCCAATTCACATAGCAGAACAAAAACAATGCACAAAACAGATATCGCTTCCAAGTGGAGAACGCTTACTGTCAGATCCCCCCCTCTCCTCCCCCTCCCCCTCCTTTTACCCCCCTCCTGCCAAACAGGCAGAGCCAGGCTCGACAGGCTTTTTTAAATGAGGATAATGATAAGGATAATGTCTGGTGCACACAATCAAACAGTGCATTCACTATAACGTTGAGAGTCCACTGTTATCCAAATAAAATATGTGTGGGGGAGTTTGGGTGAGGAAGAGGGGTGCGGGGGGGGGTTTGGGGGGGCGTATGAGTTAAATGGGGGAAGTGGGTAAAAGAGTAAAGGACAGAAGGAGAGGAAATGTAAAAACAGGAACCTCTGAGCCACACACTGTACATGCTTTGAGGGTTATACTCACATTAGTGCCATTGAGGAAGTTGCCAATGGCCAACAACGTGGTCAAGATGTAGCGGAGAGTCTTGTTTTTCTCCAACTGGTCCATCCCCTCTTTGAGGTCCTGCAGAGGCTCTGCTACTTCCTAAAACAGCACCAAATGCAGTCTGGTCATTTGCCAGTTCCTGTTTCTGTCAACTCATTTAGATCTTTTTAATTCCGGATAACAATACAGAGTAAAATGTCTCTATATATATATTCATATATACACACATATGACATATGCTAGCTGTTTCCCTTTGCGCCTAGTCTCTACGCTAAGCTAAGGAGCTGCTGGCTGTAGCACCATAACTGTAATACCCAACACTCCCTACACACATGTTGGACTTGTGTAACGCCACGTGGTTAAAATGACAGCGATGTGTCTCACCTTTTCAATAAGCTCATAGTCCATCTTGAATGCCCAGAGCTGCAGGCGAGCGGACAGCTCTGTGATGGAGGAGAGGGTGAGGAGGAACTGTTCAGCGCTGCCCAGGGGCACGTCAGGGTTGACCAGCTGAGCCTCCTGGATCCTCTGCTTCTCTTCTTCTGTGGGGATCATTGTCAAGATTTTCTGGGAGAGTAAAGAAGAAACAAGAGAAGGGAATGTGAAAGGATCAAGGCTTATAGGATTATTATTTATCGAGTAAACTGTAAAAGTAGTACTTAGTGTTTCAGGGAGTTAATCAAAGTTCGGGATAGGATATGAATCGTTTCTGACATTTCTCACTCTGCAAGACGTTCCCCAATTTTCTCACAAACTTGTGTGACATCTGAACTTTTAACCTCATCTGGATCTCCAGAGACAAAAGGTGGGGAGGAGTACTCCTTTTTTTCTGAGAATGAACTCCTGGTGAAGCTCTGGAAACTAAAGGTTATATAACCCCAACGGGATGCATTATCAAACATTATCGGCTAAAAACGTTGTTGTTTGGTTGTTAAGATGCAACGTTATGCATACGGAGCTAATCTTTATCCCTGTGATTGATTACATCACATCATCTAGTTTCTCTTCATGCAAAATAAAAAAGAAGGTTAGCATTAAAAACACATTTTTCAAGGGAAAGAGACTGAAAATTCAAAATTTTACTCTCACCTACTTTAGCCAATTTCATATATGGTCATAATATGTCAACTTTCTGATGGATTGATTAAATCTCGTAAGTGGAAGTGTATCTTAGTGAGCTGCTTGGTGGATAACATTCACAAAAAAACGTTATCTTTTGGACTAAGTGAGCTTCAATGGTACATTTTTATAACATACAGCACAAATTCGGATACAGCATCTTTCATAATGCTTACCTCGATGCCCTCCTTGTTCAGTGCGTACTCATCAAAGTTGAGAATAGCCGTCTTAATGGTGCGAGGAGGAGGCAGCACGGTCAAGCCAATGTTTATGGCATTGCTGCGTTTCGAGTCCAGCACTATGATTTCTTGTCGTTTTCCGTCTACAGCTGCTTTCTGTTAGAGGGACAAATCAATCACTATATTAGATCATGTCTCTTGTGTATCGAAAGCACTTCTTAATGGTTTAAAGATTTACTGCACTAAATATGTGTGAAATCACACCTGGTCCAGCAGGCTCTATCACAGCTATGACCGAGAGCACCATGGAGCCGATTAACCGAAACGTAGTTGCTACAGACTTTGATTAGGTATTTTGCCGGAATGATCCATGGACAGGGGGGTGAATAAAATAATGTAGAAATGAAACAACCATTTTAAAGTGTCATCCAGGTTAACAGTCGTTTGGCAAAATGTTTCACTCAAGTCACGAAATGACTTTCTTATGTGACGCTAGATAACAAGAGAACCTGAGTCATGGGAGAGAAACCAGCGGTACACAGACATCGATACAACACTCAGTTACCTTTGTGACAGGCAGCTCTTTGGATTTGGACTCAAACAGCTGCTCTAGCTTGGACGTGTCCACTTTAACCGGTTCCAGTTTGGACCAGAGAGACTCCTTACAGAATTTATGGCTCTTAGAGTGCCAGTCCACGGGACGCACTTCGTTCCAGAACAGTCGGATGGTCTTCTTTCTCTTTTGGAAGAGAGGAGTCGTCTCTCTCTGACTTAACTGAGGGGAGGGCGGAGGGGCGGGGGCCATTAATGGGGGGCCTGGGGGCATCATTTTCCTCAGGATGGGAGGGGCAGGAGGAGGGCACCCAAACAGGGGCGGGGGTGGTGGCAGTGCAGAGTTACATGGCAGAGGTGGAGGTGGGGGTATGAGGTCACCCGACCCCAGCACACTGTCCATATCTAAAATGTCCATGTCGTCCTCATCCCTCAGGTCTGTGAAGTCCATCTCTTTGATCCTCAGCTCTCTGGGTTCGGCCATCAGCTGGTCCCAGATATAGTCGGACTCGTTCTTAGGGGGTGAGCTTGAGGAGGCGGCGATTGGTGACTTGTCAGCCTGCACCTGCTGCTGCTCTTTCGAGGCCTCGACCTCGGGAGGAGACGTTAGGCCTTTCACCAAATCCCCAAACCTCTCTGCCACTGCTCGTACGCTGCCCTGGTTGTCCAGATGTCCCACATCCATTTTTTTCACATTTTCGTCTCTGGCCTGTCTGTGGGCCTCCAGGGTGGAGATCCTGCTGGCCAAGCTGGCCACAGAGGAGTCACCGACCTCTGCATCCTTCTCACGCTTACAGTTTTCCTTCTCCGTCTCTGCCGCCTTCCCTTCGTCCTTGCCGGTTGTCGCCTGAGCATAGAGCATGTCCAGCATGAAGCGCTTGCTGTTAATTATTTTGTTGCACTGGTCGTTTACATCCGCTTCTTTGCCGCACTGCGTCCATTGGCCTGCTGATACGGAGAGAATGTTGAAATTGAAAAGCATACACACGGTTGATTATCAAAGCAAGTGAATACAATTCGCATTGCTCGCACCTGCATCGATGTCGTTGCTGAGTTTCTCCTCCCGCTCCTCCCTCTCCAGGGTGCTACTCGCGGAGGAGATGCTGGAAGCCGAGCAGTTGTCCTTTTCATTCACCTCCTCGTTCTGCCTCTCCTTCTCACTCAGCGGGACGCCGTCTTCGACGTCCCTGACCGCTGGCTGCTCCTTCTCAAACTCCTCTTGTAAGTCCACATTCGCCGCACGTGGCTCTCCAACTTCTGCTACTTCTGCTGCTCCGGTCTCCTCTACCTGCTCCTCCACTTCCACCTTGTCCAGTTGCTTTTTCTGTTCCTCAATCATCTCCTGCTCCGGCCTCTCTTCCTCCATGCCTGCATGTTCATCTGATGCTGGCTCTGCCACTGCATTCTGAGTCTCAGGAACATTTTCCGTCTCCGCGGGCGACTCTGTGTCCTGCTTGTCTGGTTCGGAGGGAGGTGGGGGGGAAGGTTCTGACACTGTCGAGTCCGGCGCCGGGCTTTTGGTTCTCGTCTGTGAGTCAAGGTTTGGCTCTAAAATATGTTTTGTTCCTTGGAAGAGAAATGGAAATTAAGTAGAAAATTGTGACTTGAAGTACTTCATTTATGTGAAAAAAAAAAGTGTATAATTAAAACTGCTTTAAATTGCTTCCTGACATGTTCTTAATTGCAGACGGGTTAAATCATCAAATTTTCTTACCATAGCTCATGATCATACAACACAAGCATTCACACACACACCCACACGCACACACACACACACACACACACACACACACGCACACACACACACACACACACACACACACACACACACACAAACATTGCGTAAATCCAATGCTTTGTCATTTTTGAGAAAAAAACTAGTTCAATTATTATTTTTCATAACCAAGTTGTTACCAAAGTATGTTTAAAAAAAATAACTGTCATTTAGTAAAATCCTTTGAGCTCCTTAATCAGCTTACAGTAATTAGACACAACCCTACATTTACACATACAACATAAAAAAATATCTATTTTTCTAAACCCACTATATCACATTTTGATACACTCAGATAAATCAAATAGTTAATCTCAACGATCCCTCTCAGCAGAAGTGCAGCCGAATGAATCAATCAATTACTATTACCATTGTTAATGTCAAACCGAGTGAACGTAACAGGTGCACTGAGGCCAGTAGAGTCTCTGCCAGCTACTAATGACGGATAAACAGTTGACAAGCAGCAGTTACCTAACGCCCGGTGCACAGTGGCATCTGTGTCTTCCTGTGAGGCAATGGCCGATGGTGCGGCGCAGCGCGGCGCAGAGCGGCTGGCGGGGTTGGGACTCAAACACAGCGTGATCTCTGTCCGTCCTCTCGCCGGCGCCCTGGGACGCTCCCGCTCAAACTCCTCGGCGGCCAACCTCTCCACAGCCTTGAACCTGCAGGGACGGAATTTGGCTTCTAGTAAGCGGGGCCCACTTACTGTGGGTGTAGACGGCGCTGGTCTGGTGTATGAACTCACCTTTCCTCTCTGGCGTGTCTCGCTTCGTCCCTCTTGTCAAGACGATCTCGACTGATGGAAAAAGAGAAAGAAGTCAGAATTTGGGGCCTGTGTTCGCAGTCTGTATAATGTCACATTTCACGTGCTTCACTGAAACTGTTATGTTGAGTGCATCATAGAAAGGTAAGATCAGAGATCAGAACATACAGCAGGTTCTTGATTTAGTATTTCTCACAATCATCATAAATAAAGACCGCTCGGCTTGTATATGACTCAAGTGGGTTTGAGAATATCACTCCAGAGTGAAGACGTGTTTCTAGAAAGCCAGTATTGATCGAAAACCTCTCTACAAGGTAAAGATATAAGATATTTTCTCTGACATGTTTTCATGTACGATGTTTTCTGATTCGCTGGATGCGACTAACTTGAAGCGATTCCTCTCTTCTCTCTCGATTCTCTGCAGGCGCTCTTCTCTCTCCATCCGTCTCCTCTCTCTCTCCGCAGCCAGAGACTCCTGGTGCTGTCTGTACGATGACGTAAGCAAGCCTCCGAGGGCCGGCCTCCACCATTAACAGAAGAAAAGTTTAATACACCATAAAAGTTTGTTCAAATGGGACAAAATGTTCTAAATCAACTGTGAGAAGTTGAGATGCTAACCGGTCACCCGCATGGGACTCTGGTGTGGAGGTTGCTGTGGTGGTGAAGCGATGAATCGGGGATGTGGGAGCCTTGTGCCTGCCAGGGTACGGACTGCCATTGCCATTGATTCTGTTAAAAGGGGGGGGATAAATGCTTTGTTATCTTCTAAAACCTCTTTTCTACTGAAAGACAGAGAAGAACGATGGACAACACAGATATGACTGTGTGAAGTGTGTTCAGCTCTTCTCCCTCTGGTCTTAGAAAAGTTGGACAACATACCACTGTTCAACTTTCAAATTGTTTGAATTATGTGCACATCTCCCTGTTATTAATACAAATCACAAAACCTCAGAGCTCTGATACATCTGGTCCATATATACTGTTGTTACTTTTGACCCTTTGACACCTGATCTTACCTTTCGGCCCAGCAGGGCTTTCTAGCTGTGTAAGATGTAGGAGAGTTGTTTATATCTGTCAGACTGAAGATGGAAGCGGGGAAAAAAAAGAGGGTAACAAGCAGATCAGATACTCCAAAGATCAAATAATGATTGATTGTTAGTCATTCAAACAGGAAAACAAGACAGTAGTCAAAGGTTGGAGGGCTGCAAGACCACAACACATCAGACAATATCTTTGTATGTCTCTCTTATTCAGCATGCTATTTAGAAGGTAATAATACTGAAGAAAAAGTCAAAAGAATACAACGACTGTACTGACTATCGCGTTCCTATTGCTGCAGACCTCTATGGAAACATGAACAATTAAGAGAAACGTGTCGTGAAACGGAATTCCTTAAAGCTTTGAATTAATGTATCGACCTGTCTTGGATTAACTGTGGTGCAAAGCCACAATGGAAGACAGATGACTAGAAAATATCAGCAAAATGATTCTTTCCAGCAACTAAAAAAGGAAGTAATATTGATACAGTCTGTCTTTGGACATGGCAGATCATGCAACTATCTAGAAAAACATTTTAAAGGATGAACGAGGAGGCGAGGAACTAAGTCACAAACACAAAAACCTGATTGGGTGCCGTATAGAAGAACTTATTTTTATTTTTATTTTTTTTACATTTTAGCATTACTTGACCTGCTCTTACGCTTGTGATGCTTGCAGGTGTCTTTACTGAGTGTACAGTGAGCTGCACGGACGCCAGTGATGGCGGTGGGGGGGTCGTGGTACCTCATCTGGTCTAACACAATTAGATGAACTGCCCTCCGCCTTCTACCTGCAGTGCCTTTCTCTGGCCGGGCCCCTCTCACTCTCCTCGGCCCCCGACAGACACCTGGCTCCGGTTGAAGTCAGGGGACGGAGGGAGAGGTGGCGGGTTAGGGGGAGGTAATCGGGGTGAGGCTGACGTAGTCTGACAATAACGACACGCTGAGCCTGGCACTTTGCTCGGGGCAACGCGGACGACGCGGTCAGGTGGCCGGCGAGGACCCCACCGAGGACCCCACCGAGGACCCCACCGAGGACCCGAGGTCCTCTTAGGCGCAGTGGTCACAGGATACGTCTTTCCAGTGCTGACATATTCTGTCTGCCGCGGCTGGTCACTGGCTTCGGTGTGGGTGTTGCCCGTACACGTCAAGCTCAAACACCCGTTAGGAGTGTCTACTACAGCCGGAGCCCCACTGGGATGACAAAATACAACAGAGTACGCGGCCACATGGGAGATAAACTAGGGGGGAACTGTAAGAGGGCAAAGGACAAGGACGCTTGGAACCAGTTGGCCTAAAATACCTGTGAGTGCCCCGTCTAGAGGACTCAGTGACTGGATGACTTTCATAATCTGCCTCGTCCTCCTCCTCCTCCTCATTCTCTCCCTCCTCCTCCTCCTCCTCCTCCACTCCTTCCTCCTCTTCCTCTTCGTCCTCATCTCTGTGATGAGGGCAGGGGTTAAGGGTTGAAAAGAGGGAGGATGTAGGCAGGCAAGACAAAAGACAAAGTGGACAGAGACAATGAAAACACACAGCGGAGGGAAGCCGCGGCAACACACAGAAATGACACCGAAACCATTAGAAGTGTAACAAGAGAGACAAACATTCAAAGACGAGCATAAGGGTTAGTAGCTTTTGACAGTCAGAAACGTATTAGAAATGGATATTTAATGAGAGTTACGACGTTTTGAGTGTCATTAGCTGACTTATTTCTTATTTACCAGCTTAGGTCATGTGACTGCTACTCACAATAATGAAAAACATGAAATATAATAACAAGTGTTGGGGATCTTATATGAATAAGATATGTTGTTTGCTTGAGCAGATAGTCTGGGATACTTTGAAAATTCACAAGTCTGTGGCCACTTTGCTTCTGGATCGGTCTCAGATGTCTGGGTTTCATTAACAATATGGGAAATGGGTATCTTCAAAGGCTACTTGGATTTCCTGTGGCGGACTGGAAGAAGCTAGTCCACTGCGACGGTATCATATGACCTGCTGGACTGAATTTAAGTGTACCTGAAGCCTGAGTGCAACCGCAAATATTAGGGCACACGCTACGCGACAAACAATTCTTTGTTTAGAATACAAGCCTAATAAAAAGTGGAATAAAAGGATGACATAACTTCCATGGACACCGTCCAACTACGTTTTTCTGTTGTTTTGCTGGCAATATTCCAAGCTACTGCATATTTAAACAAGGTTGCAATTTGCTTGGTGCCCGAATCACCAGTTGTGGTTTCCCTGAGTTTGTGTAGTCCCAAAGGTTTGCTGTATAAAAAACAGATGGCGCGTGGAGTTTGAGTTAAATGCACTCTGCCCTAAAGGATGCATGACTTGAGAAAGAGAGAGCGGATAGCTCATATCACGTATTTAAAGAAGCTTCCCACTTCCATGTGAGGTAGAGGAATGTCTCCACAGAGGGGAAATCAATTCAAATGTCACTCAGCAGCAACTATCTCCTCTCTGCCGTTCTTCTTGTTGAGCTATTATATAATCAAATTCTCTGGTTCTGGACAGTGTAGACGCGTCTCTCCAGGGTTGAACTATGAAACAAGACTTTTATACTACCCGTTTTGTGTCAAAAGGAGTAAAGACCAATGGATGAGGAATAATTTGTGATTCCATTTCAGTTGCAGCTGCCTCTCAGGGCTTAAAATATACAATATCAAAACAAACCCCGCCGGCTAAACACCTATTGGATGCAAGGATTTCTTTCTTTTTTTTGAAATCTCATCCACTTCTTCATTCCACCGTCCTCACCTCTCGCTAATGTCTTCAACACGTCGACCACCGAAGGGCAGGAAGCTGCTTGCGTGAGAGTGAGGGCTGCAGGGGGATGCTGGGGCGGAGGTGTGGCCCCTGCTATTCTGCAGTGAGTGTCTCCGGCTGCGTCTCCTCTCCAGGCCTCGCCTCTCGTTTGCGGCGCCCACGCTGGCCCGTCTGCGGTCCTTGCGGACGCTGGGGGGCAACTGGGTTTCATCGTCTCCGTCCTCGTGTCGGAGAGTCAGCTAGATCAAGGGGGGCGTCACAGAGAACACTTTGTTGCCGGGTGCCGCGTGCGTTTTTGAGAAGTCATGTGACTCCAGCCGGCCGCGGTGAGATGACGCGGCAGACGTTTGCTTTTCTCACCTCGTAGATGTTGAACTGTTCTACGAGGTCGAGGTCGGTGCCTTTTCTGCTCAGATGTCTCTGGGCCATGACCTCGATGCCCTGCTCCTCAAGACAGTCGACCATGTCGTAGTACGAGTCCTGTTCTGGGAGGCCTGCCAGAGTCTGAAATGCAATCGTATTAAAAAAACAACACATTAAGAGTTCTAACCCGTCCCTGCAATATGCATTAGATCAAGTTTTTCCATGCACTTTGAAAAAACAAGACACATTCTCACTGTGGATTAAATGAACACGTAGTTGCTGCTGCAAGGACTACTTTGTAAAGGCAAAAGGAGTGAGGTCAGATCCTACTTAAGTCCTTCCGAAAGCTGGTAAAAGAGAGAAGGTAATGCAGTTGAGGAGTCCGAGGTGTTTTTCTTCCACTGACCTTATTGATGAGTGTCATTGCATACACCAGCAGCTCTGTATCCACTCCGTCCTTCTCATCGAGGATCTCCATGATGTTTGACCACAGCTTGGTTTCTGCAGCAGCAAAAGGCCCGCAACACATTGTATATCAAAAGACAAACTCTACCAGTTAAAAGTCTAATTAAATCCATTTGCTGTTCTTAGGGCGTAGAAAACAAACAAAAAAAGAATAGCTTTGTCATCTCACGGCTCCTGTGAGAGAAATGCTGCCACTGCAGTTGAGAATCAGAATCAGAATTGGCAGAATTTGAATCTGTTTTCCACTTTGTGCTCCGCGTAGGTTCAAGTACACAAGAAAAATAAAAATGAGGACGCGAAAAAACAAATGGAAAGTGGAAAAAGGCGAGTGGGGGGCGAGTTGATCCCTGGAGCAGCCATGTGCCTCAGACTAAAGTGTCACGTCCAACTCCCTCTCATCAGGAGTCTGGAGGTCGGGTTCAGTCTTCTTATGCAACAGCAGAAGTGAGGGGATACGGGAGCTGAGACAGAGGGATACCCGACCCCCCCCCTGCACGGCTGACGCTCAATGCAACAGCATGATGCGGAGGTAACTGAACCCTGCTGCGGACAGGAATTGGGGCCTATTCAATAAGCCTCGTTCCATGCGTAGCTCAGAAGCTGCACAGGACACATCTGATCTAACTGCTGTGTAACAGGAGACTGTGATCTGCTGAGCAGCACCACAGCCAACACCATGGAGGACTCAGTTAGAAAAAACTGAAGGAGAAATCCATCCTAAAAGGGAGTTTACAGTATTTACAGTATTACTTTAATATTTGATGGCTGGCTTCACTTGATAAATTATATTCTGAAAGGTATTTTAGAGGTATGGAAACAATCCCTCATGAGCTGAAAAAAACAAACATTGAGGTAAAACTAATTTAGTTTAATGCCTCAAGCGATCAATCAACAGAGTCTGCTAAGCTCTCGATGCCCTGGCTGTTCCTTCGGTTTGCAGGTACACACTTTAACTATGCTCACCTCTTTTGGCATCCACAAAGTTCACAGCCTTTATGAGCAGGGCTGCGTTTGACTCGGTGTACTCCACAAACACCAGCAGCAGCTTTAGCGCAGTCTTCACCACCAGACGGAACTACACACAGAGAGAAATACAGTCGACACAGAAAGAAAAAATGTGCCACCAGCCCCTGAATCCAAGCACGTAACACACAATGCACTCAATTTCAACTGTAAATGTAATGGTTTTTCTCAAATAAATGAACAGCTCAAAATAGATGATGAGCCAGGCCTTTTACCTCCAACTACTACTGATCTCCTATTGTGATCCGAATAAATATAAGACGGGGTTCTAACAAACTGAAGAAGAATCTTAAATTACTAATACAGTTGAATAAAACTTTGAATGAACACAACAAATAAGGAGAGATAAAACAATTGAATGTCAGTGATGAGAAAACCAGTGTTATTCGTTAGTTTGATGCGTCTGAAAAGCTGATACATCAGCATTAACACTGGACAAGCGACACTCCAATCATAATGTCCCACATGACCACTCATAGTGGGGAGTTGCAATACACAATTATTGAACAAAAAGGGGTTTTGATGTTTTTAAATAATAAAAAGGTGAATGCAAAATACTATTTCAACATTTACACAAAAGGGAAAAGAGAGTGAAGTGTTTCCCTATTCGGCTGCACATTACAAACTCTGGCCACTAGAAGGCGATGTGAGGAGTATGTGATTACTTCAAAGTTGTCAGTGTACAGACAAGTCTACTGTGTTGAATGTTCATGATCTTTACCTTGGATCCAACCAGCGTGTAAAGCCACTGGACCGCCTCATTGTCAGATATGAGGCCGTTCATCCCGTCCACATACAGCATGATCTGACCCAGAGCTGGAAAGAGAGAAGGACGGAGACAGAGATGAGGTTTAGTTCATCATCTGCCATTATAAACTAGTGTATGGACAATTATGTAGATTTTTCAAAGAATGTTCATATGCACATATGAACAACGACACAGGTGGCAACAATATATGCCTTGTCAGTGAAAAGGGTGAACAATATTCCTCCGGCAATCAAAGTTAAAGCGATTGCAGCAGGGAAACCTTTTAGTGCCTCACTGGATGCGCACATGACTTCCATCTGTAACAGGATACATAAGTAAGAACAAAATAAGAGCCAGGGGATCTGCATGGTGGGGCAGTACAAGTGTAGGGCTTCTGTTAAAGAAGGAGATCGGGGGGAGGGAGACAAACATTGCTGGAAAGAACTGCAACAGAGAAAAAAGCTCATTTTATATATGTAGTTTCTTTTTTCAACAGCATCTCCCGCAGGGAATTAATTCATTCACACAGAAGACCTCAGCAACAGGATCCGCTCAGCTTGAAGCCACTGCAACTTTAGGTGATACATCAGCTGACACGTGGGATAAAAAGATTAGTTGTATAAACACGTAAAGACATAGAAAGTGGAACATTTTTTAAAGGCCTGGTTGACTATTTGTTGGCAGAAGCTTAATAGCCTTGGTGGCTTCCCTTTAGAAGATAATGTAATGGAATTCTCCCCTTTTTTTATGTGACAATGGATGATGAGCTTGTAGTGATGGAATGCACAACTATGTGAGACTCAACAGGAGACTCATTAAAGGGCGATGGAGCTACCACACCAAGTATTTTGAACAGTGGAAAATAACATAAAAACCTCAACTTTGAGCAACAACTTGATAAAACACTTAAGCAGACTTGTCGAGGGGCTCTCAGACTGAGGGCCGTGTAATCTCCTCCTGTCGTGTTTCATCAGACATGTTATGAGGAGATTCTGTCAAACACTGTTCCTTTCCTCTGCCCAAAAACATGAATAATCTGCAGATAAGCCAAAATTCCCAGGTGCAGCTGCTGTGTGTGCGCGGTGTGTGAGGGTGTGTGGGTGGACGCATGAGTGCATGAGCCTCTGTCGGCGTGTGTGTGTGTGTGTGTGTGTGTGTGTGTGTGTGTGCGTGCATGCTGACGGCCCTCTACTGACGCAGCAGCAGCAGCAGGGGCCGTTCATCTTTTATCAATCAGGGTTAATTACACACAACACGTCAGCCCAGAGCCTCCCTAACAGCCCTGGGAGCCGTGCGTCCCCGGCAGTCAGCGGCTGGGACATCGTGGCGAACCCGAAGCCGACCGCATCAGAGTGTGTTTATGAAAACACGATTGACCCCCTCAGTCAGCACGGGCCGGTGTCGCCCCGTCCCGCGGCTTCCCCCTCGTTGCATGAGATCACCGCTGAGGGACGAGCGACAGCAGTCATGACAGGACCTACAGCTGGTCTATTGAGCCCAAAACCGATCCCTGTGGTTTTACCCAGAAAAATGATCTAAATACCCTGTTAAAAAAGAGTGGCCGAACTAACGATTTACAGTAACACACAAACGGCAGTGAGCTTTGCTGAAGGGGAAGTTTCTTTTGAAAATAGTAGTCACAGTATGACCCGAAGTATCATCGCTAGTCTGACTTTTATCTTTGGTGTGCACCTGTGGACAGTATCTGCTATGCGTTTGAGGAATGTCCCGTTGAAAATGCGGGTGAGAAAAGATAGCTTGTCGTTATGAGGCTTTTTAAAGTGTCATTACGCAACGCCAATGTTCAGCCGCTGACAGATGAGACGTCGCTGATTGTTCCCTAAAGTCAACCTCAAAATGCAATAAGTTTTAGACCTTTCTGACATGCTATCATGAAATGTTAGATTTCATTAAAAGTTTATTTTTATTTTTAACTAGTATGCAGCCAAGTGAAATAAAATCGCTACATCACATTTTCATCAGCTGAGAGCCAGAAAGAATATGATTTTCAAACACTTCACAAAATCCTTAACTTTTCTGTCAAATTAATTAAAACTGCTTCTCCTTGGAATTATTCAATGCCAGCTGTCTTTTATGTAGAATTCAACTTTCATAAATCCCTGCAGCTAACCTGTGAACAGTAAACTACACCGTAACTGTCTGAAAAAAAACCTTTAATATGAGAAAATGAAAACGTAATGTCTGGTCGGAAAATGTTTAAAGGAAAGGAAACATTTAATTACTCTCAAAGCAATTGCCTTTTGTGAACTTCAAACCCAACTGATTCTCACACACTTGTGACTAAATTAGTCGTGAAACTGCTCAGGAAAGTGGAAAGCTACCTGTGTGTTGCAGTTCAGGCTTTGAAAGTAAGATTAAAATCTTTATACTATGGTCTACTTTCCCAGCCTTGTACCTTTCTAAAAAGCAGATTCTGGGTCCAGAACCTGGGATTTGTTTTTAAACTCTAAAACATACAGTCATCAATAACTTTGGAACTGGTTTAATAAGAAGAGCATGTGAGCGCTGAGTCTTCACAGGACAGCGTCAACTTCAAGCACTGATCTGGGGCCAAAAAATGTGGGCCTCCATTGGAGCAATCATGAGCAGCTCTATAATACCTCACACAAAGTACAACAATAACATCACTAAGTCCCTTTGCATGTATGTCACGTGAGGAGATGTTGGCAGACATCGAGCTGCCTTCAAAGCTCAGTGATTAGAATTTAAATGTTAGCCATTATGGGCAAGGACAGCCAAGGAAAAAAAGACTTCGCTAAAAAGAAACTTGGAAGTGTTCAATGAGCAGTCTGGCACTCTCACGTCTCTTTCAAAACGTAACATATGTTAGAAGAAAAGAGAACGCTTGAATGATAGCAAGCTGCAGAAGGGAACCGGTGACACGCCGTGAGGAAGAGGCAGACCCTGTTCCTGCGTCTGAACCAGCATTTCTGTGAGGAGTAAAAACAAATTCGACTGAGGTCGAGTGGAAGTGTTTCTTCAGGGCCTCTCCCTCCATAAACCACAGCAATTATCTCCCACAACCCCAAGAATGTGCAGGAAGGGCTGCTCCCTGACCACTGCCGAGGTGAGAAGCACTCTGAGGTCTGGGTGGCAGCACCGAAAACGAGCCCGCTTTGGGAAGGAAAAAAAAAGTAAGCGCTTATCTATGAGGTTGCAAGAAACCGACTCAACAGTTTCCCCTCGGTAAAGGCCGTTCACTCCGCTCGCCACGCTGCCCCTTTGGTTTCACTGAGTGAGCCAAACAGTCCATCAGCTTGCAACATTTATTCTACAGAGACTTTGGGAAAGGAGCCAAATCTCCATCCGACAGAGCGAGAACTTAGCGCTTTTTATCTAATGATGCTCATTAGCAGGGAGCTGCCTTCCTCTGGGTTTACTGCATGGAAAGATATATTCTATATTCTTACATTTCAGTCCTGAATACGTGTTTACCAGTATTTGAAACAATTTACTGAGGGCCAAAGCCAAAACCAATTCCCTACAGACAAACAAACAAGGCTCATGGAACAACAGCAGGAGGAGCTTTTGGCTGAGGAAGCTGGACGGGAACCGCAGACCTGATGAACTATTGCAGTGATGAGCCCAGTGAGCCGAGTACACCACGAGGAAATGATAATGCAAATACGGGTAATATTTTTCCATCTCCTGGATTCAAACTAGTATAAGCTAATAGATTTCATTTTCTATAGGAATGTATTTAAAAAAAATTGGGATAAGACAATGAACAACCTAAAGCCCATCGGATGAGTTTATTTTCATCCAAGTGGGGAAGACTGGGAAACAGCTACTGCATAACATCCACCCACTTGAGATGAGCTGTGGTAAATTATATTATAGCAAACTTCATTGTGATATAATTGGCTTACATACAGTTCTGAGTTCTGAAGTGCAGCGCTGGGATTCCACTGCCATTGGGTTTGCTAAGGCAGAAAACAGATGAAGGGAGCAAAAAGGGGAAGGCAGAACATCCAGGTCTGGCCCGTGGGATGAATTAGGTTCAGATGCGAGCTTTCTGCTCGAGTGCAGGGGATCTAAAGGGGGGGCTGTGGGGGTCTGCGGGATCTGACAGGGGAGGAGAGGGCGGGTCTAAGCTTAACCAAAAACATGACAGCAGCATATGTTTTTTTTACCGATCAGTCTCTTTCTAACTTTAATCATCCGAGTGCTATCCTGTGGGTAACGTATCTTAAAGTAACAGGTGGTGTATGAAACAGTCCATGCTGATCGAATTAAATAGAGCTGGAAGCAAAGACAAAGTGTTTCCAGTAGAGCAAAGACAGTGAAACCATGTGGGCCATTTCCTAAAATCCCTTTGACCAAATTAAGTCATTCCTGTAACCCGAAAGAGAGAAGTCTCAGACAGGTAGAAAAAAAACGTTTTTCTCTTTGAAATAATCGTCATATTTATTTGGAGTTACTTTGTTTTGGTGAGTGAAGTGTCCTTTCAAACAAACCATGTTCTCCTTGTCAGGTGACCTTCAGAACCTGAACATTAAATGATTAACATTAAAATAAAGTGTGCATGAATTAACCGTTAAGAGCAAGAGCCGTCTCACGGATGAGTGAGTCTAGGTGAGTGTTTTTCCCATAAAGCTTTGCAGGAAGGTCAGCAGGAGCCGGCTCTGAAGGTTGCGGGAGATCGGGTAGAAGACGTGCATGTGTTCCCATGGGATCTCGTTACAAACCAGGAGCTCATGTTTCCATTGCCATGACGAGGGCTTTCCCAGACAGCTCCTTTTCGCTCAGGTATCACATGTATGTGTGTCAGCGGTTCCTGTGTTGTCCGTCTCGAATGTCCTTTTATCCTACATCGCTCAAACAAGGGAAGGATTACACCTGTAATGAGTTGCATGTACGCTGATACATTTGCACGAAGCCTCTCAAACCAGCCCAGACAGAGAGATCCAGACGATCCAGACAAGATATGGACTTCCCACAGGACAACCTGACATGAAACAAACAAGCCAAGGGGGACGTCGGTTATGAATCTGTTGAATGTTTTAAGAACTTTTACCAACGGAGAAATATTTATCCTAATCGTAAATTAAGGGAAATAAAATATCATTAAGTAGGAAATGAAACATTGGAAAAACTTTTAATAGACATATCTGAGTAATAGCTAGATGACATCACTTCTATCTGAAAGCCAGACCAGCGTTTAAATCTCTTATTCTTTTGGGAAAATTATCTTCCGATCATTACCAAGCTTGTATAATTACAAAAAATATCAAAGGTTGTACAATGGTTGATGGTCCCTACTGCGTCTGTGCACAGGAGGTTTGTACCTTTACTATCAAACTTAAACCAGAACAGCTGATTTCACTGATTAAAGTATGTACCACACAAGTGAACACAGTAATTGGGCAGCTATTGTGCTTGTTTGCAGTGAAACACACTCTTGTATGTTCCCTCTTACTGCACTTAATGTAAAATGTAATGCAACCACACGGAGAAACCCTGAAGAGAAAAGAATATTCAAACAAAGGGGTCATGTGTTTCAGGTGCGCGGAAAAAGGCTGCTCTCCTCGTGGCTGCTGTGTGTGACACTAAAAGCTCGGCTGAGCGCTGCATTTGGAGCAGTTCCACCTCCCAGACAGTTTAAGAGGCCATGAAATGCTTGACTAGAGCACATCTCCCTCTCCCCACCAGGCCGTCTGAGCAGCTCCCTCTGGAAACAAGGTTGTCAAGGTGCAGTAATTTATGGCGTCATAACTGCCGCGTCATTAAAAACAGAGCATGTGAAAATGGTAGCAGGTGAGAGAGAGAGACATACGCAGATAGGAAGAGGGGAAAAGACAAGAAAAATGAAGTACGGGCATAATATATTTGATACAGTGCTACTTTTGGACTTTTCATGACATAACACCCATTTCTGTGGATAAATTCACCAAAATAACTTATGGAGAGTAAGCTTATGTACACAATGTACAAAATAATACAGTATGTGATGAGATTCATGAGTGTATTCAACGTTTGACAATGAAATACATTCATAGAAATGTAACCAAGGGGGTAAAAAAAACTTCAGAATAGGTTCTACTAGCTTGTGCTGATGCATGTCAACAGTGAACATTTCAAAGCAGGGAATAAACTGCTTCAAGTTGACCCTAATTGGTTTGTACTTAATCTCTCCACTCTCTGCTACTTTAACAGCTAAAAATGACAGAAAGTTGTAACTTTTGTTCGTGTTATTTCTACAAGTGGACCAATGATCCAGGAAAAATCTTGTTATTTGTTCTTCCACCTTGTCTCCCATTTTTGGTCAGAATAATGAGTTCCATCTTTTTCTTACCAATGTGAAACATATTGAGTTCAGCGCAGAAGCTTTTTTTCACCTCCAGCCCAATCTGCTTTCATTTTAGGGCAGTTGGATTACTTACTATTCTGTCAGGACTTATTTGTTACTGGGACATGTATTTATTTATTTATTTATTTTCTGCTAGCATGGCTGTAATAGACATTTTCTTTTTTTGACTCAAATAACACGTTGCATGTGTCTTTTCCCCCAAATAACTGGGTTAAAAATGAAGGGACTAAATCTTTCAAATGAAATGAAAGAATATCCCTAATGAGCCCTTCATTACCTCTTTGGCCCCTGCATGTTTGCAGCACTTCACTATGACTGAGTGTGAGGCGTACGGGAGGACCAGATTGCACAGGCACCTCAGAAAAAGTGACCTCACACCCTTTCCCACTGATGGGGTGATAAAGGCATACAGGCTTTTCCCCACGGGCCAAAAAACACACGCCTCCAAGGGGCTGAGTTCTGCCCTGGAAGTCCTCCGAGCCAGGTGTGAGGGGCCCGCAGAGGGGGGCTGGACCCCAGCCATGCAGACCCCCGAAAAATACCCCACACCACTGATGGAGCACTGACTGGCCACAGACACCTCCGGGGCTTTGACAAGAAGGAATGAAAATGTGAGTAAATGGTGTAGATTGCAGGGAGGAACTTCCTATTACAATGACGGCAAAGTTCCAGAGAGCAAAGGCTCGGAACCTGTTCTTGTCAAATGAATGCTGAGTGGTGTGCACGTGTGGCTGTGCCTTTTTCATCGTAGAACCATAGGATTGATTTTTCTTTTTCGTGAACGAGAGCCAGACTGTATTGTTGGGAGGTTGTTAATGCACACCAGACAGAGGCTGCATTCCTATTCTTTTTTCCTCTACTGGCCTCTACTTGAAAGACAGTAAAACAACTCTTGTAAGGAGTGATCAACGTTTGATACCAAAACAATTACTGTTGGTTCTTTGTTCTCTCTCGTTTCTGAAAACTTCCTGAATCGGATATATTTGCCCCCTGGAAATCCTCCTGACGTAGCTCCTCTTGGACTGCAAAGCATTTACATCTATTCAGATAGTAGAGCAGCATATGCTCGACTCGTGTTCTCCAGGCTCTCGAGGGAGCGTGATCTGCTACTCCTCATTTTCACACATGGTCAGGAGATAAAACTGGTTAAACCGGCTTTTGGGAGAATGGTAGTTTGGTTTGGTTGCTCACGGTGATGCAGAGATATGAAGAGGGGGGAACTGCAGAGTCTGCAGAGATGAACTGATGAATTTACACATCCCATTTAAGAGAGTCCCAGATAAAGACACTGGCACAGATGTTTTATCTGAACTATTTGGGAGGTAAAGGGAAAACAGGCAGTACAATATGGAGGAGTGAGAAGCCGACGAAATGACAGCTCTTACATGTAGTACAAGTTTCCAAAAGCCTGTCATTCGCATCCTTGTCTTAGCCTTTTACCCCATGAAATATATCTGTCTGAGTTAGGGACAAGGCCAAGTTCAGGTGGAGCATCAAACATTATACTTCAGAGTCCTTGGGGATGGGGGTCATGTTCATGTTTAAAACTGTCTCATGCAATATCAGTACTTTGTCACAGATATCTGCCCTTTCATCTTCTGTTTTCTTTTCAATAATGGAGAACGTCAACCATGAACAGGTTGCAGGCATTTAAGAACATCCATCATCTAATTGAATGAACGTGAAAGAGGGTAAAACCTGATGGAAATGTCCATTAAAAACCGTGAGGGTTACGTACACTGTGACTCCTTGGAACAAGGAATTATGAGGAAATAGCAACAGAGGTGTCTCAACTATGAACTTGTAGACTTATCTGTAACTTCTAACCACAAAAGTTGGCCTGGATGTCATTTGGTCTACAGTTAGATTATGAAATGCACATAAAATAAATAAACAACAGATGATGATCTGGTTCAAGTTGCTTGACACATATTTGTGAAAACATCAGGGAACATCTTGAGCAAAAAGATAAATGAAAGAAAGTTAAAAAAAAAAAATTAAAAAAAGAGAGGAGGGGAAATTAGTTTCATGATTTGCAATATCCTGCCAGAACTTTTATTGGCTACTTAAGCATGTGTGACCTGCCCCTCACAGCAGGCTGTTAAAGGGTAGTGACCTTGCAGTGAGTGCTATGAATCCTTTGGTCCTCTAGTTTCCCTGCACCTCCCCAACCTCGACTCATGTGACCTTTCACCTTACCAACATGGGAACGATAAATTAACCAGCTGCTAAACTTGGCCGAACTTCCATTATGTGCGGCACACGTTTTAGCTTGTTTATACACTTTAGGTGTGTGTGTCAGAAGGTGGACAAGCACAATCATCAATTTACATGGTGTATGTAAACACATATGGTTCCGGATAGGTTTATGGGAGGAAACGTGTTGCCGGATTGATTGATAACATCCTCGATTAGCACGTGTTGTAGATTGAGGTGTGAGAAAGTAGAGGAGGAAAGCATTTATTAGAGTTTACTGGTGATAGGGAATGTTGCCGTACCCCTGAGGATGTAATTCTGGTAGTTCTGGTCCGCTTCGGCGCCCACTTTTATCAAACACGTCAGTCCTTCCTCCACCACGAACTCGTGCACCAGGTCCTTGTCATCCTGAAAAAAGGTCAAGGACAAACACAGGAATACCGTCAAAGACAGAACCACAGACTGTATCGTTTGAAAAGCCATTTCTATTAAACAATAACATGTTTTTTTGTTTCACCCCCCCCCACGGACCCGCTATTTAAATATATATATATATATATAAACATTTCTCATGTCAGCCTTCATAAAATCCCTTACTTGTGTACATTGTGTACATGTGTACATTATTAATCAATACTAATTGATAATAACAATCATACCCTAATCCATGACTACAACATGTACAATGCACTACAGCAATGTAGAAAAGTTATAGTGATTTCAGGCCAGAAGGATATTTTATTCCACAACGAGAATAATCAATTCACTCTTCGATGGAATCCCCACAAAGCTCAAAAAGTGAGCTATTCTAATCTATTCTGGGCCTGCACAAACGTCTGTTGCTCTCTTTTCCATCCAACTGTCGGTCAACCCTCCCCCTCTCTGGCCGCCTGCCTGCCAGGCCAGCCCCGCGTGTGAAGTATGACCAGACCCGAACACTCCACAGCTGCCACGAAGGCAGACTCTGAGCAACACAACTCTGCCCCGAGAAAACAATGCCGTGTCCAGGTTTGAGTGTCCATGTGTGCGCGTTCTTGCGTGTTAGTGTGTGTGAACTTTCAAAGGCATAGTCAGAGTCCTGGTGAAAGACACTTCACGTACTGACGAATGCAGCCATTCATCACAAACAGTCAAAACACTGGAATTCGCTGGATGCATTAGCTGGAGATTGTAAAAATGTATTTTGTTATGGATCGAGCGTAAAGGAAAATACTTAATATAAATATATAATTACCTGAAAGATCTGCTTGAGGGAAAAGAGGGCTCTCCGGAGCTCCCGTCCAGTTGAATTGTAGAGTTTCTCTGTGGGAGAGAGGAAAAGAAAAGTCAGCCGACAGTCAAAAACACGGTATCTTTCGACATTGTTGTCTACAAAAAGTGAAAAAAATGAAATTGACACGACGTTCAGTAACGTTGTCATTTCCGTTGCATCACTTGTTTCCACGTTGAACTACACATTTTCCCCTCAAAATCACATCTTCATGCACACATCATTTGCAGCATTATACCCTATAGTTCAATGCGAAATATGTCCTGCAAAAGCAACAGTGAGACCAAAATAACAGTAGGAACAACTTAGAGCACATCTGTAGAGAGTTAGTGAATAGTGGATGTTTCCCACTGACAAAGTCGTCTCAATAGCTCCCCATAATACGAAGTCAAGGCAGAAACCTGAGCCAATAGCCAACACAATGGCTAAAGAACAATACACCCATTAATCAGTTATGGAAACACCAAAGAGCACTCATGGAGGGGTATAATCTATGACAGATGCTCGTGATTGGGGCAAACATCCACTGCAACTACTTTGATGATCCTTCACCCTGGGTGCAGCCCGTGGAGTCTGCCAGGGAGCGGCAGTGTTGAGCTCCATTCTTGCGGCCCACTCGTCACTGCAGAGCGAACTCCCGCTGACTCAGCAAAACCCTCCTCTTTGCTGCAGCAGATAAAGCGCTACACAGCACAGCTCAATCCACAGCAGTGCAGTACAGTGTGGTACTCACTCTGAATGCGTCTGCTTTCTTTTTCATTGGGTTTTGCAGATACTTTCTTGCTAGATATGTCTTGGTCAGCAAACAACTGACAGGAGACTTGCATTGCATACGAACATGGCAGGAACACAGCAAGGTAGTTTTGCACATTCTACGTAAAGGAGCCGTTACACACATATCCAAGACACTGAAGATGCATCTGTAAAGCAGACGACGTGGTACTGGGCCATATGTGGTTAAAAGGCTCCCATTCGACGAGGTTGCATATTGCAATCAAACCGTTCCAGCAGAGTTTTTTATCTCCGGATGATGCTGTGCTTCAAATTTATGACTCTAATGGTATTTGGTAGGAGTGCAGACGAGGTTCTTTAAACGTTTTGTGCACTTAGTGCTATACATGGTTGGGATGTATAATAAGCAGGCGAGTGTTGGTCTTTTACGGCACAGCCAGTCACTGGCAACATCCACTAGGAATAAATCGTCCAGAGGTATTTCCAGGGGAAGCCGTGCGATGTCGGTGATTTATGTCTTTACATATGTCAGGAAGGGACTGTATGTGAAACTCCCAGGCTGAATATCTCCCAGTTGCCAAGTTGCCATCATCATTTAAATCCCCTTTCAAAACCGACCCAATACATGCAACAGCACTAAAATTCTGATTCTGTTTTATAATCATCACCATTTTGGTTCCAACACTTTAACTCTACTCAAAACAGTTATTTATGAATAAACAATATCTCACTGATGTAGAAACACCCCCAAGGGGTTAAACATCCCCATGTATTTGTTATCCTTCCTTTTATGCACAAAGATGCTCTAAAATGAATGACTTTGACATTTTTGAATTGAATCTATGGTTGGTTCTGCATCGTGTAGAAAGCAGCTAAAGCTTTTAAACGTCTGCACCCTCCCCTGCAGGTCAAGGCAGGGCCCCATCCATTGCCCCCCTACCACCGGAAGATGACTGGGAGTTTAGATTAGGGATCTCTAAACAGACAAAACTCTTTGATTGCTGAAGCGAAAAGCCAGAGGAAGATACCCTGGGTTACTCATCACACCTTCACCGTAGAAACAAGCTTGATTTGTGGTCCCAGTTCAACCCAAGTCTTGAATCAGTTTGCTATTTTCCCTCTTAAAGCTGTAACTGCACTTCCTCCTGGACATTGAATATTAATCGGCCAACGGTAAATTACACCCGGCTCCCGCTGGACAGCCATGTGATGCATCAGCACCTGGGCTACCAGTGGGTTTGAATAAAGCCCGGGCACATGTTGTGTGTGTCCTTGTGTTTGTGTGTGTGTGTGTGTGTGTGTGTGTGTGTTAATCAGCAACAGCATGGCAGTGGAAATTCCTCCACGCAGAGTTCCACTGCCATTTACCTCAATAAAACTGTCAGAAAGTTATTACTGCCTAACAGTAAATGAAGCCCATCTGCAGGAACAGACAGTTCCTTCCCTGCCCCTGCTCCCAGTCCACACAACGATGCACCTCCTGGAGGCCCATCTCTAATGAGAAATAGCTCAGTGGAGATTAGTTCCATACCATTTGGCACAGATATGCACCCAAAAGTATGTTCCCTCTGCATTTCTCTCTTCAAGACTCCGGAACCTAGGTACAAATTTATTTAGAGGAAATGCTTGTGAACCCCACAGCTCCCAGTCTTAATTTACGTGAATGGAAAATATTAGGCCTTGGCCATCGATTTGTTATAGGTCCATGGCAAAGGGCTCGAACAACAAAGGAAGTCATCGTTGAAAACAATATATTTGGAGCGCTACAAATAACTCTTGGCAGTTTCAACGTGCTGACTTTAAGATTTATATATATATCCTTCCATTGTAAAACATGAAAAAAAGCCATCAGACCATGTTATCATTGCTACATACAGCAAAACAATAGCTGTATATAGTAAAGAATTACCAAAATATAAAACAATTCACGAGTGCAGCTATTTTCTTTGCCGTCATCTTGACATTGCCCCCAGGCTTTTACTGACAGGGAAATGACTCCAACGAGGGAGAGTCTTGCTCTTTATGGGTTACATTAATGTAGCGTACAGGGAGCAGCTGTTTCTCCTCCTGAATTCACGTTTTCTCAGCTGGAATAGCTACAGGGATGTAATGGTCTCATAATTATAACAATCATAAAGGTAGTAGTGAAAGTTCTATAATCAGCAGGAATGTAGAGGAACGAAGAGAAAGCCTGGTACGTTCAGACAGGCCGGGTCTGCCTGACACCTTCTGATTCTAAGAGTCCGTGCCGGTACATTCCAGTATCGCTTTTTTGCGCAAGTCACGTGTCACTTTTTATTGAATGCGGCGGATCAATCTCAATCCACGACCCGTCCCCACAAGTAACTGCTAGACGGCTAACAAACAAAAAAAACCATCGCCAATAAAGCCTGTAACTTTTCACATTTTCCATCCGCTGACAAGCACGCTCAGCGACTCGTCTGTTTGCAAGACTTTGTTTCCAGAAAGCGCCATAAAATGTAAAGGATGACTACCACTGTTCATGCTTCGGACCGCAGGCGGAACACATAAACCACATTCAAAGCACAGCCGGGAAACCCACAAGGACCCCGCTGGGCAGGAAAACCTTGCGCACACGGCAGTAAATTAAACTGTGTTTGCTTCGGGAGTGGAGCCGTCGGGCAAGAAGCTGGAAGGGGGGAATCCATACTGTCACATGGGCGATTGTGTATAAAACTGTGAATAATCTAATCAAAACCTTTCACGTGGGATGAGGAGAGGCTCGGGTTAACACAAACACGGTACGGTATGAAGCTGGGAGGAAACAGCCCAACACCATCATCACCAACTTAGGTGAATGTTGCAATTTGAAAACTAATATGAGTAAAAAAACACTGAGAGTTGGAAAGCTTTGTTGAACAGTGCTACAACATCTGATCTCCATTGTGCAAAATCTTTATTTTGGGAATGATACTAAGTTCGGCTCTGACTGGAAGTGAACAGGTGGAATCTGGTGATGTTGTTGTGTAACTTTGCTAGATTAAACATGAGTATGCGTGTGTGTGGCGGTCTGGTCGAAGCTGGACGTTGGGCCGGTGCCATGACCCGCGTCTGCATTTAGCCCCAGAGCCCGTTCCACTGGTCAGTGGAGACTCTGTGAGAGGGGACAGCAGTCACACTGAGCTCAGACAAACTGCATCCATCTGTGAGAACACAGTCTCGTGTGCGACCATGTGTTAGGATGCAGGGACCCGTCTTTCATTTCTGTCCCCTGGTATTTTCACGAGAAGCTTTGGAGTTTACAGTATGTGTAACGGGCCTCTGCAGTCACGAAACGCAGCAGCGCAGCAACATCAAGGGGGCTTCCTTCTCATTTGTTCCCTTTCTCTTTTCTCACTGTGTAAGAGAAACCTCCTGTTCTGACGTTTATGAAGAGGAAACACAAGTAATTAAAGTAGAAGACCTCCCAACATGTGCATCGGCTTGTGACATACTAGTTTGTAAACTCTTTTTGTATCCCTTTCTCCCTGAACAAAAACACAAGGTGAATATCAATAAAAGTAGATTGTATGTGTCGGATGGAAATCATTAAGCAGGAATGCAGGTGACTCCTAACGTGTTTATGATTTAAATGCAATCAAACGGTCGATCAAAACAATTACATGGACACACTCACAGAAAGTGCACAGAGGAGTGAGGACATTAATTAATGTGCGTTTAATCAAATGCTTTGGAGGATTTGAAGGGAGACATCTGGAGATGATGGTTTAGATTAGAGAAGTCAGGCCACACAGACTACAGAAGCCTCTGTCATTGAGAACGGGCCTCACACAGAGTCCCGCATGGACCCAACGGGGGTGAAAGTCTCTGAGCAGGCACACAGCTAAGGCATGGGACAAGATCAAAAATCATCCAAATAACTAATAAATATAGTGTGCAGGAAAGAGCCAACATACAGGACTGTTGTTTAAATGTGTGCCGCCTTCATGTGTTTGGCTATATATATGCGATATAGGTGATTTCTATATAAGGCACACAATGAAAATTGTGCAAGGACACACTGTGAGGGGGAACATGCAAATAAACCACGCTAATTCATTGTGATTCAATTTCCTTCACGGATGTCGTACCTGAACTTCCTCTGCGTCTACGCTGTGCAGAGCGCGGCGTCTAGAATCCCACAGGAGCAGCGAGGAGATCAGGTTTCTGGGCTGCGACACTCTCAGACATTTGACACGCCAGGCTTTGTTCCAATAACCACCAAAGTTCACCGGCACTCGCTGTCCCTTCATTTAAATAGGGAAATTGGATTGTTGTGTTTATTGATGTGTTTTACAGA